GGGCGAAAGGTAGAGAGCAGTAAAAGCATGATGAAGACCACCCTATTAAGTGCGCTTCAAAAATACGACCAAATAAAATGTTCGGTAAAAAGATCACTGGTACAATTAGTTATAACAGTGAACTTTGCTATTTAACCAATCGTGTTTTTCTTCTTTAATGTAAAACCACTACAATGCAAGCCTATCAATATCCACGAGAAAAATGAGAGGATCATTTGTTTGTCATCCAAAACAAACTATACTTTATTTATATTCATATTCTTTCTTGATTACCTTATGTATGTCCTACGGACACTGACTGACAACTATTAGTAAAACTTTTTGCGTAGAAAGTTCAGAAACTGTAGAAAGGTGTTTACAGTGCTAAAAATGAGTGTAACTGCACCCATCCACATTAATGCACGTAACGAAGTTTGTGTTAAAATCAACAAAATCCTTCTACAATAAGAATTTTTTGTTTATAAGATCTGAAAAACTCGTAAATCACTAACACACTGCACACATTTCCGTTTTGTTTCTATTTCGGCGAAATACTAACGATTATTTCACCCACATGATTGATAAATTCCAACAATCCTTCCTATTCAGCTTCACTAGTGGACTGAAAAAATACGGTATTCCCAATGTATGGTATTATAAGATTAATTAAAAATTTCTAGTTATGAATGTAGAAGACCCTGTAGGTGAAAATTTAAAGGATAACTGAGGTGTCTGAGATGGTGTCAAGCTGACATTTGTTTTGTTTGCTTAGTTGAATACAAACTGGTATTCAGTAAAATGGTTAAGATGTTTACATTCCAAAGGACCTGTAGTGACTTCACTTTTACGATTAGTTACGTAGAAACACTCATTATTGTAACCGTTTGTACCAATGAGCGTTTCGCCGAACAAATTGTTAATTAGTGCTTTCAGACCTCACTTTCCCTCCTGCACAGTCACCATCTTGCTTTTGCTGCCCTGTACCTTTCACCCATTTCTCTGGCACGATTTCGATACTATGAAATCGCCAGAAAATATACTTGTTTCATCTGGACTATCTTGTCTTCATTTTTAATTACACGTATCCAGGGATAGCGCTTGAGACTCAAACGTAATTGGTTGGTGGACGTGTTCATAGTCCTTGACTCAAACATCGGTAGAGCTAAAGTCCTAAGGCATGATTAGTTCGATCCATATATCACAAATATGTGATTCTAAGTTTTCCTATTTACTCCCTAACATACTTAATGTATCTAGGGATGTTTATATTCAATTTAAGATTAATTATCTGTCCAAAATCAAATTCAGTCAGATGTACCACTAAAATGGTCCACCGTGCCTCTGTCTAATTTAGTTTAGACTACCAGCCTGTAGTGACGGCGAAGTAACAAAGGCCCGACCAGATGTATTTCGAAGTTAAGTGTACTCTGTTTCAGAAGTTCCACCTTAGACGTTGAATGAATGTAAAAAATTGTGAATATCAATAAAGGCTGAAGAGGAAACATTGTTGACTATAACTCTATACAAAGACAGAGTGGTGCTATCAAATCAGAAGTTTCTTTTTTGAAACGTACTCCTGGCTTTATCTCAGAGTGCAACGTTGTTGAGCCGCCATAAGTCTACTAGTTCACCGCGGCACAAGCATCCAGTCAGTAGCTTTGCCTAACTCATGTATCGTAAATTGTCTACCGATGTCAATGTCATATGCCGTCTGAGTATTTTTATTTTGCTTTTAGCCATCTCCTTATTCTTAAACTTCAGCCATGACAAGTTAATCTTATTTATTTACTGCTCCGAAAAGTCATCCTCTTTTAGCTTCTATGAATATGAATCTTTGTTTATTATCTCTCACATTGTATCTAACTAAGTAGTAGCTAGTAGTAAACTAGCTGTCAGTTTCAAAACCTCTGCAGCCCTTAACAGAATATCCACTTGGATAACAAGACACACCAACCTATTTTAATTACTAAACTGGTTAGAACTAGTACAGAAGAGTGTCTAAACTATCTTACACCCGACACAAGGAAAGACTTAAAACCTGACCGATACAACAGAAAACTCACTGATTATAAATACTCAGACATAATTCGTTGCATGAAGTTGGCTCACTCGCCTTCTCCTTTTCGCTTTGCCTTGCTTGTACGTTTTTCATTCTCATGCCTGTCTGCTTAAGTGAACGTATGAAATAAATTCATCCGCAAAACCGTCTTTGGTTTCTTCTTATCGCCATCGCACAAACGGAGTTTGCCTATGTATGATAAATCGAAACTGAAAGGAAGATTTATTTCATCGCATACTCAAACATCCGCCCAAAAAAGTATTCAGGTCGTGGTCCACTAAAGTGCTGAGCCCTGTTAGTTATTTTGCCACAACTAACCAATCAGATTGGTTAAGCGCTCACCACGTTATCTAGTCTGACCGGTCTGTAAACCTTCATCGTTGTAAATGACCTATTGATTGAAGTACGTTATTATTTTATTATATTGATATGACTCATGTTTTTATTCATTTTCTAAAGACACGCTATGCTGGTCGGTACGTTTGCTCGTCTTACTTGATAATTGTAATTTCCTTATTTATTGTACTAATTTAATCGTTTTTTTTTGTTTAGAAACAGATAAAGTTTAAAACCAAGTTGACCTTCTTTTACTATAGCTTTACTACAGACTCTATGCTCGCCAGTATTGCGTTTACTGTTGTAGAATTACATCTGTAGAACAAATTAAATCCTACAAGCCGTAATGCGGCCACTAAAATTTCAAACGACATGCGTCAAATGAATGGTCTGTACGCAGCTGAAGTAGTTGATAAAAAGTGGAGTTATCCCAAATTCTCTAACCCGATGCAGCCTATGAAATCAATGCGACAGGCACAAATACTTAGGCAAAAATCATATTGCTTCAACTGCAATCTCAGCGATGTGCCGATTATTTTCACTAGTCTTGTTCGTCAATAATTATAGTATTTCAACTCGTTTTTTAAACTTTTAACAGGGTTTTTTAAAATAACCAAAAATTTTTTTAAAATTTTCACAGCGTTTTTTAAAATAACCACAGCGTTTTTTAAAATTTTTTGTAATCCTTAGAATGTCAGAAATAAATAGAAAAAACAACTTGATTTCGAATGGAAAAAGAAAAAGCCTTATAAAAAAGTTATTGAAGATGGATACAGCGTCAAGGATGCGGAATTTCTTACAGATGTAAACTATCAGGCCGCTACAAATATTATAAGGTTGTATAAAACGGAATCGCGAGTTGAGAAAAAAACAGGAAAACCATCAAATAAGAAGATATGCGGTGATATTATCAATTTTGTTGAAGAATTGATAGAATTAAACCCGTTAATAACGATGGTAGAAATTCGAGAAAAAATAGAAAACATATTTTCTATAGGCCTTTCTCTTGAATCTATAAGAAGGATAATTTACAGACTTCAGATTACTTTGAAAAAGATCTCTTATACATCGGTCAATATAAATTCGGAATCCAGTAAAAACAAACGCCAAATTTATGCTCAAAATTTTATGAACATTGAAGATACATTTATAAAAGTTTTTATAGATGAATCTTCTTTTAATTTGTACTTAAGAAGAACCTTGGGAAGATCTACAAGAGGAAAACCGGCAAGTGCCCTAATTCCATCAACGCGTGGAACCAATATAAGTTTAATATCGGCTATAACAGAAAATGAAGTTCTCTTTGCTAAAACATTTGTTGATTCGGTGAATTCAGATAAGTTCATTCAGTTTTTTGATCAACTAATTGAAAAATGCAATCAAAAATCAATTTTCAAGAATTGTATTTTTATACTTGATAATGCGAGGATTCATCACTCAATTATCACAGAAAACTTTTTTGATGAAAAGGGAGTAAACGTTATGTTTTTGTCTCCCTATAGTTACATGCTTAACCCAATCAAATTCGCGTTTTCGAAAATTAAATCCATTGTAAGATGATCTCTGGCGAGCTGATCCAACGAATCTTTTATAAATCTAATACTAAATTCTGTAAATCAATTAACCAGGTATGATTTACAAGGTTATTCAAGACACGTACGTCGCAATTGTTTAAAAGCGATTGCCAAAGAAGATTTTAATTAAAAGTAGTTCTTATTTTATTTTTTCAAAAAAAAACGCTGTGAAAATTTTAAAAAATTTCTTGGTTATTTTAAAAAACCCTGTTAAAAGTTTAAAAAACGAGTTGAAATACTATAGTAATTAGTATAATTACTATCATATTATCATGAATTTGAAACAGTTATATGATTGTAATACTCCTTAATCAAATCATCATATCCAAGTCATGACATTCACCAACCACTGAACCGTATTTGCCAAAATTATCGCACAATACAAATATCATACTGCTGTATGTCACTTAAAAATTACTAGACAAAATCTTATCGAAAACGTCCACCTAAGTTCATATTTTGTTCCTGCTTTTAGCTTAAGTTCCCTTCATAATTTCAGTTATTTAATATGGTTAGTTTTCTTCTATTTAGTATCTCATGCTAAACACGTCTACATACGTTCCACTTGTAACTGTGCACTTCTCTTAAGATCACTGATATTTGGTAGTGACTCTTTTCAGTGCTCTAATGAATAATCTTCTATTCCCTTGGGTTTGGTTATCTGACATAGATAATTTCGGTCTACTTACTAGCTTCTGGATTACTAATAATCTTACAGTCTAGTCAAATCAGTTAAGAAACATGAATGTCCGCGCAAATCATCAATTCAAACAGTCTAAGGAATTCTTACAAAATGAAGCACCATTTGTTGGGATTACACTTACACTGAAAGACAATGAGTCACGTCAGTATCAAGGGTTTAAGTTGAGTATCATATTATTCACTATCTAATGGGGATCAAGCTTTATAACATAAGAACGAAAACATTACTGGAAAATATTACTTTGGAAAGCATACTTCTACCGAAAACAAAACTACAGTTTGGAATACAATTCAATCGATGTATTTATTTACTGGTTAAATGAATGTAATGTCAGTAATTGTCTTATTTTTCAATCGCAGAAGCCGCATGTTTTGGCACATAGACTACGAGCTTCCTCTGAATTCAGATGGCATTTTCTACTTTGTTTAAACACACCACAATCCATAAGTGTTAATGAATCACGACATTCGTCTGAAGAAAAAAAAGGAAACATTACTGATATATTTATCTGAAAAAAGAAATATACAGATGAAGTATTTTGCTAAATGTTTGCCTTGCCTGCATCAAATTAGCCGAAAAATTCTCCTTATTAATTGTTTCCATGTGACTTTTAAGAGCAATCCTAAAGCTTATGAATTTGTCAAACTAGACGATTCAGCCATGCAAATGAGTTATTCGTACACAAACGATGTTCTGAAATCGGCTAGTGTGGGACATTTTAGACTTGTTTAAGAGCAAATTTGAGTTTTAAACAAAAGGGATTTTAGTATAGGATATTTGTGGAGGTTGTAGTGATTTTGCATTTAAAATCATGAATTAATATTAACCAAACCTGAGAATTATTCAACTGTAATTTAAGTTGGATCTGGGATAACCAATAACAACGTATGAGCTTAAGTGTTGAATTTAATAACATTTGCACTCCTGGTATCATCTGATTTATAAGTATATGGGCAAAAATTTTACGTTATAAAAAAAATCATACCTTTAGGGAATTGATGATCTATTGAACACCTCTCTCGTTTAGTTATGATTTGTTGAATACATTCACTTGGTTTTAAGGATGAAGTAACCCATGGTCGAGTGTAGAATATAATGTGTTTCAATCTTTGCTTATTGTAACACGGACTAAGTTTAATTCGGGGAGATGGACAATTAACACAGTTAAATCTTCTTTCCGTTCTTTAATAAAAATCAGAATAGTAAAAAAAAAAGATTTTCAGTGTACAGCCTATTTTTAATGGCAGAATGTTACATTATTTAAGTTCAGTGGAATATCTTTAGTGTAAAAACTGTAACAATCCTATAGATCATTGTTCATTTTCTTAGAACAATAAGAACCAAAGCTGTAAATCATCTATGATACTTTTACATCTAATCACTCGACAAATACATGAAATTCTTTAAAACAGTATAGAACATATAGTAGGCATAAAAACTCTGTATCTTATTTCAAGGATAATTCTATAAAAGTATTCAGTCAAATCAATTATCGTTCAAGAAATGGTAGTAGTTCATTAACTAGCAAATATCGATATACTGTAGTAGTAAATATTATTTCAAGCGTATCTAGTCAGCTTATTAAGAGATCATTTAGAGAACTATGTGACCAGAATCAATTAATTTTTCCAACAGCTGAATTAAAATCTGCTTCCAACTGATTCCGTCGGTGGTGGAAATGTATGCAATAAATAAAAGTTTGGGGTGTTTCACACATATTTTATCAATGTGTCATTAAAACATTCAACTAAAGTGATAAATTCTTTGCATTGTTTGACAAGAGAACACTTATTTTCATAGTAGACAAAATAACTGACTGCGCGTCACAAGATGGTTAATAAGTAGTATGTAATGGAGCGTCACCCGAAAATTGCCACTGGAGAGAGGCGTGTCTGCAAATCGAAACGCAAGACGAGATCGGAGAATATTAGTGACCAGAAGAGATATGAGAGAGAGAGAGAGCAATGGATGTCTGAAGGTTATGTGTACATATTTTGTATATTACACATACATAGTTTTATGCAGAGATCCTAAGTAACAGTAGTTGAAAACTTTTTTGTCAGTAGAAATCAGTACTGAAAAGAGACTGGCTAACATCATCTTTTTGAATGTAGATAATGCGAGAAATTCAAGTGTGAAGTTTCGTATCACAATAATTCATAATCTTTTTTGGTACATGCAAACTCTTGTTCAACCTAATTATTCTCTTAGAATTAAATATGCATTTAGTAGTATCGTGTTTTTCTGAAAATAATTATTCTTATTTTAAAATTATATATTTTTTGAAAAATTCAACAAATAAGAGTATACTTAGTATTATATATGTAGTAAACTAATTAATCAGTAGGAAAGCTAATGAACATGTATCTTCATAATCAACGGTATATTGTAGAAAGGACTCAGCGGTTAACATGTTTTGCTTGCAAAATTATTATTACATGATATGGTGATTGATTTGAAGAGAGTAATAATTTCATTAGCAATAGCTATGCCGTACTTTGATCTAGTTAAGCATAGGTAGACTTTTTAAAATTATATATTAAATCAAACCTGTACAATATTCTGAACAATGAAAACTACTAAAGCTATATACATTCTAAATAAATGATGATTGATTACCGCTTTGTTCTGCAACATCCATTCTCATCGACCACATATTCTGTAATCAAATTTAGTTGATAAACAGATTTCATTGGTGTTGATTCGACTGTCAATTTTTTGCAGGAAGTTATTGAATATTTATCTCTATATGCAGCTAAACATTTGCCACATTCAAATTTATAATTTTTTGTTTGAATTGAGCATTTGAATTGTGGTTTCCCGTTTATTTTTGACGGTATTGTAATAAGCTGAGCGGTGATTTGGTTGATTGTACGTGATCTAGTTAGTTTGTTACATTTGTGTACATACTCAAAGGTTCCAATAGGACAGTCTGAAATAGAAATATTAGTTAAAATGGAGTTTCATTTCATGAAGTTATGTAAAAATTAAAGTTTGTAAGAAAAAACAGCAACTATAAAACACATTAGTGTACAACCGGTTACACGTCTAGGAAAAAAATTGATTAACCGGTTCGTTTGAATAAAAGAATTTTTATAGCTAAGCCTTATTACGATCGCAGACAATTTTATAGTGAAATTTGAATGAAAATGCTCAACAGCGTTAAAAAAATTTTCAAACCTAGAAAAATGATGCATATTTTATTATATATTTCTAAGTAATATTTCCACGGATTTCACAAAACAAAATATATCTATAGTTGTTATGTTAAAAGGGTTACATAGTTATATATTATAAAGCACTGCTGAATATTTAGGTTTAGTTTGAAAAATTCGATTGGGTGGAATATATTAAAAGACGTAATTCACTTTTTTTGTCAAAAATCGTCTAAATAATAATAAAAATGTCCACATGAATAAATCTGTAATGGACTGTTGATGTCTTATATGTGATGATTCATAGCTTCAAGTCTAGTGCACAGTCAAACTGCAAATACAAATACCATTTTATAACTTCCAAATATTAGACCTCCAATTTGATATTCAGCCTACTTATTTCAGCTTCATGTACTTCGTTAAAAATACATTTATTTATCATTATTTAATATATATGGATAGTGACTAACAGTAGGATATAAGAAGAGCACTTCATTCTATTCGGGATTCGTCACTCGGTTGGTTATGCCTCAATCCTAGTGTTTACGTCTGAAATGAGACCCGAACATAGAAACTTTCTCTTCAAACTTCAATCAATCTATTTTCAAAGCAGGATAACCGATAACATGTTCAAAAGTTATAACAATGCGTATATGCCAACAGAGAATGATCCAAACTTAGTCCTGAATATCAAAAATGGGATGATTTAACTCTTTACAAATAACGGTATTTTCTGTAATGTCACATACTAGTAATATGATGTAGCATGACCAACGGACAATGTGTATCACAACCATACAGTTATAACTGTTATTTTCTTTCCACTTTAGAAAAGTCTGTACATAAATTAGCTATGATGCTTTTAGAAAAATAATTTACAGTTTAAGGAGTATTTGAAATGATCATGGATAAACAACAAGTGAACAACCAAAATAAAATGTTTAAAGCAATTCATATCTTTTACATTGAAATCTGTTTGCTAGCAACCATAAGTGGCTTGTATGATGTTCCATTAAAGAGAGTATGATTTAAGGCAACATAAGTACCATGCATAAAACTGAGATAAATTGCAACAAACTAAAAGTCGATAAACTTTTGATTATCCAGCTTAGATTCAGTGAATCATAAATATTTATGGTTATCCGAAGACTTATATATCTTGTCTACCATCCTGATAGGTGCATGCACTGTTGAAGAACCTCCTAACAACATAATCGTTTCTATTTTCTGCAGTGGTTAACAGTAGGATTCATAAACTACGTGCGGTCTTCATTAAAACTGTTCACTTATAAGCAGGTAGATGTGGCTTTTAGTGCAGCTCTGAATCCCAATATCAGGAAATTTAAATCTCTTGAAGTGAACTATTAGCACTTCACTATATTTTTTTGACTGCATGTAATTATTCAGACATTAACATTACGGGTTTCTTTAAAATTTAAACCCTTATATTCACGGAATTTCTCAATCTTATCAAGTTGAAAGTATAATTGTCCAAAATTTAAATAAATTGACAAACTCTAGGGAGAGTATTTTTAAAGTGACTTACATTCACAAACTGACAAACGCATTTTAATTTCAATAAAGCATATACGATTAACTGGATGAGATTTATAAATTATATGAGTATCTAATTTGTATCCAGTTGAATTACATTCTCCGTTGAATACATTTACACCATAACAGGTACAAAGGCCACATGTTTTAGGACATAACTAGTAAAAGACATAGTATAAAATAAGAAAGTTTTGAATTCAGTCGTTAGTTTATCAAGTCACCGAAACCATTTCATAAGTTATCATCATATATGAAACATAAATAGATTTATCAATATTGTACAACTTAACATATTTACATACTAATAGACATACAAAATCAATGAAAGTATACGGAACTATCTAACTAGACAGACTGAGTAAAATGTGGTCTATTCGAACTCAGCACATAGTGCTCTATGGTCAAATTTCTAGATTCAAACTTTACTGCTCTGCAGGGAAATGATAACTATACCTCAATATATAATGAAAGTAATCACATCTCTGGTAGTAGTGGCTATCAAATAAAGCCATCCTTTAACATAATCAATTCGGTACCTAAAACCTTGCTCGAATCCTCATTGAAATTTTTATCAAGCACATTAGAAACAACCAAGTCAATTAATGTAACGAAATATAAATTTCTGTTTAGTTTAGTGTTATTTGAGTAAGTCAATGATTCATATTTTTTGCGAAATGTACTATTTAAAATATTGTAATTCTTTCAATTTATAATTCTAAGTAAAATTAATTTCTGGATTTAATCTCTCTTTAGAACTTATTCCTGCTTTTTGAAGAATTTTACTATAATCCAATTAACAGTCTTACACAAAGTTCAAGGAATAACATTTAATGTATTGTGACCAATACTTAAGTAATACAAATGAGTAAAGGTTGTATCGGTTTATTTAGAATCTCAAACATTTGTTTCTTTCAAATATTCTAGATTTTTAATCAGCTTCTCTCTTCATAATAAACAATATGATAAAAAACAGAGTAATTCATCGATTAAAAAAAATCAACACAAAAAGCAATTTTTACCCTGCTGAAAACATCATCTTTACACTTCCGTTGATCGTCTGCTAGTTCTGCTTCACACCATAAAGTTGATTTCAGATTATCACAGTTATTTAGATTCGTTATAGGTAAATCACGATATCTCGGATTGCTACAGGGAGTATAGCCTTGCCAGTGTTGTTTTTGACAAACACCCGATTTCGATTGAGTGTAATATTGAACACTGATAAGTTTTGAGCAGTGTAAAGAAGTCTTAAACTTCGACGACTCTGAAGGATAGCCATAATAGTTTTTGTAGACTTTACATTCACATTTGGAAATCTCGGTTAACTTCGGACTTGGACAAGCTGTTGAAAAATGATTAATAAGATCATGAATTAGTTGCAGATGATTATTGAAAACGATAATAAACAAGAACTTGTTTGATTGTTATCTGATAACACAGGTTTATAGAATCCCCAATTTTACATGCTCATTCATTCAAAGATATTGAAATTTATTTTAAAAAGTATAACTGCTTTGGGAAATTGTTAGTACATACTTCAAGCTTAACCTGTTGAAGAAATTATAGTCTTTTGAGTAATTCAAATGTACTACATAGCTAACACAGTTTGCTTATGCAACAGTATTAAGAAATCTGTTATTATAATCTTCATTTAGTTTTGAGCTTACGCATCGAAACGTTGCATTATGATAAAGGATCCAGGAAATCCAACCAGCAGCAACCAACATTTAATAAATCCTTACATACTGAAGAATTATTTAGGCATGGAGTGAAAACGACTTGACAGAGAATTCAACGCTAATTTGGATAGTAACTGATTATCTCATACAGGATGGGTAAGCTTAGCAATCGAACCAATGCAAATTTATCAAAGAGTTAGGATTTATTTGCAATTACTTTAATCATCGGCTGCATACGTACGATAAACAGAATGGTGAATAAACTGTCACAAATGAGTCAAATTTTCTCTTGAAGTCAAGATAATGTAATTTTTACTGTTAGTTTTATGGTAAATAATAATAAGATTGTAGAGTTTAACTATATTAGGATGATAAAATATCAACTTTTAAATGTTAGTTTCATTCTGATCAAATCATATCACATAAATCTCATTCTAAATGATAGAAACAATAAAATCTACTCAACCTGGTTAAAAATATTGATTACAGACATGAAGAGAAATGTTTTATCATATACTGTAAATGTCATTTGTGAACTCACTGTGTTTGCAAATTTTTCTGAATGCCAAACATTTTTGGAAATTAATAGGCGAGAAGAATGGATCAAGTTGCTGTTCAATCGGTTTAAAAACGATATCAATCGAATTCTGTTGTTGTTGTTGGTGTTGTTCATATTCATGTTGCTTAATGGCTGAAAGGTCGACTCTATATAGCATACAATTGGTAGTTTTATCAATTTCATTTAATTCAAATTCACTCGACATGGAATAAATGAAACTTAGGCAGTTAGTTTGATTGGCGCAGGCTAATTTGCAGGAGGCTAATGTGTGGGTCATTGGAATAGATTTAATCAGAAAGTTTTTCAAAACATGTTGATTGTCTTCAGCACATGGATAATTTGCATTGATCATTCGATATCTAATGTTGTTCAGTTCACAACCTTTGGAAAGAAATGGAAGAGAATAAACAGTGATCATCACAAGTGAATCAAAGTTATACATTTAAAGCTTTGGTTGCAGACCCAACGGTATAAAGGTTAAACTTTCAGGCTCGATCTCTCGAGGGGTCTCAGTAGTGTTGGGGATGTTAGATCCCCAAAACTCGTTTGTTAAATGCCTTATTTTGGATTCTACGTTTGCCAGCATGGGCTGATCAGTTGACCTTGAGATTTCAATTTCCACCATGAAAATCCATGGCTGTGATTGGCTGCTGTGTATTTTAGTGTGCTATTTTCTTAACTGTCCTAAGGACGTTCCTATGATGTATAAATAAACGAGAGTTATATGCTTGATTGTACTGTGATTGCTGGGTGTTTGTAGAATATACTTTCTACGCTTACAAAGCCTTCTTACTTTAGTTGGGGATTCAAGGTAGCCTACCTGGACGCTGGTAAAAGTCTCGTTCGCGTTTATCGACTAAGTGACGAACCCAATAAGTGGTTCTGCCAACTATTTCCATACTAAGATGAAAAAACCTTTTCATTGGTTCCTGGCTTTCAATGGTTATCTAACATAGGTTGGTTCATAGTATCAATAACTGAATAATTTCAAGAATAGTAGAAATATTGTTTAAGGTTGTAACGCGATAGCCTCTACTGTTTCCCTCTTTTTTATACTGTTATGATGATTCAGGGTATACATACTACTAGTTACATAGTAGTCTTTTAGATTTTTTCAAATAAACTGTAAATTGTATCACTCAAGAGCTAATAATAAAAATTGTTAAGTTAAACAACACTTTCAAAAGAAAAAACGCACCTAAACAACGACGACATGTTCGACGACATAATAAATCAGATAATTGACTAGATTTCTCACAGATACGTCGTGATGATCGACTGATTTGTAAACAGTTTTCAGCAGGAAGTAAATCTATACAATCTATTATCTGTTCTACTGTAGTTAATATTTGTCTGGACGCTTTAGGTTGAAGTTGTTTGATATTTTCTAATCTTTCAGGTTTATTACACTGTACTTGTAAACGACGTATAGACTCCTGACATTTACAATTATAAACTTTGTAAATTTTGACAGTCACTCTCATTTTGCCTTCTTTGCATTTGGAATAGTGGAGAATATTCTTTGGACATTCTAAAAAATTGAACACAGAATTTACTCGTCATTGGCAAGAAGAAAAATCTCAGAAAGAGAGAGAGAACATGTACTACAATGGTAGTTAGCAATTAATCAAATCTTGTGCTGTGAATTGACATCCTTTTTTATAATCCTTGTGACAGGGATTTTTATGCTTCTGGTAACTGTCGTTTCCAAATTATCCTCTTAAGTAAGCATAATAAATATAGTTGGATGCGGTAAACCTCTTTTATTTGGTCTGCTCTAAATTTCCAAACACATATGTAATTAGTCAATGGAATAATTGAAAAATGTTATTTTATACGAAGCATCAATCAGTTAGTTACGTTTATTGGTGAAGATTGATCAAAATTACTTTATACAGTTATACAAGTTCAGTTTATAAACGAACGAAACAACCGATAAAGGTTATAACGTAACCAATGGCAAGAAAGATCTGTGAAATTACTATTATTATTTTCTCAGGTAAAATAGTCAACTTAATATCAGTTACACAAACCAAAGATAATCAAAATTAGTCATCATGATAACAACATTTAAAAATAGCATAAATATTTTTTTCTGGAAAAAAAAGTAAAAATTCTTAAATGCAACTTTTCAAACTAATGATATGAAATGAAAATGTGACTAAAATGGGGACATGTAATTTGATAAGGAGAGTAAACAGCCTTCCACTTAACTCTATAGTGCTTGATTTGAATTTCGAAAAAAAAACTCTTAATGCATATAATTATTAATGATTGTTTCACAACAAAATCATCACACTGATAGGCTTATAGGTAATTTTCGCGTCGTCTAAATTGAAATTCAGACGTTTCCTTGCCATTTTGTTCTTTCGAATATTGATTTACTGATGACCGATTTCAATTCATTATACGAATCGCCGTTGAAAGTGGCCAACAATAGTTATTTTATGTATCCAATTTGCTCTACACGGATTCAGATAAAATTATAAAGTATTACCAGTGATTTTAAGTTGACCACCAATAACGCATTTATAGTATAATCATTTTTCTTAAAAAATTTTTAGGATTTCGTTTTGGCATCTGAATACTTTGCAGTGTCTGAAACTTGTATAAACTTGTACAGCAGTTTAATAATGTGATACTAATGAAGTATGTAGTATGAAATCCTAAACATTCAGTACAAGTAACCATGTAATCACTTCATTTTCACTCTCTTAATGTAAAAGTCAGTTTACCCTATATTTTGGGTCAAAAAGAGTCAAAGGTGACCTAATTCATGGAGTATCTCATTTCAATGAAGACGAATTTGTCTCAGATCTGAAAGACGTATTGATCATCCCATTTTTCTAGATTCGATAAATAAAGTGGTAACAAAGCATCATCGGATTATAACTAACATTAATTTGTGATGGAAACCTTAATTTAATTCATAATTCTAGCTCAGAACTTTAGCTTAACTTCTAATATTTGAAACTGACCTCTTTGGTTTATAGTTGGAGTCAGTTAGTAACGAAAACAATGATAACTCAATTCTTGAGATGCAATTCTATATTTTTCTTTAATATAGTAAAAAATTATTCAACTCATAACGGTTAATTACTCATATTAAATCTTCTGTTCCACCATAATTTTACTTCGTTTTACCGTTAGTTATTTCAGAACTAAATATTTCTTCTTGATTGACTGATAAGTTGCCCAAGGTCATCAGGATATTATACTTTTACAGAATTTTGTTATACAATAAACTACGAAAAATTATTTTGTTTTTAGACTTACGGATAATATTTTCTTTCATTGTTTGTTCTATTTTACATTCATATTTATATTTACCAGACGATAATTTAGTCTTGATGAGCTTTTCTTTGATAACATAAATTTGTAGTTTATTGCTTACACTAATACATTTTGTTTGTAATCGGATAGGAAGACAACTGCATACTTGTTTTTCTATCAACATTGGTGGCAAATTTCGACAGACACAGTTGGATCGCATCCATCTATGCACTGTGATTGCTCTGTATGATCGACCATCTTCAGCAAGTTCACATGGACCAACAGAAGTTTTAGTTTCAGGACAGACTAAAAAAATAAAACAACATGGAAAGTGTTTGACTGAACTCACTCTTAATGATCATACTGAAATTATACAGGAAATTATTGTTCATAGTCAATATGTCTTGTAAACTTTAAGTAAACTTTAAATGAATGAGTTGTTTGATATCATGAAATCTGATAAACAGTTGGAAGTTATTCAAATCCCAAAGATGATTATTTTGATAGATTGTAGCATTTATTAGTAAAAGATATCAACAGCAGTGTTACATCTTGTGACTAGGCTTTAGCAGCCGCCTATGACTTTTACGAACTGAGGGATAAAGATTAAGCTACTTTAATAAGACCAGTTCTCTTGAATGTGCTGGCAAATCACTCACAAGACAACAACACCCGTCACTAAACACAGGAAGCAACTGAATATTTGAGGACTGGACAAGCAATACAACCAAATGTAGTACAACACTCCGTGAAAAAGATATGAGAGACAACCTTGAAGCATTCGAAACGTTAGCGTACTAAAAAATGTCAACAATCAGTTAGATAGCATAGGTTATGTGGGAAATTGAGTAGGAAAATGACGAGCAAACAGTTATAATTTCTAAAAGAATTTCAGCACAGTTATCCAAGTTAGATTTTACTTTAGCGCACTGACCAGCAAAAGTAGATTCATGAACTGAGGATGTAAAGAGTTTTGTTTACAGAGGTACGTTAGGTAAAATAACAGAGATAAAATGAAATGTTTGATAGAAATACTTACTTATTTTTCTTGCTGCTTCTATTACATAATGTGGCCGACATATAGCGTCAGATAATTTATTCAGTCGATTTAATTTGGTATATTCATGTGGAATTCCAACAATTTCTAATCTTACTTTTTGTCTGTAAGTCATTAACACTCCAGTTTGTTGATCACATTTATGCTTAGTTCTCACAGAGTTACTAATGATTGACGATTCATCACAACCACATGCTTCAAAATAAGATTCATAATATCTACGACAATCACAATCTTGGATTTTCCATTTAACTTTTTCAACTAATCTGTAGATAAGACCAGGATCAACTTTATCAATTTCATAATTTCCTTGGTTCTCAGCAGCTTCAACATTGAAACGCCGACAACTATGATAGGTTAATGATGGTTTACTCGGACAAGCTTAAATAAATATTTGAAAAGACATAAGTGGTTAATGTGACTTTGTGGGTAAAGTAGAATAAATAGGAATTATTAATGAAGCTACGTAGATCATCTTTTGTTAGGAAAGTTTGTGGCTCATTCATCAAGTACATCTGTGTATAAAGAAAATATCATTGATGATACATTTCTATCTGAACTCGAATACCTACAAACTAACCATTGTATTATACACACATTAGTTAATATTTCTTTAGTAATTATGAGATAGGAGTTGGGATTGTCATTTCTTCACTCGATTAAGAGATGAAAGTACAACGGAACTACTATGATCATAATTTCATCAATTGAAAGTAGTCATTAAGCATCGTAATTATCTTTTGATACAATGTAATCTGGCATAATTCAGCAATTCACAGAGAAATGTTTTTGGTGAATACTTACTCCAGGCAAGGTTTTAACCATTCACATATTTCAGTGTTTAAATGACGAATGCTATTGAAGAAATTCAGTCAATAATGAATTTCTAGTATAAAAAAAATAAATATTTTTGTTATTTTTGCCAAAAAATAATCAAAGTATCTATGAGAAACACTTATCTTAAAAATGAATTCGACGGTTCCAATATGTCATGAAATCAATATATCTTTATGTATTAAAGTACAAGTATGGGGATGATTCATACGTCTTAACAGAAAGCTGATAAGAGTTAACTAATCAGTGACACAAACAATTGACTATTCTCACTATTACCATGTTGGTTGTCGTCTTCATAGTTAACAGAAAGTTACACTGATTTAAACTTATTAGTGACTATTTTTCAAAATTCAGGGAGTAAAATTTAGTTAACATAATAAAATAAAATACAATAAAATCGAAAAAGTATACGAGAAAACTTATTTCAAAATGAAACTTAAATGTTTTATTGTATCAGTTGTTGTTAAGTTTGAAAACTGTCATGATAAGCGATACAAAATTGAGTACATGAAATATATTCATTCTACGAATCAAATCAAAATATTATTTTTATTCCATAGCAAAAACTTCTGTCAACTCATGTACATTACACTAAGCTTCATCACTGAAGTAGGCAGAAATCAAAAGCGATATCATACAAACATCAATAATAACGGTAGAGAAGTCAAAGATAACATGAAAAACGTAAACAGATTTTAAAATTTGTTACACTCTGAACCATTGTTTCGAGTTTTGAAGCCGATAATTTCAAAAAATCTCATGCATCTCATTCTACATCTTTTCGCTGGTTCACTTGATATTTTCATTTTTATCTGTTCACTGAAGTCATTAATAACATAATCACTACATATTTCTTAGACATTAACTTCTATCTTAGGATTAGGCAGTGTTGGGTTAGTATTATAAAGATTTATATGAAAAAACTGTACGTAATATAGTGAGATAACAAGTTTTATATAAAACTTGTCATTGGTATGATTCTTGTTAATTATATGATTCAGTTGAAGAAATTAACAACTACATAAACTCACTTATTGGTTGAAAATAATAAGAAACTCGTTGAATGCAAGAACCAGAATGAACTTCAGGATCAACTATTTTCTCTTCAAAAACTTTTATATCATTATGTTTACAGCCTACATAATTTGATGTACGATTTCCTTTACAGCCTAAATTAATGTTTTAAAAAAAATATGAGAAAGTAAACTTAAGTTGACGTAGATCAAATGGAAGCAAATTGCATTTAGATGAACCAAATGACTAATTTTGACTCATCTTTTGAACTTGGTTAAAGTCTGATTAACTTAACCTTATTTTTAATTGACACTACCGGTGCAACATACGAAGAAGTCAAAATCTGATGGAATATGAATATTTAGTGAAAATACAATTTATTTACGAATTATTTCCAGTTAAATTTCAGCCAGCCACTTGCATTACAAGTAGGTTGTTGACTGTTATATCTTACATCGCTTCTGCTTTTTAATATTCTCTGACCTCGCCATGCACTTCGATTTCTAGACACTCTTCCCTCTGGTAGCAACTTCTGAGTGACCTTCCGTTGCATGCTACTTATATGCTATCTCATGAGTAGCGTCCACCACATCGAGTCGAATTTTGCTTTACCTACTTTGGCTGAGTTAGATGAGCAATTTCATAAGCTGTAAACAGACAGTATGTTAAAGCTAAGTACTTTAACTTGAATTCAGTAGAATGAATTACGCTAACACTTAACACTTTACTGAGTTTTGCTGAAGTCTCATTCAATCATTTCATGAAATCGACTGTTTTTAATGAACTGAGAAACACAAGAATAAATGCTGTGATCATTACCAAGAATATATTGCTTTACGTAGCAATTGTTTTATTGAAGAACTAAAAAGTAATTGTATTGGCTGTTTGAAATTTCAAATGTAATGGAGTGATACTATGGCGTTAATAGATTTTTACTTCGATCTTTTATAGTTGCTATTAGTTATATATTTTGAACAGCAAATTGCATAAAATTCAAATTTACATATTATTCAATGATTAACTAAATAACTCGGCAAACTATTCCTTAAAGATTCTTGTGCTCAGTAAGATTTTTAGGTACAAACATTTTAGAAATCACTTGTAATACTTTACGCACGTACTGTAAAGTGAATTTCTACTGAATGAAGTAGATTTTTATCAATTTCAAAGAAAGCATCCATAGCTTTTTCATGATAATCACATATGATAGTCCGAACAGAGATGCATAGCTATTGAAGTATAATTTCAAACATGTAAGTAATAAAGTCTGTTAATACTGATAACAGTGCACTGAGCCAATATCTACCATTTGACATCCGATTAAAGTTTTCAGTTTTTTAATTCCACATTCATTTAACAACATTAAGTTTTTTCTAATACAATTTAACATTTATTTGTGTATAATAATACACAAACAAAGTTATTAATAAATCCTTTTATTATTTGGAAAAAAAACCCTTCTGTAAGAAATCTTTCGTCAAGAAAAACAAAAAGTAGAAATAAATATACAGTTGAACTTACAACATGTTTGATGTTTGACAGTTACAAATCGTTTACATTTGCATCTTTGAGCAACATAGTTGACTATTGTTACACGCTGCTGACATGTTAATGGATCGCAAGGCGATTTGAATATTTTTGGACGCTTACAAGCTGTATTGAAAGAATTCATTGATTTTAATAAAAAAAATTTTCTGAATAAACAACATATTCAATAATAAAGTTATAAATAAGCTGGATCTCTTATAACTAGTACATTTTCAATTGCAAAGGATTCGTTTTTTCTCGATATTGATATTTGGTATTGAATTGACGTGAGTTTCTGTCAGTATTTAGGCTGATTTAATGCAAAAATCAATATTACATGCATTCACCAATGGATAATATGTTGCAACAATCTAGATCCATGACAAATAATTATAAATATATAAATCTGTCAGCAAGTTAGTGACTTTCAGCATTCAGTAACATGATCGTTGACGCTAAATTTTCATTGGCTTTGAGTTCCTGTGTGAACAATGAAGCTACGACCTAGATCACTTCATTCTATGAGTATTAAGTAAAACAATCTGTAGATACTTCAATTGCTTATATCCATCACTCGAAATATACTAAAGAGCGAATTATATTATTCACAGATTAGTCACATGACGATTTGTGCTCTATATAGATTTTGAAGTAAAGCAGAAAATAAACACCTAACAATTGATTTTATTATTCACTATGAAGAGAGGTTTTCAAGTGTAAAGTACCTTAAAGTGTTAACAGATGTGATCAAAGACTCCATGTATTTCTTAAATTAATGGTGACTTAAATAATTTTTACATGTTGGGTAAAATATCTTATTTCGATTGAAAATATATAGATAAAAGTTTTGTGGATTTCCGTATTATCTGAATGTACTTCAGTTCTAAAAGTCATTTTAAAATGTAATTTAAACTTTGGTGAAAAGGCGATGTTCAGTTACCTTCATTTATTATTTCTAGATCTAAAACCTAACTAGCACACAAATTTCCTCCACCGTCTCGAAATCAAAATTAAATAAAGATTTAAGGTTAACAGCGACCAATCAAGATCGAGGTTAACAGAACGCGTCATACGTGGAGAATTTCGAATACTTCATTTCTTTCTGAAGTCTGTGCCGTTGATGTTGTTCAGACGAAAAATAAAAACTCCACAACCAAAACATCCAGCTCGGAGAATGAAACTTCACCACACATTCAAACTTATTTTTAAGTATGATCCTTTATGAGACATTCAAATTAGATTTTGAATTAGAAGTTTTAATAAAAATGATAACGTTCCATACTCTTGGTAATTGATCTTACGAGCTGAAATTGAGTGGTGCCTGAGTATTGTCCTATATCATCCTTGTATTATCGTTCTTATTGATCAAATTATGTTGATCAATTTGCAATACAACTCTTATGCCTAAAACAGTGAAGCTGCGTGATACGGTTCCCAATCACACAGGCATAATTATCTCCGTCCTCATTACAAGTAAGTCTTTTGGTTGAATGCCAGTTCCCATGTAAACTAGGTCTAAAGTTTCTTGTAGAATAAATCTGACAACTTAACAGTGGGATATTTTCAGTACTTGAATTTATTAATATGACCTAGTAAAGTCGGCTCGTCGAGTATTCCATGGATTTATGTTGTATGCCCAATCATATTTTTTTTGGAAATAATTCAGCAGTTAAAATTTATTATTTCATTATTCTAATTTCATGTGATTTTATCGGATTTTCAAAATCTTATTTGCATACTTGTTTCTTCGTGTAACTGATTCCTTTCATAAATTTAAACAAAGCAAGAACAACAATATTTATAAATACTGTCGTTTTTGACTTATTACTCTAGCCTACTTTCGTTGTATTTGAGTCTTGAGCTTTCTCATAGTAACTTCTACTTTGAATCTGGTTCAATGTCATTAAAGGAGTTTCTCAACTATGAATATGTTTTTACGTCTTAAAATCATCAACCAATCATTATTAGACCACCATTAGAAACCTGGAAGCACTGGACGACCGTTTCGTCTTGGTATGGGACTCATCAGCAGTGCGCATCAATCCCATACCAGGACGAAAATGACGTCCAGTGCTTCCAGGTTTCGAATGGTGGTCTAACAATCATTGATTGATTGATGATTTCAATCTGTAAAAACACTAATATTCATAACTCTAATTGAAAATATTCTAACCAAGTTCTTAAAAAAATTCAGATAAATGAATAATTCGATTATGTAAAAAAGAATATCATATTTACTTACCCAACTTTTTGTGTACATCTCTTCGTTGGGGTAAACATTCGCCCTCAAGGAGTCGTTCAAAGTGATAATGATAAACAATGAGATCGTCACCGAAACAAGTTTTAGTGTTATGCTTTTTCGTACAGCGACATCGAACAATTTTATCGATTTTCTTAGTCTACAAGTGTTAAAAATGTTTAAGAGTACATCCATTGAAATTAAATCATTTCGGTCAGTTGTAAAAATTGCATTTCAACGAACCAATGTCAAGGATATAATTCATTTCACAAAATGATAAAAAGTTTTGACGTGAAGAAATTACGACGACAATTAAACATGAAGGCCGTAAGTTTGTTTATTTTACAGTTTTTGACAAGAATTTGTACCAGATGTTTGTTTGTTCTTCTGATAGTTTAGTGATATTGTTATCAGTTTATGATAATTACTTATTTTAAAGGAAAGTGCTAAACTATTTAGGTATTCAAAAGTGACGATAAATACATTTTTTAGATATATTTACACCACTTAGTTCAGGTAAATCGTAACAGTAAATTATCGAACAAATATTGGAAAATGGATTCGTAACAAACACTGACTATTAATCAAGAAAAAAGATTCCGTTAGCGTAAAAATGATTGAAATAAATTTTAATCCGACTCTCATTTGTTGAAAGCAATTAGCTTTAGTCCTAACTGTGTGGTATATATTTTGAGCCATCTTATCACTACTAGAAACCTTATTCAACCAAAACTACTCTTGTTTGTGCTGATATAAATAATTTTAGCTTTTTGCAGAGCACTAATTCTACCCTCGTTTCAACAGTGATATTGTGTGGAAAATTTTTATCTGTTTTCGGTTAGAAGTAAACTTGAATTTAGCAAAATCAAATCATGGATTTCATCTAATGTTCATTATTGTTGAATTTGTATCATTTGCACAGTACATTTAACCGTGATATGAATTACATATCCAAATTCGTCATTAGATCTACTAAAAATGGAATAATAATTTAGGAATTAATCTGTGTACGTCTTTTAAAAATTATAGGATCGATTAAATTGTTAAGAAAGTTCCATTTTTAAAAGAAACTAATTTCAAATGCACATGGAGTAATCATTCCTGACTGAGTAAGATTATCAGAGGGTAAACTGTTCTTAAATGAACAAAAAACTACTTGCCTTGCATTCACAATTCTTCATATAGCGATAGACTGTAACTTGAACTGCTTCACCTCTTATGTTGCAACTCTTGATGAAAGTTTGATTTGCTGGTGTGCATTCTAAAATCATAACAGTGGAAAATTTTCAAGATTATAATTAGTACCATTAAATTTCTTGCCTTATCACTAAGGTATCAAATAATTCATATATTTATAATAAAGTTCACTAATCCTAAACAAACATCTTAATCATAGATGACTGGTGGGCAATACGATGGGGGGGGGAATTAGAAAACAAATTCATTATGTTGAAATTTACTCAAACGTTTGACCAGTCTACTACCCAAACCCTTGTTGTCACCGGATATATAATACATAATCAGTAAACCCATTTCCTTTAGTCAAGTGTTGTTAACCGAAGTATGTTTATTTAACTGACCACAGTACTGAATTTCTTACACAATTATACACGATTAATCATGTGATGACATCTATTTAAGCTTATCAAGTCAAGATAGTATTAATCTAAAGTTTCACTTGTTGAATTGCTAGATTATTCCTAACAAATATAACATTAGGATATAAGAACTGCACATTCAGTTGAACTAAAATGTTAGATAGTTGGAAAAAAAACTTTTATTGACTAAAGTTCACTTAATAGTATCCAGTTTATATACCTTTAGTTAAAACATTTTCATTTCTAACATAACTGCTTATTAGACCTAAAATATGGTAAAACTTCCAGTAAACTATACACTTATCTGGAAAAAATGACGACTGTTACTAGAATGTAGATTTCTAACCCGACTAGACAGGTTTGATAGAAGTGAAAATTGATACACTTGCTACAGTGCACATAAAACATGAGCGGTAATTTTTATGTACATACGAATGACAATTTGCCTACGGAGTATAGTGGGTATTTCATTGAAGCACAAACATCAATATTTCATGTGACATGGATGGGTTCAAAAAATCTTTCCACTCGGTAGTTTTTTGGTTTGGAAATTCATTTTTCTAAATCTTTTTTGAACTACCTATGTATATATGCGAGTTTGAGGAAGGATATACTTACGGCTAATCGCTAATCCAGTAACATCTCTTCTAGTGACATATTGTTCACAAAATCCATTTGAAGTTAGCTGCCAATTTTCTGTATACTGAATCAAATGATTATTTTCACAGGTAGTCTTTCGTTGTACCTCTTTCATACAACCTGAAATTGAATCACATCATACGATACGTGATAAGATTAGGTTGGAGAAATATCATTTGTTGATTTCCAAGTCATTTTTAGACAGTTCATGTAAAATAATTGAATTCTATTCTTCTCAACTGTTTAATAATCAAAATATTGAGGTTGGATACCTATTAAAATCCCTTCTCTTTGTTAGACTTTATCTTATTGATCTTGGAATAACGGTAAAAAAAAACTTAATACTATATAGTCAATTCTTTTATACCTCCAACACTCTGACATAACACAGAGTATAGATGATTAAGTTATCTTTTCTTGAACATCATTTTACCCTTCGATAAGCATTTCGTTATCTTTTGATAAACTCATCATCATACTACCCCAACTAAATATTTCGTATAAAATCACTAACCACCATTTGTCCAATTAGCCTAATATTTTTTGAGACATGGATAGTGGTTCATATTAATGTTTGATCAGTGAGCTACTCTGTAACATGGTTTTTATTTGATAGTTTATTTACTTCTGAAAGACAATACACAGGACAGATTTATATAATCGTGTTCTGATAACAATTTCGTTTGAATGTTAACTGAAAACATTCCCACAGGTTAATGACTTTATGCTTGAATAGTTCGATTATAGTGCTCCCAAATAATTCGTCTTAAAGCTAAGTGGGAATCCATAATTTGCTTACGAAAAATTTATTGACAAAACATGTTAAGAACTCTCAACTCTATAACATATAACCATAACCTGTTATCTATTCATAAAAATTGGCCATGTTCAAAACACTATTATAAACAACTGCGTTAATCTCTGAACTAATGAGATTTGACTAGAATCATACTTACAGCATTGTTTACGCTCGACTATTGTTTTACCAATGCACAGACCTTTAACTGGATTGTAGCGATACACATAATTGTAAATGTGTCCAATGCAGTTTGTTTGACGTGAACATTGACTTTCCATTTTGTGGTTAACTGGACATACTGAATAACAATAAAACACAGAAATCATTGAGATAAACCATTGCTGGAAATTCATTTTTCCTTAACAAAATTTCATATTCACAATGCAAAATGTATAACTTACCCTTCTTGCAAATTGTATCGGATATTCGACTTAAATGACTTGCAAATATATTAGGAGTTCCTTGCAGTCTAACTAAATGGAGTGAAACTGGTGGAGATACTAATTGTTTGAACAAAGTTCTTTGATAGGTGTTCTCTGAGTTCAGTAATATTATATTTATTTGAACATTATGTGATTTTAAATAGTCAGCTAATTGCGCAACACCTGTAGGTTGGTCTGCGATAGCGTCAGTGATTATATATATGATTAGTGATGTTCCAGGACGTATTTGTTCTAGGATCTGAAATGTGAAACATTCAGACAATTTGAAACGAAAAGTGTAATTTCAGTTGACACTTGAGTTGTAGAGAGAGAATAACGACTTTTAATAAAAAACAATTAACTTGAAGCCATCAAATAAACAGATCTTGAAAGACAACATAAATGATCAGTTCAGTGCACTTCTTTATTTCTATTTAATGCCAAAAAAATTTTTAGGAGTTCCTTACATCATGGTTATCCAGTAAACATAAAAATGCTCAAAATTTCACAATCCTTCAACGATTAAGAAAACAAAATACAATTGTTCATATTTCATCTTCATAAGTAATTAAGTGTATTCGAAGTACATAAGTTGTTGCATCAGTTGCTTCACGAAATAAATGAATTTAATTGTATCCCTAAAGGTTTGAATAAGCCCCGTTGTACAAGCCAGCGCTATCTCAACTCAGTAACACAATGAATAACACATTGGATAATACTTGGAGCTAAAAGTATTGCATCCATACATAGCACTGAAAAGTCGTTTATTATTGTAAAACAATACATATCAGTCGTTTTAAAGGTTGGGAGATAAAAAGATACCTGTATTTAACATAACGCATAACATTAAAACACATATAAAAATGAACTTACTTGACTTTTTACAGCATTTAATGCCGCTCTCAAATCGGATTGATGTCCATTAAATGTTAGTTTCTTTATTTCAGCATAAAGTTCATATAAACCTCGATAACTTCTTAAACTGGAAACAATTCTCGCTTGTAATGAATACTGAATTATACCAAAACGAAACTGTTCATCAGTAATTGATGATTGGGATGATTCGTAAAACATGTTCACGGTATATTTCATTACTTTTTTAACATAATAGGAATAATTCATTTGTCTACTCTTGACAGTTTCATCTACGAGAAATACGACATCTGCACTGCCAAGTGGATCACAAGCTGAAAAGTAAATTCATGTTCAGTGATTAACAAGTATCAGATTTTCAAAAAGAACAAATTAGGTATATTTGGAATAGAAAAAATTGAATAAACGTCGAAAATCTTTATGAAATGACCAATGACAGACGTGATATATGCATTTACTGTATTGTACTTACACAGTAAAAAATAACTTGAAGTGGTGCATATATAGCTATTATTGTCGATACTCGTCAGTGAGGAAAAGTTTGACAGAAAATTTATTCCCCTTCAAAAGTTGAAACATAAGATGTTCAACAGTAAAATTAGAGACCGTCACTGAACTATTCGTAAATGTTCCTATATATTTATAGTCATCAACTGTGTTTATCTTTCCTTCATTTGATTGATAAGATAAACATAGTTATATTGTATACTGATAAGATAAGCAGTTCGGTAACAGAAAAACGCTACCGATATCTGAACTTGCCAAGTTTAGCTTTATATATATATATATATATATATATATATATATATATATATATATATATAATCATTTTTAATAAGTTACTAACAGACAAATTAAGCAAATCTCAAGCAACCGCAGGTCCTGGGTTCCATCTCCTTTGCATTCTGCTGACGAGTCTCATTCTAGGACGATGCAATGCTTTCAGGTTTCTAATAGCGGATTAACATTGATCGACTGATGATTTCAATGCATATGTTAATAGTTTGCTGAATTATGGGTATCACTTTTGAGTCTGAATATATATATTTTATAAAAAGCCTGATAATGATGAAGTAATGTGAAGTATTTCATGGCCTACATAATTATTTTCAAACAATTACCATTTGTATTCGGAAACGTTTTATACTGTAATAACATATTATTCAATAGGAACATTGAATCCGATCGCAGAATGTTTGATAATCTTAATATAGAAAGTATGGAAATGATAAAAATTGAGTGAATTTTCACTGAATTAATTCAGTATACTCACCACATGGTTTTATGACGATACGTTTGTCCAGTTTACACCTGCATCCTTCTCTTATTTCACGTTGATGTAAGTTTTTCTGTCGACCTTGACGACAAACTGTTATTGGCTTGAAAAATTCTTTCCGATCGCAAACTTAAACCAAAAGAAAGAAAACGAGCAAACCAAAATGACTCGTGGGATTACTTCAAGTTAAAAATACATTCATGAGCAAACAAGAAAGCAGGCAAGTATCATTGTTATATGATCGCAGAATTAAAATACGTGAAATCTCTAAAGATATTTGTTTGATGTAAACACAGTAAAATTATTTTCTGAGTAGACATCTCTACTTCTCAAGTTCACAACTGAGTTCTATAAGTTACTTCTAGAATTTATTGTGATGCACAGACTGGAAAACTGAATTTAAGTGATAACATGGAAAATATATTAGTCACACTTATAAATGCTAATTTAACATACGGAACAACCCAGAGGTTAAGCTATTTAATGTGAAATGAGAAAACACTCACTCATTGATTAGATTCCATTAGAGATGTTATCTCCCACTGAAAACATCTCGTTAATCCAGTCTTTGTAACCAAGTAAAATTAAATAAAACCGTTTCATGAGTATCTAAAAATGTATTCCCAACCTACTTACCGACTGGAAAAACTGTTCTATGAACGACTGGCCAACATTTACCATGTTCAAGATTCCATCTGATTGTATTAGTCAATATTAAACCTTTGTCTGAATCACACTGTGTAGTGACTGATATAGACGACGAAGAATTTACGGGCAAATTAAGCTGAATCATGTCATGTTCTGTTGGACAACAACATGCCTCACTGTATTGTTTCGTTTCAGTGATACATTTACATTTTTGATTTGTGTAAGTTTTGTATTCTTGTATAATACGCATACATTTCCCAGCTGAACCACACTTGTATATATGCTTTATAAGAGATTGGCTTTGTTGAATCCTATAGTCTGCCGATTCTTCAAGAAGGTTATCGGCCAATGAACATTTAATATACTTGTATTGAAGTTTATCCGATTTTATACATGTTCCTTTAGGACTTAATTCATATGTTGTTATATTGAGCTGTTGAACATTTCTCCTTGAACATCTGTGCAAATAAAATTAGAGAAAAATACTTGGGATACACAGAACATTATCATCAATTATTCATTGGATACTAACTATTAAGATACTTTACTTTTATGTGCCCATCTCAGTTTGCAGATTGGCCCTTTACTTGAGGAGTAAATTACCCTAATCAGAGTTCTAGTGTCATAAAGTTGGTGTAAAAAAAGGCTTTTACAAATGGTCGACAACATACTTGTTTACACGGTAAAAGTTTACACGATACATCTCAAAACTGACTGCTATTGATATCTTTGACTGAGTTATCAAATGAGATTGAGACGTAATTCATCAAAACTTCGCATTGAAAACGAGATCTCAGTCTACAAATTTCTTTCCGCTATATTTGGCTACTAAATAACAGGGTGACTTTTTCCAAGAATATTTTTTACAAAAAGTTTCATTTACGATACAAGACCAGTTTACACTGATATGGTCAGTGTATTAACTCGGAGACTGACATAAATTTCAACCATTTGAATAACTTAATAGGTCAGTGATGAAAAATTTGAGATTGCATTGCTACTGATTGATTAATACTAATTGTAGACAGTAGTAAAATTTGTAGGAGTACTTGATGAGAAAACGCTGATAAAACTACACATTTTTCAGGATATACCTACCTCATTTCCACTTGTTTTTCAGGGCATTTACATCTACCAGGAATACGTATTTCCTTCTTCAAACAATGACAACCAACGCGTTTGAATTCTTCATACAAATGATAAAAGTTACCGGTTTCAGCATCACATTCCGTTCTGCCTTTATATTGAGGACCAACAGGTGAACATGTTATCTTAACTACACGTCGCGATCGACGCGGTAAACAACGTGATTTATCGCCAGAAACTTCATAATCAACATTTTGATAAATTAAAATACCCTTTGGACTAAAATTTAAAATATCAAGTTGGAATTGGATGTAAATGATACACACAAATAGTGATAGTCATTCATTACTTTAGCAAATGCATAAAAGTTACTTCAAGTTAACAGGAAATTTATAAACTTTTTAATCATCAAATTCATATTAATATAACAGTTAAAAAAATTCAAAATTTTCATTCATATGTGAAGTTTAGTTAAGCATATTTATTTGCTGACTAATAATGATAAAAATTCCATCGAATAAACTTGTCTGGATTCTATGTAAGTGGGTCATTGGTTGAAAATAAAGTGGAATCAGTTTTAATTGGATGAACGATATATTAAGAAAGATTAGTTCAGCGAAGAGTTCTGTTTTCAACGAAATAATTTACAGATCTGTACAATTGCAAATGCACACTTTATTCATATGGTAATAATTACAATAAGATAGATAATACATTTTCGGTAAACATGATAATCTTTCTTGTTTTAGGTTTCGATGGATATATTACATTTACTTGAAGATTACAAGGACCCTCTGACAGTAAAGGAACGTAATTGATTTCGACATTATTATGTCAAACTTTCTGAGATGAATTCGAAGATCAACTTCCTTAGTGAACACAAATATCCAAAATGCTATCAAGAATTGCGAATTTCACTAAAAGTTTGAAAACCGCAATAACACAACATAAATCTCTGATTGATTCTAAGAGATATGTATTTGTTCATTCTTCAGCACCTTTGTCAAATATTCAATTGTCGGCTCTATCTATGGGGAAAAGATTCTGTGACAAATGAAAACGTTTATCGACGAAATTCACACAAAGGTTCAGTTTGAAAATTTCATCAAACAAACCAGTGATCCTAACCCAGTCGAAATTACAAGAAAATGCTGTGGAACTCTAAGAAGATCTATCAAAAGGAAACCCTTATAGAATAGTCAGGTATCAAGCTTTCACAGCTGGGTCCCCACTAGTCAAACTGCAACTTCGTTGTATCCGTCTCTACGAGTAATTTTCAGTCCCGAGGTCATAAAAAAGAAAACTTAACCTCCTTAAGGAAATATTTGTCGGAAACGGTTATCCATTGAGGTTTATTGGTAAGAACATAAAACCTAAGCTTTCTAAATCACTAATATCTTGCGTAGTAGAGTGATTTAGCTTCAGATATATTGAAAACATACTTCACAGTAACTTTGTGGCTGGTTTTATCGAGCCAACCAATGTTCAATAATAATTTATCGCATTCGACCTACTCCGTATGTGCTTATCAAATTACCTATTCATGTGGAGCTAAAAATATAGGTAGTTTGATGTGTACTTTATCCAATAAGAAGCTCAATAGGCGAACACTTTATGAGTCATTCAATCAAAACAGATTCTGTGTTCAAAGTCATCAATAAGGTAAGTAGAAAGTCAGTTGGCTCGCGTATTCTCATCATTGCTGAAGCACTTGTTAAATATCTAGAAACACCAGAATTATGTGTTCAAAATAAATTGGTACAACTGCTTCTACTATCATGATCTTACTCGCTCGTAAAAGAAAATAAACATTTTTTATCTTCTCTCAGGCTTTTGCTTTTCCTTCTATCTTCTCTATTGATCTTTTACCCCTAAATGATTTTTGTCTGCTTCTATGATGCTCCTGATTACAGTTATTCTCAATTTGAAAATTTTGTCTGATCACGTTGAGCCTTACCTTGACGTTTGTAACTTCCCAATTATTCTTAATGATGACGATAAAATTATTCTTAATACTTTTAATCAAAATGATGTTTGCCTCACCATTACCATGTTTAGCGAAAAGTATATATTCGCTATTGTACAGATTCGAAAATCATTTGGCCAAAAACGGAACTCTTCGCTGAACCAATCTTTCTTGTCTTAGGTTTCCATAGGTATATTCCGTTTATTTAAATAAATAAGCTCATTCAATAATTACATTATTAACTCAAGTGTCAAAATAAACAGAATGCGCGTTCTGGATTCAACTGTTAGCTACCATCCAGTCCTACTCTAAGCTCTTGTGACCAAATAGCAGTAGTAAGGCGATCTGCCCAGGATACACGTATATCAGAAGATATAGATCGTTTGGAATCCTAGACATCAGTGTGAAGATTCAAACAACTCTTACAAATTATTGATAGTATTGATCAAGTTTATAAGTTCATGAACAAAATAATTCATGACAATAGGTTAACAGAACAGATACAGTAAACTATACCAGAGACTAATAGATGTAATACGTGTTAGTGAGGGCAGACAACTTTCTGATAAGTCAAATAAGTGAAAAATTCCACTCTTAGCTAACATCTGCAGTACGGAAAATTAAATCACTTAGATACCGAAACAGTATACAGAAGTATCGTGCTAGCAATCAGATCGTTCCAGACAACTGAGAACTGAGGAAAACTTTCATCCTATGAACATTTCTGAGCCATAGAGTATAATTTTAGAATTACAAGTTGCAGAACTGAAGAGACTACCGAGCGAATTTCTATGACTATCCACCTATCATTGTGTATGGCTGATGATTATGCTGAACAAAAGCATAAGAAATAATTTGTAATAAATGTTTGCTTGTTTATCGAATTACTTTATATGCAGACACTGATTTCCCAAAGAATCACAAAGTAACATGTTAAGATGTTTCACTTAGTTTTGTGAATGTTACATTATAACAATCTATAACTGAAAAACAATATACTTGATTTAATCTAGTCAGCAGAAATACATAATTAAATATCTAGCTGTTTCCTATGCCCAACTGTTTGAGATGAATTAAAACTCAAACATTTATTTACTCTAATTTTACTCATATTAGTTACGTCTTTTCATGGCCATTGTAAGTCATACATAATACATATTACTTGATATAAGTACAATAATCAAAGTAACTTACTAAAGACAAGACTTTTCTCTGTGTGGACGCAAACATTTACAAACTGTGAATACTTGACGCATACTATTCTCAATACATCGGCAACCATCAGCATGAAATGTTGTCACTTGATCAATACGAACTGTAGCATGTCGACCAACATTCATTACACATTTATCTGACTTATTCACATATTCTTCAGAACAATCAATCGGAACTCGATCAATGATTGTATCTAAACGCGAACATATTGGTTTACTATCTGATAATTTCCACTTAGTCGAAACAGTCTCAAGAACGAATTGTTCACTGTTGGCTTGGACACATCGACGCTGGGTTACTGGCGGAGGACAATCTATACAACAAGGAAAAATATTTGAAAATGGTTAGTAGTGTATCATATTTACCGTTGATGATGATGTCAACATTTGCGTGGAAAGTCTATGTTGTTTAAGCGAAAATAATTTGCACGAAGCAACGTTATAGATCTTCACGAAGTTGTCAATAGATAGTATAAGTTAACTCAACTATTATTAGCTAATCATGAAATAACTCACATCTGTAATCAACAAATCCTAAATTTATCACGGTCAAATGACATAATAAACAGGTAGGAAATAGGGGATGACAATGTTCTGGTGAGATAGGACGATTTTGAAGTATGTAGTTATACTAATGACTTCAGCAAGGAACTGGGGAAAAATTATTTTAATCAGTTGACATAGTCCGATAAAATGTACAAAGAATAAAGACTTACTCCATTTATCATAATCAACAACGAACTTCCGAACACAATTACATCCATCACGTACATTAAATTGTTTTTCAATTCGTACCCAACCGTTTGGCTGTTGATGTTTCACTACTCTTTCATTCGGTTTGCAAACTGAAATAATAGCAGTATAGTAGTAAGAAAAATTGTGAATAAGAAGAAATAAAACGTATTTTCTAGTCTTCCTAAAAACGAAATACTGAAAATGATGAGATACTAAGAGCTTTTCTTTTATGGCTGTGTTTGAGTGGTTCTAATTTTTCCATGGACATTATTAACTGTCTACATCAACTTTAGAATAAATGTTTGGAGTGAAAGTATGCAGAAAACTTGTTTAAGAAGTTAACTTTTCAGGTGTTAAGTTGTCCGGAATTTATCAATGTGATGAATTTTTTACTAAAAATCATTGTGTGTTACACGAATTGCTTAGTAACGTAAGGCTCTACCTTTGTTTTGTTTATATTGTGTTGACTAGTTTTGTCAGTACTTTTTGAAAAAGTACTGTCTAGGATCTTTCTGAAATGATTAGTCAATCGACCAGGCAACTGTTATTCCTAAAATTCCTCCTTGGTGAATAATTCCCAGAAGTCGAAACTGTGTGGTCAGAACAGTTTGTTTCAACGCAGAGCTCAAATTATGCGGTCGTTAAGTACACACACACAGAGATGCAGGAATTCCCAGTATAATATCAGAAGACCAAGTTATGACATGTTGGTTGTATAGAAATTATTAGCATTTCAAAATAATGTCCACTTCGAAAAAGAAAACAACTAACCAATTTGTTTTCCATCAAACCTATCTTTAGATACGCATTTTCCATCGATTAATTTAAAGATTCGGTAACCAGTTTCCAGTAAACCAATGGAACGATTACAAAATGTGCCTAAATTAACTTCAGTTGGGCAACAACATGATTTCTCTTGAACACGATAATAAAATTTACATTGACCCTCTGGTGTTATCTTCTCCATCAGCCATGTATCTCGTACTTTACATTCCGGTGAACATTGCGATTGCCGGATAAGACGAGGTTTAGTATTACATTCTAAAAATCACAAGAGAAGCAGAAAATACGAAGGCAAAAATAGCAATGTTGTATTGAATTCAACTGCCATTCGTGAAGAAATATAAAAAAAATAAATTACAACTTTTGCTTTCAACTAGAAGAAGCTGTTCCTTAATATTGTTCTTTGGCAGTCTAAAAGAATTTTTAAATTAAATAATAGTGGCTGGCTTTTACAATATGTTTAGTGGCTAGAGTTCATTGAATTAATAAACTCCCAGAGTGCGTTTCTGACGTTCTGACGGAAGCTATGGTCAGTGGATTTCAGCGATGTTTGAATTGATGAAACCCCTCAATAGATCATCACACAATATTATGAATTGTTTCAAGTTATAAATCCAAATCAACCAATACCAACTCACTGGACTTAAGATAGCGGCCTAAACAGTGACAATGTCATAAGTGTGTACTGCGGAGAAGCGTGTTACGTGGATGAAGTAAACATTCAGTTTTTTGTGGTTTTGTAAGATACTTTAGTTAAATTCACACTGTAATTGCGTTAACATTGCTGTATTTAGAATGACAATATGGCAAGTTCAATTTAAAGTTATTTTGATTCTGACAAATTGAATGCTTAAATATTTTATCATATGAAAAATTCCAACGACAAGAGAAAATAAAAAATCTCTAAAACATTAAAGTGTGCAATGTTAAATATGTTTTAACTAGATCATCAGAGATTTAACACTTTTATCAAACATTTTAATTTCAGATAGTAGATATTCATTTGTTTAAAAGAGTTATGTACATAAGTGGCTTCAAAATCAGATGACTCGATAAATGTGGGAAAAAGAAAACCATGTTGATCGATTGAAAAACACAACTGAAACGGGGCATAAGATCAACATCAAGGCAGCCTTTGAAACATAGTAGAGAAACGTTCAAGGACGAATTCTGAGGTTTACGGAAGCCTTGTCTATTCGTAAATTACCCCATTCCCCCCCCCCTTAATGTATAGAAACAGTTTGAAATTACCCTGGTAACCTTTAGAGTGATGTGACAATTTTCTACCCTTTCCTATTCATTCTATATAATGTTAATTTTCTCTCTCCTTCATTCAAAATTATCACCTCATGTCTATCTGAACGTGTATTGAATTGGCCTTTTTATTAATTTTCAGATAAAATATTTGTGAGCAGACTGTTCGAAATGTATAGAACAAATTCATCACATTTTTCACATCAATTAAGTCTTCTCATTCATTGTTCAATCAAAATATTCAAAATGAATATGTAATAGTTCTATTTTGTGCTTGAAAATATTCTGCAATATATTATTTTATGTTCTAGTATTAAACTGGATTTCCACTAATTTAACCGATCATTAATTACAAATAGGCAGTTATTCGTTTATCAATGTGTCTGTCACAAATGGTAAGGTTTTGTATTAAAAAAAAAAAATTTATTCCTTTGTTACACACAAGACTGCCAAATAAAAACCATCTGATTTAAAAAGAATGAAATAGGAAAATTTTCGCATTCACTTACTGCATTTACGATGAATTACGTTAATTCGATATCGTCGCTTACAATTTTCAACATATGGTAATTTTCGCACTACTGTTTCAATCCCAGTTTTAGGATTGCATTTTCTGTTATATTCAAGTTTGCCAAGATCTGCATTGAATAAAACAAAATAATGATAACCAAAATGTAATTTCTTAATTATGCAATTCTGGTACTATTTGTCAATCACATAAATGGGTTAAAGAATGTGATTTTAAGAGTGAATTCTGTCTGTCATTGAGGAATTTACTGAGCACCATGGAATTATTGAGAACTAATTCGTTAAATGATGTAAGTTCATCATATTAATAATAAATTAACAAGTATTGTTTTAAAATGATACGCTAACCGAATATACACAATTATCCAACATATTATTAATATAGAATTACTTACGTATAGGACTACGAACTTTAGATATGACTATACGTATACATTGTTTTTTATCTTCGCTGAGTTTTCTTCCAGTTCTTCGGATTTCCAAAATTCTGTCATTGATACATTGAATTTCTTCTTTGATATCAGGTGAACAATCTTTGAAATAGAATGCAATACAAATAAATGTATACATACTTGAAAAGAGTTTGGTTGGTAAAAAGCAGGTTATTTATCATAGTTTATCGGTTCATAAATAAAAACCAAACAAATTTAAGTGGTCCTAGCGTAATTTAATGGAATAAACTTAAATACCTAGGAGAGTATAATTTCCTTGAACACTAAATGGAGATGATTATAGAGGTTACCTTCACATAAAACTTTGCAACAAACTTTTCTCAATAAAAAACATGTATATGATGGTGCATTCAGCTAAATAACGGAGCATTTACGATTAATTAATCTTTGAGTAGCGAATGGTGTCATATTTATCTAGTCCCGTAATGATGACTGACCTCTACCGAATAAGCTGCAATATGTCCACTAGTCTAAGTGACTGAATATCACATATACTGTGATGACGATAGAATGGATTCTTGTCGACTAACCACAATCAATTAACATAATGAAGAGTAACTTACTGTTTTGTTATTTTACAAAGGTTCACAAAATGCACGTGGCAACTAGGTTTTATCATAGTATCAGCAAACGAGAGGGTGAGCTATGACTGCGAATCAAAATAATTACCTAGCTATGTCGCAACTTGAAAAACAGCATATATTGCATTCTATAAGAATGATTGAATAGTAAGCATCATTACTCAGCCAATAAACACCTGCATCTTTTGGATGATGATGGCAGTAGACAGTGTCTCGGTTCGGTAACTTTGTTCAACCCCTTTTCTCGTATTGAGAGTGGAGTTATGTCTCTGTAGATCTCACTTTTCTGAAGATTATCTTTCGTACGTATCTTCGTGAAGAATACAATTAAATATTGATTGATTATTTTAATCTTAATTCAAACCTCCTCTTTAATATTTTTCACTTACAACATGGAGTTTGTTCCATAAATCGTTGATACTGACATTGGCATCCTACGCGACGTAATTTACTCCAAAATATGTTTCGATATAGATCATTCTTGTTTACATAAATCGATTCGTTTTGTGGTAGTTTATGACATTTACCGATTTTTATTAATTTCGGAGGTTCATAACAACGAACACGGGAAGATTGGATATAAAACTTAGCTTCACAAGTGCACTGATCATCTTTATATTGATGTATTACTTTTATCCTGCGTAATAGACCGTCACGGCTTTGGCATACTGCGTTAGTTCTTGGTTTCGGACAGTTACAACGACAACGACGTTTAAATATTTTTTGTTTGCACTCACAACCATGTAGACTTGTTACAATTTTAGTTTCAAGCCGTTCATTATTGATCGGATCACATTGAGACCTGTAAAAATTTCGAAAAATTCTAACTGTTAGGATTATACTACTTAAAATATACACGGTATGTCTAAGGACACTGTTGATACCTATGTGATTTTGCTGTCAAATTATATACTCTTAAGTGTTACTATTGTACAATGCACCAAATCAGAGCGGTATATTTGTTTTATCAACATAGTTCAAGTAATCCAACCACTTTTAACACCTCTTGCATGTTTTCTAAAAATTAAATTTGTATGTTTCTGAACCTTATTTGTCAAATTCATATTCACATATAAGGCTTTGAGCAAACATTGCTTAACTAATGATTAGGATAACGGTCTACCAAAACCCAAGAAGGTGGAGTCCCGTTTAATCCCATGATCTGTCCGTTAAAACTGAATACCTTAAACATTAGCTCATCCCTCACTTAAATGACTAAAAGTAAGTTTATACCGATTGAGTATAACTCATAAAACGATGTAGTACTGTCGATTAAACTTTCCATGACTCCACCTAAAGCAATTCTAGGGTTATTGCCGGTCCCAAATCCAGATAAATGAGAACAGATGGGCATGTAGTGAGCAAATTCATCCTGTAGAAAGCAAACGTGCTAACAAACGTCAACCAAAAAGAGTCATTCCGGCCATTTAAACTCTGCACTGGAAGTCTTCATTTAAGAGAGTTACGATGCCTCATGGTGAAAGCCAAGTTTCTTCGGAAGTTATGAGATCGATGTCCCTTCTGACAACGAGAGCAACAACCAATAAGAAACATTCACAATCTATGTGCCTTCAATAAATAGTTATGGAAGTCATCATGTTATCACTCAAAGTATAGTTAACTTTAACTCAAAATCAAGCTGCTTACCTTTGTAACTGACTACCTACTTGACAAACTACAGGATTTTTCTCAAATTTATGATACATACGACATTCACCTTGATGTAGAATATATTTAATATATATTTTAAGTAAATAAGCTGTTTGATTGTTGTTAGCTTCATGGCATCGTTTTATTATAAAGCTAGGACGACATTTGCATGCTTCAGTTTGTCTGAGTCCCCATGTTTGCTGCTGCAATTTAGTTAGTTTCTGCCAAACGCATTGGCAATGCTGAGGTTGCTGTTGAAGGTAAATTAATTCTAAGTGTCCAGTACTATTACACTGACCCCTGATAATTCTTAAATTTTTCGAACAAGCTACAAAAGGCAAAAATTTCAAATAATGCATCTGAGCAGTATGATACATGGAATATTTAACTGCATGATCAGTAAACAAGCACATGATAGCTTCTTTTAGTAGAATCTATTTGAAGTACTAAAGGAAATAATTAGACAGTGAATATTTATTCAGAGGTGCTGTTTGAACAATACTATGGTGTTTGAAACGAACAGTATTGGGTTTGATTCTCGGAGTGAACATCAACTCCGCTTTAAGCCACAATCTGATTCTTCTTGCTAAATAAATGATATCTATAATCGAATAATATCAATAACCTACGAATGTTTTTTACTCTTACTGGCGATGTTTGCATCCATATAGTAGGATTCAGGAGACGCCTTCAGGAGAAACACCTTACTGCTGTCACACCCCTCTGCAGTCAACAGTACGACTTCACCCTCAGACCTTGAATAGCTGCTTTAAGTCTCATCGTTCTTCAATCGACCTGTCTGGCATGGTAGAACCGTCAGGAACATATGTTCCAGCCAATATAGCTCGGTCGGGTCATCACGATGGGCAAGCCCAACCACCACTTCAAGGTAGCAGCTACGGTCGAGGCCAGTAAGTGATAAGCTCTTGGTTATTATTCACTAGTGGGTAGGTCACCCGGTAAATAATATAGTCACTTGCCCTGCTAGCAATATAGTTGAACTGATCGATAATCCGATTAGAGAGAGATTATGCGTATTCTCTTCTACGGTTACGGGTTCATCAAACAAACCATAATAAATTTCAACCAGCTAGCTGATTTTTTTAATTCTGTGATATCATTTTATCATTGGAATAGGAACGGTTATATGAAAAACTATTTTTACGCACAGAAACGAAAATAAAACTAAAGTTGAAATTAAAGAATTTTGATGTTTACTTCTTTCAGTTAAACCAATCAACTGTAAGTATATACACGGAAATAAATTATTCATGAAATCAATATAGTAAATTTTCCGCTCAATAAACTCTTTAAACAACATACCTATGGTTTCTGTATGTTTCTCCGTTCTATTCAAACACTGTCTACCTTGATTAAACCATATTTTTGTTATTGTAAGACGTTGATAGCCATTTGACAAACATTTTGTTATCACCTGATTTGGATAACGTGCGTGACAATTACAAATCCATTTATTTTTCATTACTCTCATTAGACAATTACACTGATTTGGTTGCCAGTATTTTATTACTTCAACTTGTTCATAATTCTCAAGTTTGTTACCACATGAAGTCTGTGTTATTTGTGTTTTAGGACAAGCTATAAATTATGGGAAAAATTGAGAAATTTCGTTACTGTGTTTTTTTTTTACTTTCTTTCACTTACAAATAATCCAAGTAACAAATAAAGACTGGAAGCAATTTCAAATTAAAAAGTATTAAATATTTTATATCTGAAAATTAATTTAATGATAGTAAGAATCTTTTATGCAAAAGACTCACTGTATCTGTTAAATACAATAGAATGAGATTGTTGTTCTCTCAAGTCTTGTATTCAATAGACATTTGACTTGTATCGTTTCATTACTCGATTACTTATAGTCAGGACAGTTGACCTGATGGTTTAAGGTTTTACAAAGCTGCATAATTACTCGCAGTGAACCCTTTTACAACTAATGAACATGGTGAAAATTTCAAACATTTTATGACAGATATTCTAAAGTGTACTTTCATCTTCATAAAGAACAGTTGTATACCTTTAGTCATCTTATTTTCAGTAAAATCGTTCGATCTACCATAATTTTGACTTTTGATACAGTTTTTTATTCTTTTTTAGAACTGATTGGTGAAAAGAGTCTGAAAAATCGTAAGATTTGTAGTGCTACAGGAATCCAAATCTCTCTTACAATACACTCGAAAACAGATCACGGTATAGCAGGGAATAATATTTATTATGTTGTAATGGTCCTTTAACACTTCAATCAAATTCACAATCGTATCTGACAGACTGATACAAACTATCGTTTGAACTTTCGTTAACCTCTGGGAGTATAATTGTAAGTTTATAGTCTATTTCATTTCCGTGCTTGTCTGTAACCTTTAGCTGTTTTATTTCTCATCTACATTTATGTGCTCCTATTAACTGTGAACATATGTTAACAATGCTCATCTGCTTGTCTGATATTTATACGCTAACTGTTCTGTAATTCATGCATGATTCATCTCATATAAACCAATGTGTAAGCTTTTTAAGCTTCACCTGTTCAAGTGTTTTCCATTTCCATGCAACTCGTATTCGACTTTTTATTTCAACATCATGTGAAGGTGATTAGCAGATAGAAAATATTCAAGGTTAAGTAGTCTACGTATTTCAGCATCATTATGATCATTTAATCATAATAGAGCAAGAACTAGGCATTGTTAATATGAAGCTACTGATCGACCCATTGATCTCACAACTAAGTCAAGTTACAAAGTTTTTATGATAGATTGAGCTTTAGTGCTTAAACTGGTAATAAAAATTCACTTACTCAGTTGCTTAAATTCTTTTGTATTATACCTTTCACAATTGCTTAGTTCCTTATTTAATTTATAGTTTACACGTTGAATGACCAATAAACTGTGGTTCAAGCATTTTTTGAACACTTGCATAGGCGGACATGAACAACGAATACGTCTTTCTTCCATTACTACTGGTTTACATGATTTCTCTGTAATCTGGAAGGAATTATTAATGCCAGTTGGTACAGCGTTTAATCCTATCCATTTGTGTACAGCCCATTGGTTAATACATTTTCCAGGAACATGACGCACAGCAGTCGGGCAACCTGTCAATCCACAGAAAAAAAAATATGTTTAAGAAATAAGCTTAAGGAATATACTGAATCGTAACGTATTATGGTGATAATTTGACCACACAGAAGATGTAGTCAAAACAATAATTCTTGAACACTTAAATTATTAGGACTAGTCACCACAATTCACTCTGGTCGAAAGAATTCGGTCGGAATTAAGAACTAGACAGAAGTAATAATAATTGGTACAAAGTGGTTGACAAATGTATCTCAGTCCTACTGGAATGCACGAACTTCTCTGTTCTAACGCCTCCAAACGACGATGTATAACGCAGATTTCAATCTTACTGTTGTCTCAAGCTGACATATCTCTCATGATGACCACTGTCAACTGGTTCAAAACCTAAATTTACTTGATCCTTACATCTGCCTTATGCATTCACTTCGTAATAGAAATTATATAAAAATGATCTATTTTAAGAATTATCTCCAGCTGTTCGAGACCTAAATTACTGATAATAATTGTTCGGAAAAACGGATACACATTCTTATAGGGTTAAAAAAAACAGAGAAAATAGAAAACGATAGCCTTGACGAGTAAACTTTGATTATGAAGGAATATGCAAGATTCATACATTAGATTAAATATTTACCGAATAAGTGGAAGAGTCATTCAGAATTTAAAAGACAAGATGAGTAGCACTTGCTGTTAACGATTTTCAGATATTGGAAAATAATATAAGGAATTACAAATCTGAAAGTAAAACATCTTAGTGAATAAAATTAACAGAGCTTAGACCTGGAAAAACGGAGAAAATTTTAACTTCATCATCAGGCAAATGAACATATTAAGTGAAATGTTGCTAGCTCTGATCGATTTATAACTTAAAATTCGATGAATGCTGTGTGAAAAGCTAAATAAATGTATTTTTTTTTCTGACCAAGGATGTTTTGAATGAACCCTAAAATTATTCGGTATATTATTTGAAAAAAATAGTAAGATTTCAAATGATTTATTAGCTTGTGTAATTTCTCAGAGATAGTTGATAAATGATATTATTAACAATGTATTCAAATCAATCTATCTATAGGAAAGTTCATGCTGAGATTCTTGCCTCCACTGTTGAAATCAATGCTTCGTTTCTTGGTCTAAACACTACAGTCAACCATTATAGTTGGTATCATTCTCATAATAAACTGTAATGATTATTGAGATGTAAAAAAAAAAAGATGTTCAGTGGTGATAATAAGAGGTTAAATGTGCCAAAGCTTTCAAGGATGTAGGTTGTGTCTAATTATTTTTTTTGATGATTTATCCAAACAGCGCAAATAGTCAGCAATAAAATTCACAACTTACCACATCTTATTTTCTGCCTATGTATTATTTTCTGTTTACAAACACAATTTTCAACTATTGGCTTTAATATACCAACAATATGATATTCACCATCGCATGGTTTAATACGAATTCGTTGTAAGTTTTCACCACATTTCACTTGTACGGAAATTTGTGAAATTCTCGGCTGACAATATGATTTAAATGCTTCTGTATTAAAGGTTGGCACAATAAGTGAATAATGAATTTGTTTATGTATGATGATATTTGTATTTGGATCACAAATAGTTTGATTTGTTATTGGTTTAGGGCAACAACACATTTCATTTGTAACTTTTCTGTAAAATAAATCATATATATATATGAGCGAATACTATGAATTTCTGAGAAGTACTTTCATCTAACTAATAAATTTGAAATTGTAATGCAAACAATGTGCACCAAGTTTGATTACACTGAGTAAACCAGTTCAGGCCGCAAGAATCACTCAAAAAATTAACATCAAAGAATAATAATTTTCTAATGATGTTATTAATCATGGAAGAGATTTCAATTTTGAATTGAACTATTTAGTGCTAAGCTGAAAATTTTCTTTTTAAAACAACAGAAGCAATTAGAGTAACTAAATTGGACGAACTAAAGAATGATAGTTACTATGCCGAAAAATTGTCACTTAATTAACTAACGATAAATAACACTAGAAAACTTCATCAAATTTAAAAGTTGATCTTGTAGTTTTCTTGAATCTTGACAAAGACAAATATTTAATTGTGAAAGCGCTTACTGACAATTAAAATGTTTCGGAACGGCCATAGAGTAAATATTTTTGCAGGAATTGCAAGCAACTACGAAATACTATCGGTTGTGATTAGTCAACTTTGATATACTAAATGTTTCAGAGACATTTTGTCGCTCAGTATATTTTGAAACGTGACTAAGAGAGGAATCTAGAATGGAAGTTTTGTCCTACTTAGGACTCTTCCTCTGTATGCTCTATTTCCGATAGAATTCAATCCCAATACCAGTCACTAAAACACCACCACATTATCTACAAACATTGGAGGAAATTCAGTTCAGAATATCACAAACAGGATAATACAAACCTTTATGAATAAAGATACTTTAAGTGTATCTATGTTTCAATAATCACTATCTTTCTGATAACTAGCTACTACTTGACTTGAAGTTACTTATTGCCTGAGCTTTTCTTACGGATCAGAAAGGTTTCGCAGTAAAACTAGAATACATCATTAGATAAACCTAAGGTACTTTAAGGGTTAAAACTCGTTGAATATTCTAGCGGACACACTTATTTGTAATTTAACTAAATAAGGAGTATTATTTGACCACAACTGTGCTGTAGTTTTCAGTTTATTCGACTGACAACAGTTGATTAATTATCAATAAAGGTAGATTAACAAGCAGTTAATTAAAAGAACAAAACAATCAGTTTTATTGATAGTCTACCGATAACCGTAGTACATATTTTATCTAAAATTTCGTCTGCTGCATAAATCACCAGTACTACTTATTAAAGTGGTTCGTTTTCTTGATAATAATTAACGGGAAACGTTTATGCTCGACATAAGTTATATTTATTTACCACCTTATTAACATATCCCTTTATTTTATTGAGAACGAAGAGCAGAATTTAAGGTGTTATTTATGTCGTGTCATACAAATGAATTTGAGTTTCAGTACAAAATAAATGTTAACTTCTGCTGAATGCTTAAGATAATTACGGGGGTTTACGTAGATAGATGAATCCCATAGTTTACGACACGGGATGATATTTATTATACAGCTATTGAGAACGAGGGAGTATTTGACAGCTATTTCGTCCTGACGTTAGACTCTACACAGTGGTGCCCATCTATGAGCTCACTGAGGATCAAACGTACTATCTTCAGGTCACACATCGAGAGTTTAATCCTGGAAACTACTGAGTTGACATCCAATGGTTAATATTAACAAGTTCGGTTGGCTCACGATGTTGGACAGTCATCATTTGACGTTAATAGTGGTCCTAGTGATATATATAAGTGATATATTCTAAAGAGTGTCATGTAATCGTCTAATTATAAACTACGATTATATTTTATAATGTATATTAAATAACAGCAAGTAAAAAAAAATATTTGGAATACCACTTAACAAAATATTCAAATTATCTACTAACTTCTGAGTTTTGCATTGACAATTCTCTACGAAAAATCGATAATCCACACGTATAGCTTTACATGTTACTGGATTACACTCTCCAATCTGAAACATTGGCCTACGACTGAAAACTGTTTTCACACGTGCACATGGATCGATCTCCAGCACTTGTTCAGACGCTTTGCATCTGTTGTCATCCAAACTGTATATAGTAGTAATTTGCTTCATCTGACGACCATTGTTGTAGCATTGTACATTTTTCACCGGGTCCGGGCACTCTAAAATTAGACGCACACAATATATACATGTCAATCTCATTTAACCAGCAGAATACATAAGTATAGAATTATTACATCGTTTATCATAAACTTTCCCTAACTCAAGCTAGATAGATTTGAAGTGATTTGTGGAATGATTCATGGAGGTCAATTCTGTTTCAATGTAATTGGAGAATCTCTGAAACCGGTAGGTTCTTGAAAGCTGGTTTGAAAGTCCTACTTAATAATTGGTACTACATGAAGCAAAGGAATTTTTAAACTGAAACTTGTTTCAAAACTCTCTTGCTATTAATATTTTCTCAGCTAGTCTCAATGAGTGATAAAAACTAGGCTGAAATAATTATTGACTTCACAATAAACGCACTTCTAAATTATATTGACTGAAGAATAAAATTAAAATATTTCTACTCTCATTAAATAAACTAGTAATTATGTAAGGTTTACAAATTAATTTTCAGTTCAAATAAGTGAAATTTCCATTCTGTGGTTTGGTAGATATCAATTTCGAGGAAATTTCTCACTGTAGACAGACAAAATTTTCACACTAATTGAATAGAAGTGCTAATATTTACAAGGCAGCATTTTACTTTAGGATTGATTTATGAAAATTGTTTAGTGTATGAGTAACAAGCAACCATGAACTGGCGCATTAACTATGATCAGTTTTTAACCGACAGACAGTCTGTTTAACTTACTGAAGAATGTAACAATCGTGAGTGAAATAATGTTTACTGAATTGCTTTCAGGTCATATAATCTGTGTTAAATAGTCAATATTGTCAATAAGAAAGCTAATTTAAACCATTAGATTTTTGCTACATTACTGTAATGGATAGTAATAGCAAAAGTTTAGGTTTAGTCAATTATCAATTCAGAGAACAATGTATTATTAATAAGAGACTTTTTAAAATACCAGGAATACAATATTTGATTAAAGATGCATGCTAACACATTTTCAGAAATTTAAAACTTATAACTTACTACAGATTTTCCTATGTGAGCGCTTTATTCTCCATTTACAATGACATTTTATAGTTGTGAGACGTAATTCATCAATACGTTGGATTCCAACATCATCTGGACCAATTTGACACTGACCAACACTGATTCGTCTCAGTGGTTGACAGTCTATAAAAACATTTATTCAAATGATGTAGCTGATTCATACACCACTTTTTCATCATTATATTACTTTCAAAGTTGCACAGCAAATAACTATGATCACTATTGAACTAATAGCGACAACTAAGAACTAGGATATAGCTACCAAAGATTAGGTGAATATCTTTAACTATTTGATCATTTCTCATTCATTTATGTACATCATACAAGCAATTATTTTATTATCGAAAATACATTGGTGTTTTACTTCTAACCTCTAGGATTTACTGATCATGTCTTTTTTCATCAAACTTTTTCTCTACTTCATAATGTCATTCAGTCATCATGCTTTCATTATCTTAGCTAAATATCATTCACCAAATTTTTCGGTTAAATTAATCGTCTAATAATGGAAAGAGAAATTGCAAAAGAAACTAATTGTGTCATTCTAGAGGAATTAAATATAGTCTAATAAAAATTTTTATTTCCCAACGACTTTATTTACTTGAACTGCACAATGTTATTCAAAAGAAGATTCGCCATACTAAAACCAAAATAACACATTTATCACTGGTCTAGTCTGCAATCTGATGAAATTAATTATTTTTGGACTTGCCTCACGGCTTAGGCAAGATATCTGTCTACTAACAGAAGGACGAGTTAACTGCACAGCAGTTCGCTACGTCCTACATTACGGGTGTGAAACATAGCCGCTAAGAATAGTGCATATTCGTAGGTTAGTAGTATTAGATCATAGGTGTCTTCGAATCACTGTTCATATGTCTTGGGTCAATCGAGTAAGCAATGATGTTGTTAGGAGAAGAGTATTAGGTAAGCATGGCAAGTCAGTTGATTAAGTAGTGAATCTTCATCATTTGAGGTGGGTGGGATATGTGTTACCTGCGCCTAACCACCGGCTGCTTCGATGAGCGATGTTTTGTGGTGTAGGTGTAGGTTGGAAGAAAGACACTGCACAAGTCCTTGAAGTTAAGGACAAATGGATTGATCAGTACTGACAAGTGTAGACTACCTGGTCGGCGAGACAGTCGTAACTAGTGGTTAAAGACTGAATGATGTAGCTAAAAATCGTTTGCGCAGTCTCAGGTGCATCGATTGTTCTGATTCAGATTTTTTGAATTCCTCTTTTTGAATTTATTTCACTGGTCTATACTTCAGGAGTCATACTGCTACTACCTCTACCACTATGGGATTTGAATTTACATTTTCATCTCTCTGTGCTAATATTGTACGTGCCAAGTTACACGCTGTAGCTTATTGAATTTTCATCCACTTAACTCCTTAGCATCTAATAAATTCAATCAGTGGTGTTCAGGGAGAAAAAACGTAGATTCATTTAAATATTCATAACTAGGGAGAAGTTATATATTCGCTTTCCACTGTTCTGTACACATATAATGTCAAGTATTTTGAGAGGGAGAAAATTTGTAGCTCAGTTGGATGATTGTAGTGGTGTTTCTTTCTCTGAGCTTGATGTTTTGGTTGCGGAGCTTTCATTATTCTTCTGAACAACATCATCAGCACAAACTCCAGATAAAAGTGAAGCATTCTAATTTCCCCACGTTTGACCTGTAGCTTGTTCTGCTAACCTCGATCTTGGTTGGTTGCTGTTGACCTAAAACTTGTCGTTGTTTCCATCTTTGTTTTGATCGTATCCCCCTTTTGATCTGTTTCTCGATCCTATGTCACCTATGATTTGTATGATTGTTTGATAAATTGGGTCAATGTCGATGTGTTTATTGATTGCTGATTGACCTGAGTGCCAAAGCTTATAAAAATTCTCTAGTGTTCTTTGTCCTCCCCCTATCCAGTATTTCCACCTTGTTCCAATCGAATGTGTGTACATAAGTGTCGGTGTGTATTGATGTAAGCAAAGAGCTGTCGTGGCGTTTGACTGCGAATTGGTGTTCACGTAAACGAAGCTGAAGAGGACGTCCACTTTGTCCTATGTAGTGCTTTTCACAGTCTGAGCAATTTATTTTGTGGATGATATTTTGTTTTTCTTCCTTTGTCATTTTGTCGTTTGGTCTACATTATTCATCCAGCAAGTTAGAATGCGTTTTGTCTGATTGTTTACGGAAAGCACTTGTGGATGACTTTATATGACTGATATAAAATCTACAGTACAAACAATTTTTTTATCGGCAGAACTCATCCACTCAATTAAGTACTAGATATTGTCTAAAAGCGGCCGTCAGGTGAATGTCAAATTTCAACAAGTATTTACAATTAATAAATTAACTCTATAAACTAAGCAACATTATCATCATAAAAGACAAAATGTCAAATTACATACATATTTTCAAATAAAACTTACTTATTGGTTTCTTGTATACAGCTTCACTAGGCAAACATTTACCATTCACTAATGTTGAAAACTTTTTTCTTATTAGTAATCGATTATTATTGTAACATCGTTTGAAAACCATTTGTGGATATATTAAAGTACAGTCTGTTCATTAAAAAAAAAAATTTATGAATAAAAACATTTAAGAACATGAATAGAAAATAGTGGATAAATATGAAATGTTACAATTTTAATCACTTTCTATTTCTAATCATTGTTTATGTCACTATTAATATCAGTTGTTGTTCTGACGTTGTTAGTTCGAATACTAAATTGAATATTGAATAATTCATGAATACATGTTATTGTATTCGTTGAAGTATTTATAATCATCATGAGGTGTATAAATCAATATAATTTTGGCAAGCATAATTTAGATTTTGCGTTAATAATAGGAGTTTCATCCTAAGTACTATGAAACGTAGGTCCAACAAACAATTGTCAGTTGAACTGGTGATATTCAGACAAAATACTACTGATAAATTAGTTTTAATAATCAAGATTAATTACATTATCTGAGAAGTCATTCAAGTATCACTAGATAAGTTTTACATTTAAGTTTTGAACTAGTTATCCGTGTCTGTCTAATAGTTAACAACAGATAAATTCTTAATCTTCAGATGTAATAGAAATAATGATAATTCTAAACTATTGTAAAATTCAACAGCATATTTTCGACTTCAACAAATTTACAATATTATCTGACGATTGTGTAATAAATATTATAGGAAATATCTGTTTAACTATAAACATATTTGTAATCCATGAACTTTGGCTAAAAATAAACCACCTCCAAGAACAATTGTTAATTGTGAATATGTTTTCTGTGTTTACAATAACTAATTATCTCACAATGATTTTTATCCTTTACTAACAGTCACTATTCCTAGGAAATTCGATTTTCCACTATAATTAAAAGGATTCAATATAAACGATTTAAGCATTTTTGACTATTTGATGAAATGTTGACAAACGGTAAATCTACTAATTTTTTCAGTTATACCAATTTCATTTTTTTATTTTACACTAAAAAGAGAGGAAACATCAAATTAAAAATTATTAATCTCAGTTATTTCACCATAATAGAAAATTACTTACTGCATAGTTTACGTATAATTTTCTCTTTTGGGATACACTGACAATTTTCTGTAACGAAATATCTGATTTTACTAATACTGTAACCACGATCTGGAGAATCCTGATCATTATTACACGGATAGTGTTGTGCGAATGCTCTCGGACAATCTAACGTTTATATAAAATAGATAGGACACAAGTTAACGCTTATTCATTAATATTATAAACAACCAATACTTAATTATCCTACTTAATCTAATCCCTCTAGAGATTATTTGTTACATAGAAATTTTGTCAAGAATGCCTATTTATAGGAAATTTAACTGACTTGACCAACTTGACTATCAGTTACATTTTATGAATCATATTAAATGAAATAGGTTAAGCTGTTAGTCGAGATCATTTATTTACATGAATCGGTCTATTTTACTTGTTTATAGAATTTCAAAAATGTCCATTTAAGAAGTCAATCTTTGAGAGTTCATTAAGAGATCTGCAACTTTGAATTTCGTGTATACGTTTTGCCAAACATTCATACACCAGAAAGAAGCCGATATCTGAAATTGCCATATTTTTAATTATTATTCAGTAGATGTCATGTATAGTAGAGTAGTTATTTCAATTTTAATTATCATTCTGATCAAAGTTGAATCAATCAAAAGTGCAAAAGATTAATGGATTGAATTCTATGATTATATATCATTCCGTTGCAATCTATAATTGGTAATATTGTAGTGAAGGAGAACACAGGTGAGGGCAACCGAATTGTATTTAACGCAAATTACAGAGTTACTCAGTAAAATAGGAAAACCATGTCGTAACCGTTAATTTGCAAATCTTCAATCAATCACCAATTCATTGTCTGAGATTTCACTATTCATGCGTTTCATACAAATTCCATTGTGTTCCCACTCTTCCTTTCTTGATCTTCCCCCATCTTCTGCTGCCAGACATGACGTTTTCACTCGCGTAATATACTACTTATAAGTAGCGCGCACCACAATATTAGCTGATCAATACTTAAGGAATGAACTTTTATGTGGAAAAAATGTAGAAAATGTCATTTATAATCAAACAAAATCAAAATATTGTAGACTAATAAATGTCAAAAAACTCCTACTAAATAATACGACATTATTGATTATACTCTTGTCATAAAGTTACAATCTCATTGATTTGAGTAAAGATTCAAGTTATGAAATACACTTACTCAGTTGAGTAAAATACTTCAAACGTTTCGGTACACAATCTCCCTTTATCAATGTATACTTTAAGTAATCAACTATTGGAGTGTTGTGATTGAGACATCGATGAACTTTTCGATTTAAATGATCACATCCTATAAAAATAATAGAATATTTTTTTTTATTAAAAACTTGTTAGTAATCCATTTAATGAATTTCTGGACCAAAATAAACCTATATTGATATTGTAAGGTGTTTGAATGGGCAAACGAATATTAGAAATATGCATGTTTATCGACAAATTCATCCATTAAAATATTCTTATCTTTGAATTCTTAGAATGACTGCTTAACAATAATCCAAAAAAAATTAATTAATTTATTTCTTTTATATTGAAGAACAAATTTCTCACTTACCGCAATATTCTGTCCATTCATTTCTAACAATTGCATCACATTTACAAGTAGATTTATTCTTTGTAAAATGTACATATTGAATTAATTGTTTATATTGTGTCTGTAAATTACACTGTGTGACAGCACGATTAGTTGGCCGAGGACATTCATCATACCAACGTACACAATGTTTTAATAGTCGACAAGCATGTGTTTTAGGATTATACACATATTGTGTATTGCATTTCACCCAACGTCCATCACCATCACAATAAATACGATTCATGGGACTTGGGCAACCACAACGTTGTTTACCAAACTGTTGTTGTCGTATGCATGTACCATTTAAAAATGTATAGGAAATTGTTCGACGAATACGGAAATTCTGTTTACATTGTGAAATCCATTGTCTTCTTGGTGGACAACCTTGTAAAAAGAAGGTGTGAATCAGGCATGAATTTTTTTTGCGAAAGCATTACATATTCAAGATATGGAGATGATGCTGAATAAGGACTTTAAAGCTATATTCCGTCAATCAATGTGATAACAATTAAAGCTCCTTTTTTGTTTGTTAAGTTATGCAGATGGATTGCTTCAGATGCAGAAAAGAAATTCTTTTCAAATGCCTCATTTTCAGAACTGTAGTGCTTATAATGTCACATTTGTTAAGTAAAATAAATGTTCTCGAAGTGGAACGCTCCTTAACTGTTAAAACTTATCAAGTGGTACATAACCACAGCTCAATGGTTATTTGATAAATATGGAGTGATTGTTTATGTCTGATTTAAAATAAGCAATGTATTAATGCAGAAGACTTAGTTCGAAAATCTCCATTCTAGCATAACACAAATAAAGGGATGAAGAATAAGTTCTTTAACCAGTATACATGTTGGCAGTGTAAAGACAGTATGATTTAAGCTTTCTCAATAAAATAATCAGAATGAAGTTCGATGTTCCCTGGCTCTTATTGATCTCCCCTGTTGTTGTCAGTTCGTGACGTAATTCAAACTGTCAAAGATAGAACAGGTAAATGTCTAACGGATGTATTGTTCAGTCTTGTTCAGATATTGATTTTTTGTGTCGGTGAGTTATTTAGTGTAAAATTCATTTTGATGGAAAAACGTTCAACGTGTAGACAATGAAAGAATAAGTGTTCAAAATAATCATCCAAAGCTAACGTTAACAGGCTATTAGACATTTGTAGAGATATTCTAATAGCTCACTTCAGTTTAGTGTTCTCACAGACGATTTTGTGAGAAAAAAACTATAAATGCCTCACAAATTGGCCCAAAAAACACAACTTTGCAAAAAATACGAATCTACATGTGTTTTATTCTTGTTGATATGACCGGATGAAGAGACAGATTACATTTTCCATTCTTTGATTTTTGCTTAGCAATATTTCAATGTTAACACAGTATGATGATGATTAGGCTGTGTAATAATTGTTTTCTTTTTAGTGTGTTATTTGTTTAAGATATGATATTCTTTGTGTTAAATTAACGTGAACTATGCTCAACATGACATGTTGCATCTAATTTGTTATAAATATGTGCACTTTACACATAAGTGATTTTTTTTTTCTAGTTCATGATCAAGTGGGTGTATAAGTCAATATATGAATGAGTGTATTCTCGACTAGTCATCAACATTTATTTGAGTGACTAATTCTATACTTACATCCGTGTTTTGTGTTCTCACTCCTGGCTGTGGAAATTGTGGTGGTTCTTTGTTTGCCAGTACAAAAAATATGCAACGTAAATAAAACATTGATAGCCACCCAATCACAGTTAACATGTCAAATGACTACTTCACCTAGCATTGAGGTCATATCATTATATACACTAAAGTGTTCGAAAATAACTTCCTCTTTAACCACCTAAGAATAAACTGTTGATCGAAAAGTCAAATTTGAGTTGCATTCCTGAGATTTTTACTAATATAATCTCCTCGCTAAAGTCACAGTATGTGGTAAATCGTTTTATCGATTTGATTATCAAATATAAAATAAAGTCATTTTAAGCTACATGCAATCATTATTAAATATTATTCTCACAATTTTATTGAACTAAAAAACTGCTTCATAAACATAAATTCTGCTAATCATTTCAAAATTCACTAAAGGTATCAAATCTATTTTGATATAAATCCCTCAATTCATCTATCATAATGTCTAGTGTATATGAACGTTTCAAATCTTGACTCACAAAAAGTATAAAAGTATAAAAAAATGTAATGATTCTTGATATGATCCATGTAGAAAAATCTATTAAATTCATTCATAATCAAAATCAAACAAACAAACAAACAGAATTTGTACAGTGTTGCTTTAAATTTACCACATTTTCCTCTTTTAATTTCTTTGATTGGTTTACATTCACATCCAATCCGTTTATAGTATGTTTTGACGCTGGTTAATAAACCAGTTCTTCTGTCACAATTTTCATAACTCACAGATTGTGGACATACAACCGTTTGATCTTGTTGTTCACTAGTCGCCTTTTGTATCTGATCATATACAATTAAATCATCTCTTTTAAATAATATCTATAATTTGAATAGGTGAATAAGCAGACAAAAAATGTAATAGTTAGTTGTTGAACAGAATTTCAGTCTGCAAGTAGGATAAGAAATTAAAATTCAAGTTGAATAAATTCTATTACGGTTGAAATTAAAATCAGCATATTATCAACAAATAGAAAAGAAAATATTGTGAATGACATTAAGAGAACCACTGTGAAACATTGAATCACTAACTTTTTCTAAGTTAAAACGACCAGTATTATTCTGTTTCAGCTATACACAAATATCTAATCTAGAACCTACAAGTCTTTCAATTAGTCTGATATCATCTGACTACTAAGTGGGTGATTTTCCCCCAACATTTTCAGAGTTTAAACAAATGTTTACATTGTACATTACTCAGTTTGTGTCTTCCTCATTTCCAACCTGTCACGCTTCATGATTTCAACTTTCAATGCCTACTGGCTTCCATAAGTCTGTGGTGTAAATTATCTGCAAACTCTACAGACATCTTGTTAAATGATTGCATTTGATAAAACAATTTATATAAAACGAAACAGCAACCGTTACTCACTTTTTTCAGTATCATTTGTATGATAAGTAAATTTTTAGAGAATGAAAGCAGTGCTGTAGATTCCATGCTTCCACGAACCTTTTACTTAAGCCTAACCGTTAGACAAAGATCACCGTGATCGAAGTCGTTATTTTGGAACATTCCACACGGATAACATAACGCTTATTATCTGAGAGATAAATGTATATTTTTCTTGACTCCATATCTACGTAGAAACCTACTGACAATCCTGTTACCCATCATAACTATTAGTATTGGACTATCTATCGTTTATGATACCGTATCATAAGTGAAGAATTTCAATATACTTAGAAGAAAATAATCAGTTAGGCATCAGTATCCTTTTTTCTGGAGCTGGCAACCCAGATTAATATACATACCAATAACTAATACATTATTTCCGTAGATAGTTAAATTTCAAACCTTCCTACTAATGACAGAGATGAATTGAATAGCCGGAAAAATAGCACTTATTACAGTGGTACCAGAACAGAATATCAAGTGATTTCTGGTAAGCAACGTTGTGAGTGGTAGATCAAATTTATCAACTTGAATTTGAACTGAAAACTGTATCAGTCAATGATAGTGGAGAAGAGGTAATGAACGAAAGTTCCAATTACGGAATTCGATCTTACTGACCCAATGTTAATGTGCTTATTCCTTGAACAGAATGTAACTAGAGTGCCTATTGTAGAAGTGGGATAAACAGATAACTGATAAATCAAAACCATGTACAAAACAGGATTTTTGTGATTATTTAGTTCCAGTTGTGATCCAAATTACTGAAGTTGGCTGATACCTTTGGTCTATGATCTTTACATACAAGCTCAACATATATCTTTAACACGCATTTTCCCTAATCCAAATAATACAGGAACATAAAAATTGAATACCTTGGGGTATTGAAAATTAGACTAGATAACTTTACTATTCAGCGCGATTTACTATACAGATACATATTAACATATCTGAGCAATATGAATACGCTAATCACTTTCAGATCCAAATCAGTTTTGATAAAACCTGAGAACTTCTGTGTATTGTAATACTGCCCTTAACTAGCACTCATATCTTCTTTGAAGTCTAATACCTTTCTTGTATAGATAATTAGTTTTTATGGTAAATCACAGGTTTAGTTACTTACCGATCCAGTAGACAGAACATAACTCTCAACTACTTTCACCCATCGACCTTTGACTGGATCACATATCTGTTTCACTTTCGGTGGACTTGTACAACATCGACGTTGAATTTGTATGGTTTTTAATTGACACTGACAATTCACCACTGTTGGTACACTTATTTTTAATGTTTCTAAACAAGGAGGTTTACTTAAATCAAATTTATCTAACGGTTGTTTTTCACATGTTGACCGGTCAATTATTTGAGCTTTTTCTTGACAGCCTGTCGATATAATTATAAATAAGCATTTATTATTTGCATACAAAATGATCTTATTCACAAATAAAACCAGCAAACAGTTAAAATTTCCTCATTGAAATAAAATGAATTGAATAGTGTTCGTAATTTCAAACGGACTATTATTTGGTATGTTGTTCAAGTACATTCTTTTTTGAAAATCAAATAATTCAAAATGCCACCTAATTTAGATCATCGGAATAACAAGCATTTTAATCTAGTTTTTAATTGGGATAATTTTAGCTTAACAGTGATAATAATGTATATAGTTCAATCTATTCTATTTGTAAAACAAATCAAGATAACCCGTTCAAAGTCTACTAATGTCCGTAACATGAGCAATTCGTGATGAAAACAAGAAAAGATATTTTGAGTATAGTTCAAACCAATACAAACAGAGTTTGGCCGTCATTCTATATTATTTCGTTTCATTTGTTTCATTTTGAAGTCAAAAACACGGAATGATTTAAACCTTTAGGAACAGAGTTTAATTGTTACTAATGAACTCTAGTACTGAACAAAAAATCGACAAAGATTTAAGCGAAACTTGTAAAAAAAACATCGAATTCACTTAACAATATAAGAAACATGATGAGCTTCCAAATAAAGAAAGAATAAGAACAAATGACATTGCTATACGTCCACTGTTACTACCATTTATGCTCCATCTTTAACTGACCTTTACGTTCACTTCGTGTCATTCGACTTAGTTTTATTCCGAATGATTTGAAAGTCAACAATTTTGTTATTTGCGTGCATGAATTGAAAATTAGTCAAACGAATCTCAGTTCAGTAAAATCGATACATTGCATTAAACAACTAGGTTATGGTCTTATGAAATGCACTATACTGTTAATAACATTAAACAATTTACAAAATTTATGATTTGATAAAATTTTCAAACTGTAACAATAAGGAGTACATAACACTTCAGCTAGCTTCGAATCCGTAAAAGTCAATCACATCAAACCAATAATAATCTTTGAACTGCGTGTATTAAACTTACGAGTTTCAGTAGTGATAACTTCTTGATCCGGAATACATTGACCGCCAATATTCACGAATTTATTTTTATAAATTGCTAAATTTACGGTGTCTAAACACTGCTTTTTAATTGTGGGTTTGGGACATGCACATAAACGCAGTATCTGACGACGTTTAATGACACATTTACAATTAACTACTTGTTCCCAAAGTATTTCTTCGGAGAAATAAATTCCATCTGGACGTTCAATAACGCATCCACTGGATTTGACAACTTGATGCTTGGTTGCGCATACTATAAAAGTTTTAAGAACAAATCTGGTTACAATATTTTATTAAACCTCAAAACTTGATTCACCTGTAGAGGTAATTAATCAGTAATGACTAATGTAGAAATCTGAATCATTCAGAGATTGCAACTTAACGTGTAAACATTTTACTAAATCAATAATTTCAATATATTGACTGGCAAAAACATTGCGGAAATCATCTAGCTGCGTCACGAGGCAAGTCCTAACTTGAAATCTTGAAGGCTAAAGGAAGCATTGCTGCGAGAATCAGATACAGACAATGAAAGAATAAATAGTGATCGGCAACAAGTGGAAAGGAGCTTGAAGGATAAATGTGTTCGAAGGTGGCTCCTGCTCCACGACGGGTAACGGTTTAAGTAAGTAATATACAAAGGCATTTTAGTCACAGCTAAAACTTTCTTAAGTTAAGTGTTTAGTTGAAAATTTCCCAGGATACCCATTTTATTTCAGGGTATTACGTAAAATATTTGATTTTTTTTGCGAGTGCATCTGGGGAGCCCATTTTATAGATGATACACTGAAGTATTTTAATTAGGTTTCCTTTATATTGTAAAACATTTGGCCAGTCCAATTTTTATTTCAGTAACCCATCTGCTCTCCTTATAAGTCGAACATTTAGAAAGTCTATTTTATCTCCATTTTCTTCCTCAAATGTGAATTCGATGGCAGGATGAACTTTATACTAATGTGTTTTTCAGTAGTTAGCTACATTTTTGACAAACCTGTCTGAAAAGGACAGAATTAGTAAACAGTGATGTACAAAACGAATCTTTGAAATTCGTATACCAAATAATCTATTTTGACATAAGATATCATGTTAAAGCTTAACATGTATTTCATGAGACTGAGGGCTATTGATAGAGCAGAAATAATTAAATTTTAATAATTGCACATTTTTTCTCATTACTTGTGCTATTCAGCTAAAATTTTGGCTATGGAAATTAAAGTATGTACTGATGACTGGATATTGTGCTGATAATACAGTTTGATATATGAAACGTTGAAAATGACAGTAGTTTGCTTAAGATTGATCACGAATATCAGTATCAACATATGTGTCACAGCTAAATCAGTAAATTGACTTACCTACAGGATGAACACTACGTACAAACGATTTCACACAACGTCCCAGTGATTGGCTAAATACGTTAGTTTCTTTATGCACAACTCGAACACCATTTTGACAAGATTCATTGATGCGATTATCTTTGTCACAGTCTGTTACAAAAATAATTCAGAAGAAAGATAAGAGAAGTTATGAATAAATATATTCACAAGAAGCAAAGCTGGAAGTTGTACTTGTTGTGCTTCAGTAAACACCATTTAGCTGAAATTGAAGAAGTGAAGCAATAAACAAAATACATCTACCTTTCAATTCAGGAACCTCTTGGCTAATTAAAATCAAAATAATAACTATGAGCTAGTCTATATCAGAATGGGTTTTATTGGAAAATTATTGATCTATTTCAAGTTGAAAATTGTTGGTTGATCAGTTTAACTGACTTCCGTGAATATGAAAAAGCTCACGATCAGACGTTACTGTCAAAATATATTGATGCTTTACATAATTTTGAATTCAAATGTCCTTTTCCATAAATAACCCACCTTATGATTTTAGACAACAAGATTCTAATATGAAGTGGTTATTTTATTTCACCGTAATGATATAATACCGAAAGGTTATTCACATGCTTTCACCAACAGGTTAAAGTGATTTTCATATTCATATAATTTTCACAGTGGAAAATATGGATACTTTGAGTATTCACAGTTTAAAAGTCATTTAAAACATTTTACGCTGATTTATCCATAATCTATACACATAATTGAACTAAGGTGATAAAAAGAGTATACTTACTACATTTCTCATATTCAACTTTCACCTGACTTTGGCATTCACAAATTTGTTTATCCAAAATCTCATGCATAAAAGTAACCCGTTTCAAGTTATTAGTGCAAGGTTCCTCCTTCATTCGTACGGCATTTACTCGACAAGTAATTGGAATCTTCTTTATGTAGTGACGTGCTGAGCAGAATCTTCTGTCATTTCTTTCAACAAGATATTCTACCTGTTTCATGAGTATTTTATTTCCGTTTTGGCATCTTCTTGCAATTTTAGGCGGTCGGCAGTCTGAAAGTAATTATATTAACATCAATATTAAAAATAGTTGAGATTAAGACTAATAATTTCAGTATCAGTGTATATGAAACAAACATGAAAAACGGAATATCTCAACACAGTCCATGTGATATCAAGTCACGTAGATCAGTGGTCATATTGCTAGTAGTTCTACCGAAGAAGAACTGAGCAAGTATAATATTAGTAACTACTGAATGATCAATCAGTTGTAGAACTCATTATCTCTTACTGAGCAATTTTAGAAAAGTGGTTAGATTTTTTATTAATCTATGAACTTTGTTATCCTCGGGTAATTCGACACATGAATCCATGTTAAATTGATCATTTCAGTGAATGACATCTTGCTGGATTATTGCATAACTTTTAAGTCACATTTATTATCTACATATGTTAGACAGAACAGTATTTCATTATAGGATAATTTACTAGTTAAATCAAACCATTTCTTAAATTCAAACAGTTGAAAAAATTCTGTTTTTTCTTTGAGCAAAATAGTTATTTACCTTGTACAGTTTTAGTGATTGACTATACATTATTCAGTTCAGCTGGTTGGTAAAAATTAAATAAAAGGCTGTTGATAAACCTCTCTTTTGAGCAGTGTTTTCATAAACCAATAGTTAATTTAGCTTTCAGAAACAGATAGAAAGACTCAGCCTAGTTGACTTTGCATCAATACAAATGAAATAAATGACAAATAAAAGTACATAATTCGTGAAGAACGATACGAATCTTATTTCCAGAATCGATTAACATGAACAAGTTGTTGCGAATCCCTCTATTGGTCGGATGAGTTATATTCAATTTTACTTCAGCATTTAGTTTTTAATCAGGTAATAGATAAAATGATAATTTTTTTATCAGTAATTGCATATCACTCAATTACTTACGACATGGTTCTTCATATAAATATTCTTTTTCTTGATCACAAGTCACTTTTCCAGATTCATTATTTTTTCTAAGGATGTAAACAATACGCCACGCTTTACGAGAACGCTTTCCTGCTGTACAATTCTCTTTATGTATTACTGGCAATGGGCAAGCTGAAATTCCAAGAAAAATAATCGGTAACGTAGAATCTCTTGTGACAGTAATAGCAAAATCTGTTTTTAAATCCGTTTAACAAGTCCTATTTTTTTGTCCAAAAATTTATTTATATGCTACTATCATTTTGATGCTATTTAACCTCATTGTATAACAAGTTGAAATGCATAGTTTTAAAGTTTGAAAACAGCTTTAACGAATACTTCCAATTGGAATTATTTTTGGCAATTCTGTTTATCAGTGACACTGAAAAAGTCACCAGCCAATGACTTAGATCACCAATATCTTTGCAGTGTTTGTATGAATAAGATACTTACATTATCTGTCTAATGAAAAGCTTTATCTCTAGTAACAGTAAAACAAAAAAGGTTTACATGATTAAATATCAACTTACTACATGGTTCCAATGTTGAATCAATTTTCAGCTGACATCTACAGCCAATTAAACTATAGGAACGTCGTTGAACCGGTCTTACTTTTGTGTAAACATCACACTGACCTCGGGTGACTTTCTCTTCGGGGCACACTAACAATTAGATAATAGTAGTAAAGTAAAAACAATAACTCTTGAATTCCTTTGAATAAATCCTGAAACATTTTTAGTCTTACTGATAAAGTCAAACATATTTGCACTTGAAGGTCAGTGAATATTATTTAATGTTCATTATATTTTTGAGACAAAAAGGATTATATAACTAATCCATCAACTTTCAAACTTACGTTCCTCAGAATTTTATGATCTGTTTAAATTTCCAATGTCAGTATTGTTTGGTTGTTTTAAGACCTGTAAGATTCTTTATACCATAAAATTAAAAAGTTCTTAGTTTTCTCTGCATGAACATGATTCTGATAAAAATAAGCGTAAAAGATATTTTGCCTTTATATTATAAGTGAAATACATGGATGTGGAAACATTTCCGCTCTCTACACTAATAGGCCACAGCTAAGCATCAGAAAATCATACAACCAACGATTTTCGTGTGCATAGTTTTTAAGACTAGGAAGTAAAACAAACGTATATTCTATCTTTAATACCCAAATCGATGGAATCAGCTTGGCATTTAATTTTAAGTAAAATAATAAAATAAAGGTATAGAGATAACAATCCCATTTTAATGCTCATTAAAAGTGCGAGTCCTAGAATTTTCGAACATTTTTGTATTCTAGAACTATACTTAAGAGTGTGGTTTTCACGAGAGATTTCGTTTCTGTCATCTGAAACTATCTATTTGTGCCAATTATATGCACCCTTCCGTAATATATTCCAACTTGACGTATGAAAAAAGCGAACAAAATGAAATCTTTCATGAAATTTATGCATTTAAAAGTAGCACTTATTCAATAAATAAACGGAAAAATATTAGATTTTGTACATATATTGAAGGGAGGTGGATACACTATAAATTCACAGACACGTATCATATCCCAAATGATGTGACCTTTGAGATAGCAACAACAAAAGTTTGACCCTCTTTCAGATACTTTTTGAAATCATGAATCGATAAATGTTGGAACACCGTTGGAAACCACAAAGCACTGGACGGCCGTTTCGTCCTAGTATGGGACTCATCAACAGTGCTCATCCAGGACTCCTGCAACTCACAGGATTCGAACCCAGGAACTTCGGTGTTTAGCACGAACGCTTAACCTCAGGTAATCAAAAAGCAGAAAATATAAACTAATAATTACTAATTCAAAATGAACCATCACAATATCTAGAGAACGTGAAAGTCAATAATATGTACTAAAATGATCAAAAAAAATGACTAACCATTAATTGTCAATCAATATATAAAATGAAAATGTATTAAAATAAGATAATTTTACACGAGACCAAAAACAGGTCATTAACTATTTGCATTTTCTATACACAAGACTATCTTATCACTTATCAAGAACATTTGTCGAAATCTTATACTAGTTCCGTCCTATGAATTTGAAGTTCAGCTTTAACCTAAAATAATAATCCTAACTATTGTGTTATTATTGTCAGTTGATTAATAACTGATTTCATTCTTAGCACAAATGTCTTTACTTAATTTTTTTTCAATTTTACTATTATTTCGCATGATTTACACAACATAGAAATCTACTATAATTGAATTCATTGGTCGTCATCGTCAGGAACTTACCAACTTTGTTCTCATCAACAAATTTCCTAGTAATACATTGTTTTTTGAATAACTCATAACGATACATTATGCGTGATAGAATACCGTAATTTTGATGACATTTTTCTTGGAATCTTGGATTTGGACAACAACATCGTATATTCCGATGAATAATCTTTTTCATCATTCTACGACAATGACAATTTTGAAGAACAGTTTTCAATAGAATTGTAGCAACATAGCAGGTTTGTTTATCACATACACGTTTGATAAATCGTGGACCATGGATATCACATACTGATAAAAATTTAGAAAAAAGTCATTTGTTAGCCATTCCTCAAAGAAAAAAAGGAAATTCAGTGATGAGAAACCTTATTTATTCATTCATTTATCTAATTAAAATTGATGTTCAGTGATCAGATTTGTGGAGCTCTGAATGATATCGATGTCATACTATTTGGTATTCACCAAGCAAATGCATTTCATGTCGTATGAAAAACGATCTTTTCTGGACAATACATAACGCAGACAACCTCAACAAAGATTGTTTATCTAAATTAATTGATTGAATTAATGATAATAATGGTAAAATGATGTAACTATATTGCAATTACATCATCCCATCAACTACATTTTTTTTATGTAAAACTTAATAACACGATGTAATTGGTCAAAGGGAAAACAGGAACATAAAAATGTAAACTAAGTGAATCACTAACGATAGACAATTGCCAGATAAATAGACTACATTAGTAGTAAGGAGAAATAAACTGATTCAACAATGCTATCGATACATTTCCCCATCTATAAATACTTAGTGAATTGTATTAGATACATGGGGATTATAATTTTTCCACAGAAATTATCAAGTGACTAATGAACCGATCAAAAAGTGAAATACAGGTTAAATAGCAGAAGAATCAATTTTATCTGTTAGATCATATACGTATTTATCTGAACTAGCTGGAAAGATAATAACAAATCTACCGATAGTTCACGTTTTAAACGAGTAAAGAAAATTTTTTTTTCATTGGGACATTACATTGAATTTCCAAGCACATCGAATGTGTTATTTTGTTGTGTGAAAACTACGAGATTAAGTATACTTGACTGTGAACCAGTAACACATCTGACTGGTTATTATTAAAATAACAACCAACTCCAGAAAATTATCTAGTTTGTTGCACAACATATATAATATATAATATAAAGCTTCAAAGATGGTTATTTTATTCGATTAGGTATGTAGTAGATAAGAAGTCCTGACTAGCAACTCAGAGAGAAAACCTAATAACGTAAATTTTGAAAATAGATTTGTGTTTCAAGCTGCAACCAGTTGAAGGATCAACAAAAAACGAGGGCGGCACAACTATGCAGTTCTTTCTCAAATGGATCGCTGCGTTTGAGGGATGCTTAATTGTGGCAAGAACTATCATCTAGTTGACTAAGATACACAACCAAATATTTTTAAAATTAATTATAAATGACTGTTATATTTCTTATAACCAAACTACTTACCCACAACCTTGCGCAACTGATCTATTTGACTTACACACTTCCCTTTATCTTCATCCAACATATATGATACTTTTTTAATGATTAACAAACTTCCACCACGTTGACATTCACGATATTCAACTGGTTTGGGACAACAACATTTTCCTTGAATAAACTTTTGTTGTATCTCACATTTACATCCATTATTCTTGAACCAACTTATGATGGTTAACTGGTTACATGTGACAGGATCACATTTGACATCGACATTTTCCTTATTTGGACAGACTGGAAGAAAATATTAGACCAATAAGTTGGATAAATAACTTTAGATGCACTATGAAAAATAAACATTATTTTAAATATAAATTTATTAGTAAGGATAAAAAGTATAGTGGTGTGAAATAAGGTGAATTGATGCTCTAAACATTAAAAAATATTTATGAATGATAAAAAAATAGCGTTCAATAATATTTTTATCAAGAAACTTTTAAGAAATAATCGAAGATTAATTTTTCAAACCAACTCTACTACTACTTTTGGATGATACAGCTAAATATGATTTTAAGTGTTTTCAATGGCTGTCTTTTTAACAAGATTTTTGTCTGTTCTATAAATTAAGTCGACGCAAATGATGCATTGAATTATAAGTAAATGTAACATCTTTCATTCTATCGCACTTGATATCTTTTTGATGGTCAAGGTGATCCAGAAAAACATTATGATTATTATTATTACTAAATGTTGACGCTCTTATCTCTCATGTTGATCGTTTGTACTTTTTTAAAGCTCCCAATGAAAATTCTCAGTTGTGACTTAATTAATCAAGGTATAATTTTTGATACGAAATTGCAATAAAAAGTCAATGAATTTAAATTATTACAAGCAGAAGCATTCATGATATTGTTTCAGACAACCAATGCAAATCATTAGGGATCCGACAAATTTAAATCGATTTACTTAGATTAGATTTCGCATGACGTATGAAACCCAGCAAAACCTGCAGCTCTGTATTCTCAATAGTTGGTATTGTCTTTCAATACCTTTACGTTTGATAAATTTCTATACAATTTATTGCTAGACCAGATTTATCATGATGACCATTTAAATGATAAATACCGTAAGAATTATTTGTTATATTCAAATTTTCCTTTGCTATAAGTTTCAAATTTTTCCAAATAATCATGACTTACCGACATCTTTCTTCATCCAAATTACTTTTGGCTGACAGATTTCATTTTGAAGTTCATATATTACTTTCTTTTGTAATAACATATTGGCTTGTTTAGAGCAGATAGGGTTCTTCACTTTTTCATTCAAATGTTTACAAGCTATAAAGATTTTGAATAGGACAGATTACAATGTGTATGACGTATTTTTAACACGAAAATCACCGTGCATTGATTCTCAACCAGCAGTGGTTCATTGCAACACAACCATCGCAACGTGCGCTAACTATCGTATTATGCATTACAGAGTCTAAAACATTATATACAATTTTATGTGAAAAATTTTAGCCATCTATAAGAAACTAATTTATCTTGTGAAATATTTACGTAACTGAACAACCTTTAACAGAAAATATGTTAGCAATTTTAACATTTTGATCCTGCCTGTAAACTGGCATATCTATTGTAACACGTTATTAGAAAATAAATTATTATTATTATTAATGAGAAGACAAAGATTATCGGAATAATGTGATAAATCAGCGCAACACATTTCGAATAAGATGGTCACACTAAAAACTTTGATATACAAAAAATAAAAGGTCACTTAGAATATAAGAGTGCAAGTGAAAGAAAAGTGTGAGAAAATAATGTGAAACTCACTTCCATAGTAAGTTTAATACATTGAGGAGGTCAAAAATATTCATATGGCCAAGACTCCAATAAACCTTAGCACATGCCCTTGAACACTTATACAATACCACAAAAGCTGAGTTTTAACTACGTGTTTGACAATAGAGGACGATGGATGTCCATCATCTACTTGTATTGGGTCATCTGATTTTATTTGTCGTAGCAGCCAATTAGGTACATGTTCAAACATCTTAATTTGCTAATCATGACTACTGCTCCCAATGGATCAATGGAGACATACACATTTAAAGTGATAAACGTAATGGGGTGCGATGCGGCTCATTCTCACCCTAATCCTACCTTGATAATATTGTGTTATTATCCAGAATGATGGGTTTCATGTTATTTTGTCACATTAGTTTTCCTTCTCAATCTTACACTTCATTTGTCTAGTTGACTTTTTATATTTTTGATATATGTAAATGTTCTCAACAAGTTGTATATGTGTGGTCAGATCGGTCGAAATCTACTGTTTTAACATTTTACATAATATTTCTTTGTTTTCCTTAGGTTATCAGTATGTTGGAACTTATTTATAATTATCAAAGTTCCAATAATATCATGAACTAAGTAGCCGAATGTCTATTCATAACTATCTTAGAAAAGGGATCTCCTAAAATGTACAAAAGAAACTATAACTATAGAATCTATAGGTTTTTGGTTGTTGCAAGAAATCTATTTAAAATAATATTGAACTCTACTAAATCAGCACAAGTATATTATGGATCAACTATTTAATAAAGAATTGATAAACATAAACCCGTACTATTTAGTATTTTAAGTATCACATCGAAATCATTAATGAATCACTGCTAGAACACTAGTAGAAACCTGGAAGCACTTGACTGCTGTTTCGTTCGGGTATGGGACTCATCAGCAGTGTGCATCCACGACTCCTACTACCCGCAGGATTCAAACCTAGGACCTTCGATCTTGCACACGAACTCCTTACCTCTGAACCACTGAGTGATATCTAACAGTGGTAATGTCTAACTCTGACCAATCAAAAGATTTCTGCTCAACCCGCACCCACTGTCTTCGATATTTACTGCCTGTCTGTATTTGAACTATAAAATGAGAGAATTTCCCTTCAAAATCAAGAGATGAAACAGGCAAGAAATCATTTTTAATGATTATAATGATAATCATGTAATCAAGGTGTAGAATTTCAATTGAAACTGTCAACTGAGAGACTGTTATTATCTTTTAAATAGTAAGTGCATCACTTACAGCATACACGTTTCCGGTAATTTGTTGTCTGTACGCATTTGCATTGAGATATTAACTTTTTCCAAGATGTTATTCTATCCAAAGCAATTCCATTGTATATATCACAACTGCCTTTAACAATATCTACTTCAGTTGGACAGACTAGAAGAAAGAAAAGTGTCATTAAATTAATTTAAAATCCTAGCAGTTTAAAACTTACTTGTTTGGAATTAAAAAAAATATGCAAAGAAATAAATCACTTATTGCTATCAGTGAGAACTTATGAACAAATATGATGGTATAATAGAAACATTATCATACTGGAATAGAATGTGTAAATAAAAACAATAAAAGACAGTGTGTGCAAACGAAAAGGCTTGTAATATTAGTAAATAGTTAGCACTTCTTATAGTGTGAATGGAGTACAATAATTAAAATTGCTTTTTTGTGACATTAATTAAAGATGATAGAAGGGCTTAAATCAAATAGGTTGGTATCAAAAAGTAATTATGGATAAATCATGAGGAAATGGGCAATAAAACCATAATAGTTTAGATCCAATTTAAAGATAATAAGACGTCCTTTTTTGTAAACACAGTTTTGATTTTATTTCATGTTGGCAAGAGTTTCTATTGTTTAAAGGAGTTGGATACGAAGATGTCCAGGTAGATTTCAACGAATTGTATAAACAACCATAAAATCAACCTGTGGATCAGTGGAGTTATTGGGATCGATTCAATTTTCAAGAGTGGGACTTCTAGCTGACTACCTCTCACTCCCGTAGAACCACACTGGAATATATTCTCATATCCTGGTTGAAAACAATCGCTGGCTATGACCTAAGTACCTTGACCACAAAAGTAGGTGAACTGAAAGATGCACATGGAGTTGACCAGACGAGTAACTTATCGTTTACGGATACAGGAAATAAGTTGCTACTAGTGTAAATTTTTCACAGCTTTACTACACAGAACATGTTTTTGATCGCTGTTATTAACGAAATCTTAAGTACATCAGAATTTCGGTCACCTTTAAATTCCTGATTCATATAGAACTAATTTTTCGAAATAGAATTTCCAGATTTATTTTCTGAACTTTACTGCTTATCTCTATGAACTGGTTTGGATAGCCATTGTTACTTAACATTTTTCTAAGGAACGCAAGTTCTTTATTGATGCATTTCGTACTGTAAGTCTTGCGTATTTGGTAATAATAAAGCGTCAATAAGCTTCCTTCTTTATGCTTACTGGAGCCCAGTTGTTTTAGTTTCATTTTTCATGTAGAAATCTTCACATATTCATACATTTATCGTACGGCAGTCTAACACTTTAAGACTCTGAGCACTAAAGTAAGACTTACAAAAATGTTGCTTTCAATCAACTATAAGTTGGTCATCCTAAAATGTTTGTCAAGCTTGAAGAATCAATTATAGTTGACATCATTTCAGTAATCTAAGTTTCAACCTGAAATCGTGATACGCATTTGATAACTTCATGATTTTACGATTTAAGCGATAGAGTCACAATCTCATTAGTAAGTTATTTTCATTCTGAATGAATCATATATTACCGATAATTATTAAAACACAATTATGACATGCTGACTGAATATTTGGTCATAGTTTTCTTTCGTGAAAATATTTTCATTTTTGAAGATGCTGTCTGTCATGGAGTGAGACCAATGTGACAATCACTGAAATGATAATTGAACAGCTATTTCTTTCTAATTTGAAACTTCTCAGTAATAAGCACCCTTTACACCATATAAGACTATATCCTGGATATTTGAGTTTTGTTAAGATCAGGACATGAAGCTCTCAATAAACTTACAACATCATTACCCATGAAAACTGTATAACTCACCGATTTTGTACTAATCAAATAGTTGACCTTTCGGACTGCCACAGATGAAGTTAAAATTAATTAGTTTGAGTATCAAAATAAAAGTGTTAGATGTGCATAGGTTCAACTTACACAAACAGCAAACCACTAAAGTTTTATAAAAGAGTTTACGATATCTGACTTAATCAATATACACAGATTTCTTCGACAGTTATGAATTAAGAATCAAAATAAAAAGGTTATGCCAATATTTTGTGTCTTAATTAATTGTCTAACTACAGACCTACTTCACTTTAGATCCGTTTCCAGTTATACATATGTTGTGTTGATAACTTAAAATTTAATTGGTTGGTTACTAGGATTTCACCCAGTTACCCCATATGGGTACGTTAATATTCGTCCAGTAATCCTTTTTACTTACTTAGAACTGTATAATCAACACTTGGAAGGGCAACGATCAGTATAAAATTTATTAGCACAATTATTGACTGAGTAAATCGCATTTAGTAATACATATCTCTACTTATATTCAATATTTTAACTCACCGAGATTCACAAATGTTTTTACATCTTTAAATTCACATAATTCTTTTTGTGGATTGAAATAATATGTACGATTAGTAATTTCTATTTGTCCATTAGCAGGAATACACTTGTTGAATAAATTATTTTTCATGACTTCACGTCGACAACAACATGGACGCATTTTAATGTCAGGATGTAAACGATGACATTTTTTATCTTTGGCTTCAATTGCCCATTTTGTTATGGTGATTTGCTGAAGACAGGTATTTGGATCACACGGCTTTACATGAACCGTTGGAGCTTGACAGGCTATAATCGAAATATACAAAATGTTTGTAGTAATGAGCCGAGAACAAAAAACAATGTCAATAATTAAAATGTGAAATAGCTGCATATAAGTAATAAAATGAAAACTGCACCTAGACTACAACTGCTGGTATTTGAATTTCAGACTTAAAGATATGCAGCGTGAATGATAACACATTTGAATTTCACTTCCGCCTCTGTATACTTAGCTCGACTGTTTGACTAATGCAGCAGAGTCTTCTGAGGTCAATTCACGTAACTATAAAGTATCTTGATTACATATCAACAGATTTCTTGCTTGATCAATTTTCAATAAGGATGCTGTTAAGATCATGAGTTATGCTTTCAAGGAATACAATTAAAAGAAACAATAAACTTTGTCTAAAAACTACAAGGCACAATGTTTTGCGATTGTTACGCCGACAGGAAGTCATTGTTCTTAACACCATTACAATGGCAAAAGATGGCTAGTTGGTTTGAATTCAATCTGTAATCTTGCTTCCATTTCATAGTTATCCTCTCTCCTCTATAATATGAAAATGTTATAAAATTCAGGTGTGCATGAATATAAGTCATATATAAGAGAATAGAACATTAATTTTTGAGCAACATTACATACCACATATTCGTTCACGTTTCTCTCTGTATACTATCTTGCATTCACATTCTTCAACTATAGATCGTGTTATTAAAACTGATTGTTTTCCAGTTGTTTTATCACATGGGCCTATCGGTGTCACATCTTGTGGTTTACATACAGGCGGTGGTAGATTCTTAACAACGCTTGTCTTGACACATTGTCCATTGTCTAATTTCCAAAGTTGTGTGATCTGTAAAATTAATCAATATTAAAGTAGGTTATTAGTAGTTAAATGAGTTTCGGTAACAAAAACATTTGTTCGAATAAAAACATAAAAACTTGCTTAAACAAATGATGAATAACAACTTACTTTTAAAATTTGACCCTCAAGCTAATTTACCTCGACATCGTCAGATAAGAAAATATACCCAATCACGCTGTGTATGGTAGTAAATGATTATTACATATTTGTAGCACATTTTCATTGAAGGTGCAAATATTTTTCTACGTGAGCCTGTCTTGGATATTCAGTATTTAATATTTCTTGAACTTTACAATGATTTTTTCATGAATTGAGTTTAATCATTATACACTTATGGATAGAAACAAGTAAATAAGATAGCAATAATGTCAAGACAGTTCTACTGTATGGAGCGGAAACTTGGAGAACTACGAAAGGCATCATCCAGAAGATACAAGTGTTTATTAACAGTTCTCTACGCAAAATACTTCGGATTTGTCGGCCAGACACCATTAGCAACAACTTACTTTGAAAGGAGGAAATCAGGAAGAAGCGACACACACTACGAAAAGCGCTTAACTGCGTCACAAGACAAGCCCTCACATGGAACCCTCAAGGCAAAAGGAAAAGAGGAATGCCAAGGAACACATTACGCCGAGAAATAAAGAAAGACATGAGAAGAATGAACAAAAACTCGAAAGAACTAGAAAGAGAAGCCCAGGACAGAGTTGGTTGGAGAAGGCTGGTCGGTGGCCTATGCTCCATTGGGGGTAACAGGTGTAAGTAAGTAATATCATTATCTTTAATATAAATACGGTTGTAATAAACTACATTTTCTCAACACATTTAATATTTGTGAAGAATAACATTATAATTAAGCACAAAAGCTTGTTAACATTTTGAAACGTATACAATCGTTCATATACTACATACGAATTAAAGCAAAACTTATCTTAATACATCCTTAAATAATGGTCAGAATGTTTGATACTATCATCATAATATAATGAAATGCTTTAGATTAACCTTATTATGAATATATTGTTGAAGAAATTCAATAACACGCGGCAGATTAGTGATTCGATTGTTTTAACGTTACATTCCTGGAGTGAGTCGAAACTAGCTAATTTTATCACAGAAAAACTGAAGAGGTCAGTAAATTATTGGAAAATTACAAACTTTTGTTCATTACATTTTTTTTAAGAAGAAAATAAGTTCTTCTAATGATTTACCGTTAGAATATATAATAATAATCTTACTGACAGGATTCCAAAAATGGAAAATAAGTGATAGTTATGAATGAACAATCTGAGAAGTTTTAGTACAGCCTATTAATGATATAATTTGTCTTTATAACTCAACCATCAATGAGAAACAGATTACATTCCTTTGTTAACTTAAAAATAATTCGAAATTTTATTAATTTATTCCAATATAATGAAAACATAGACCTTTTTTTTTAAAGAAAAAACTCATAAACACTTTTAAAACAAATGGACAAACTTATCAACTACTCACATCATACCAATCCGTTGTGCAACAAAGTTTATTAACGTTTACTTACTGCTTTATAACTTCCGTCTGGTAAACAAATGCTTTTCACTCTAGGTATACGATGCGTACAACAGCATAATTTTGGAGTAGTGATTATCTGTCGAATACATTTACATCCTATTCTATTCCACTGATAAGTTGTTACAATTCGTTGACATGAGCTAGGATCACAATATTGATTTTCTTCAGGTTGACTTTGTTGAATTGTTTGAGGACATGAGATTTGTTTCTTTTCAATAGTTTCACGTTTTACACAATGACCATTTTCTAATCTATTGTGTCAGAATAAAATACGCGTAATTAATGATTAGCTTCAGGTAACTGTAGAATAGCAACCTTATAATTGTGGATGATCTTATTTCAAATTAATGACAATGACGGTTGTCAATGTGAATGGAAAATGCGCATGTTGAAACCATGAAAAACAATGCATTTTTTTAAAATTTTTTTTGCTTAAAGTTCCCCAAGAAATCAAATGTTTTTACATCTTAAAACCTAGTTTGTGAGCAAGCCAACGAAATACTATTCAATAGCTGGTTTGATGTACAACGTGTTTATATGTCATTTTCTTCTTCTTTTCTCATATTTCCTAATGTTCGAATTAATGAGCTAACAAATGCTTGATGAAACGGTAGCTTAAATTAAATTAATTATTTTCAGTAAAATATTTTCTGCTCTAATGTTTTGATGATAATCACCGAAACTCTTTTTACTTTTTAACCATTAGAAAAACTTGCCTGAAATGTTCGTTAATAGTAATTATTGTACTCCGAAAATATTCAAATCACTCTTGAATTTATTTAGTTTAATGTTTTTCACTGGCTTGCACTTTAGCAATTATTGGTGTTTAGCAAACCGCATAGTACCTTGTCATCAGCAAATATAAAAGTAGTCTCTGTTTAAGGTTAACTTCAAGATGTTTTCTATTTTGCTGATGTTGTGGCTGAAACCAAACTTTCAGAAACCTGTTCATCAGATGTAAACATTAACTATTTTTGTACATTAACGCATCTACTACAACGGGAAAATAAAATGTTACAAAACAATATTTTAAACTAACTGGTAGTAAATATTTTTATTCTCAATAATTCCTTTATCTTCGAGACATTTGCTTCCCAACTGTTTTGGTCCTGGACAACAACAACGTTCATGACGAATTTGTTCGACAGGTTGACATTGACAATTTTTAATGGTATAACTGATAAGACGATTTGTTTTGAGACATGTACCAGCAGTATCACAAACACCTTCTAGTACATGAGGTTTTGGACATTCTAGTTCAAAGAAAAAATAGACAATTGATTTATACTTCACACAGATATATATCCCTAATGATATTTTAGATCTAAACAAACGATAAATAACTCTCGTTTCTTTTTAATACCGATTTGACATTGAGATTAGTCATTCGAAATCATCAATCAATCATTTTAGACCACCATTAGAAACCTGGGAGCACTGGACGGCCGTTTCGACCTGGTATGGGACTCATCAGCAGTGGTTTAACAATGATTGATTGATGATTCCAAATGTGTAAAAACGCAAACCTTCAAAACTCTGCCCCAAAAAGTGAAATTAGTGCCTCAACTGATAGCAAAATAGTACAAAAATAAGTCGGGTCCATAAGAACAGAAAGTTTCTTCATGTAATTCATTTTGAAGATAGTTTTCATCACTAAATGACACTAACTAGACAACTGTTTTGTCATAGTGTCGAACTTCCCATGGATACTCACCTGTGATTTCATTGAAGTGATATTTAAACTTCGACGGTTCAATAAAATATTGAGTGCAAACTAAGAAAATTAAATTACTTACTAGGACAATTACGACGAATAAAATTTTCCTTGACACAACGTTCATTAACTTTATCAAATTTAGACAGTTTCTTTACAACTATTTTACAGTTTCCAACACAAAATTCTTTTTGTTCTTGGGGTTTACCAAGACAGCCTTCATTATTTTTGAAAAGAAAACAGAGATTAAATTAGTAAAACAACATGGATTCGTCTTATGAAAAAAAATCACACGTTATTATCACGTTATGCACTGAAATAAACTGACTAACTACTAAATATCCAGTTATTATCGATAATTATATTACCCTTATTCAAGCCATATGTACCTACTGTTACATGACATGTATTACTTAGGTTGTCCATGTGTCATAGACAACACGACTGTAATCAGTGAATGGAATTCAGACAAATTAATCGTAGTATGCAAGTTTAGTTGATTTTATATTATCTCAGATCAAGCATAATTTCGACTGCAATAAAATTTGTATATGTTTTCGGGTACTTTAATGATCATTACATGAATCATTATAAAATACCACATAAGGGAATTCTATTTTTTCTTGTGTAGCTTGAAATAATAATTCAATATCTGAAAGGAGGTATAAAGCGCTATCCCCTTCACAACGTAAGATTGATAATTAGACATTAATATAAACCGAGACTTGTGTCGTTTTCACCTGAAATCAGTCTACTTTCATTACATATAAGACAAAAATAAGGAACAAAATAAGTATGTTCTAAAAAATGGTGTATTTAAACATGCCTTTCATTTATTTCTGGGGTCGAATAAACCTGAACCACTAGTCTTGTGTTCTTCTTACATGTAGTCGAATTCGATTTCAGTACCAGTAAAATAACAGTTGCGCAACAATGCTTAATATTTCCCCCGTGTAATTAAAGAGTATTATAAATTATTGTTGCTCATCCAATAAGGATTTGATCAATAAATAACAGTACTTATTTCTACATGGAGAAAATTTCCTGTCCTTTATTCTGTGCAACTCTTAACAATTTCATTACTGTTACATAGGTCTGTGTCTCAAGTGGTTCAACAGTAGATATCACTTAGTATGAAAGATTTTGAGTATACAGACCTTGACATCACTAGTTTCAGCTAGATTTTCTACCGATTAGACATTTTAAGTAGTTGTAAATCGTAGGTACAATTATTCAGTTAGCGTATACACGTATCGATGTTGCTGACATATCAATTAATATTTTACAGTATGTGTACAAATATATCGAGCGCACAGGACTTGACCCTGCCTTTGGACAAACTGATCAACCTTTTCTCCCCGAGTTATTATTCACTCGTCTTTCGACCTTGTATATCATTTGGTCATAACCTTGGTTATTTTTTGCAAGTGCGTATGTGCATCTCTCTCACGCCTCTCATCACATAACTGGTTTATATACTCCATCGCATTAAGTTGGCTAACTTTCCTTGTTCATTTCAATTTGCTTTGCTTTACGCTTTTTATCTTCATGTCTGCCGCGTGGATGGTTGCATGACATAAACTCATTCAGCTGAATCCATATTTGGCTTCTTATTACCGCTGTCTCACAAACGGGGTAAACATATAAGCATGATGTGCAGCAACTGAAGGAAAGATTCATTTCATAGCAGAAACAAATAGTTGTACAACTTGAAGTCAGATCACGGGTCACTAAAATGTATTTTACATCTTTTCCGTTGGTTTATCATATTTCAAGTTTCATACACTAATAAACAGTTTAATGCAACTGAATAATCACAAAATTATATGTTAACTTACAGCATTCGCGCTCTTCTTTAATGGTTTGTTGTTTTTTACATTTGCAATTATCTGGATCAACTACCGATGTGATTAGAAATAGTGGTCGCCGACATGTTTGTGGTCTGCATTCTCCATATTTAATTTTTACTGATTTCGAGCAAACTATATTGACCAAAAGAAATTTTTAAACAGATTACTGATTCTGCAGTGTTTTATATTTATAAGAATATACTGCTGTTTGTTGCAAGTAATACTCACAAAATTATGACAACTGACAAATATCGGTAGAACTGGTCGTCAAATACATTTTTTTCCAGCTACCCCTTTGACATGTTATCTTTCGATATTTTTTATGAGGAAAGCACTTCCAAATTGGTAATGTTGTGCAATTTATATTACCTCAATTGAGTAAAACAAATATGGATGTTATCGACTTTCGATAACACTTCTTTTAATATTATTAAAACTGTTTATCAGTAATCACCATAATATGGCAAAATCAGTTTTTTCAGTGTGCTATACGTCCTAAATTAAGTAGACGTATAAAATTTGAGTCTGGTGATGGGTATACATTTGTAACTTCAAAATACTTTGTTGTCCCTGTGTGAAACCCATTCACCTCTGAATACCAAAATAAGCAACACATTTACAATCAATTGACTGCAGATAAATGTCATTTTATTTATCCTTTTTTTTAAATGATAAAAGGAAAATGTGTAAACTAAACTGTAGACAAATACCAACGAACAAACGTTTTATAAATTTTTATTTTCTTCAGTGTACCAGTCTACTTCTGAAGTACAAGGTTCATAAATATTATTCCAAACCAGCTGCTTGAGTGAGGAAACTGAGGTTGAAAAGGAAGATTCATTAAATAAGTCCGAATCGAGAACATTTGCACACTCATTAGTACATATACATCTATTTTCCTTAAGAACAACAGCCACAATCTTAATTAATGGCATGTGTCACCTTCCAAGTCTTGGTAGGTAATGAGCTCTTTTTTTGTGACCTATGTCTGATTGATTCAGTGTAACACAAATGTCTTAAAAATATGCCAATTACCTATGAAGTAGCTACTCAGGTATTATGGATCAGTGTCTTTCGAAGTACGTATGAAATAAAGAATAATATATAGTTGATAGAAGTAATCATATACTGACAGATGGAATTCAACCTAGTCTCTAGACGTTTGTAAATCTAGTGTCGAGTCCAAATATCCCATTCTAATTATCACTTAGGTAAGTATATGATAATAAAGACCTGCGAACTAAAATAGAATGGATGTTTGTTGCAAGCTAAGATTTTACTAGTTTTTTTAAGTGATCTTTAAATCGTGAAATATGTGATCGAAATCATTTAAAGACACAGACAAAAATTCAGCTCACCAATCGGAACTGTTTGTTTTGTAGTAGATTTTACACACCGTACATTTTCTAAAACCATTCTATGTGTATAGATCTCTAATTGTCCATTTTTACAGATTGTTTGTTTTTCCTCTTCTTTTAAACAGCCTATAGAATGAGAGGAAATAATGCACTGTTCTAAACGATTAAAAACTAGGTGATGAGATGAAAATAGTAAAAAGTAAAAAGTAAAAATAAACGACACATCTTTCTTGTACATGGTTTCCTAGATTATTGAAACAACTACATTGTTAAATAACTTATATGAATTGACGTGTAAAGTAAGCTGTTGTGAGTTGGCTATTATGGACGATATTTTATTTATCCAGTTAGTGACAACCTTAATGACTCTGAGCAAATTATTCGACGGCCGTGACTATATCCATATGAAATATTTATTTGGCTAGGTTATTAATGCGACTACTTACTCAAGTTCAGGCTTAGGTTTAATACATTATTTTGAGATTGTGATTATTGATTTAATATACAATTTATATCAACTTTATAGCATCTCACTTTCACTATGCTCATAACATTTGCTAACCTCTGCATTAGTGTAATACTGTGGTGTGTGCTACTTATACGAACGATTTAAGTAGTATAAGAAGGGACATGAAAGAAGAAGTCGCACGGTCAGAAGAGGAAAACTCAAAGCAAATGGAGCAAAAGCAAGAAGTAAATGGAGTACCAAAAGGAATGGAAGAAGGATGGAGTGTTGGAAGTCGCGACTCAAAGATGGTGTGCAAATAGAGTACTCAATGTAATGTTTTCGTTTTTAACTGACTCAGAGTGTAAATTCGCATAACACAATTTACTTAACATGCCACAGTCTTCTCAATACTACATAAAAAATAACACCCTAGTTAGTTATTTATTTACTGTAAATACCAAAACAATCATTCATTGTATTGTGGTCACTATCATATTTATCTGAAAATGATGTTAAGAACAATAAAGCAAAATTTAATATTAATGGTTGTGAACAATCAACTAACAAATGACCCAAATTAATATCTTACAGCAAGGACGTTTGTCTATGACTTTTTTCGTCAGTAAACATCGACAATTCTTGACAGTGTATACTGAAGTGATGAACGATTGTTGACAAGTTCTGTTATCACACTGACTCCAATATGCTTGTGGTGGAGGAGAATAATTCGAACACGCTAAAATAAAAATGCAGTATCAACATTTTTATAAATGGGTTCCTAGTCTTGTAAATGGTAAAAACAAATAATTAAACGTAGTTAAAACTGTAAGTTGTAAAAATACATAGGGGATTAGACCAATCGTAGGTCTCCAGTTGCTTTATCTTACTTCTCAGTCTGATGAACTATGTAATGAGTTCTTTCAAAAAGAGCGTTTAGAGAGACTAAGTTCTAATGAAGTTCGTATTGTTTATTGACCACTATTTAGGTTAAACGCTTAGACAAAACATGACTAGTAAACACACTAAATCGGATTGTTCCCAGTTATTAGTTTTGTAATTGTCACTGAATGCTATCGAATCATCAATAAATTATTTTTAATTACTCGTTTATATTTGGATTTTCTACATCTGATCCTGATTTAGAATGATTAAAGCAATACACAATGATAAATTAAGGTAATCATGTACAGCTTCGCAGTTACTAATAGCGAACTGTTCAGAAGATTGATTGACACTCATCCAAAAAATGTATATCTGGAACATGGACCTACAACCTCATGCTCTCTTAGAGACTCAAAACGTCTGTATCCAGAATCACTGATTGTTTTAATGGAAATGAAGCTATCATGATCACAAATAAAATAAACGAGGATTCTACGCAAGAGGGTGATTTGTGATTCAATTTACTGATATTCGTAAGGTGTATTCTATCCACTTCAAGCGTCTTCCTAATTTCTCCTTCAGTTTGGAAATGATTTGTACTCCCCTAAAACGGGTTTTTGATGAAGGTATTTAGACAACCGATGTGGAGTATATTGCGTAGACCACTGTTTTTTTCTTGATGATAGCTTTCGTAGTTCTCCAAGTCTCCGTTCCACGCAATAGAACTATCTTGACTTTTGCAGTGGAAATCCTCAATTTGGCGTTGTCAAAAAACAGTTTTTAGTTCAAGATATCATCAAACTGCCCTTAGTTCACCAACCAGTGTCTTCAAATCCGCATTAGATCTCTTTTGTTTATCACTGATACTGCCCAGGTATGTAAACGTTTCCACCTCTTCCAGAGCTTCTACATCATAAGTGACTCAGATGCTGCTAACTGATTAATTTTTACTTTATTTCCATATGTATGATTTCCCATAAATAATTAATTGACCCAAACGAAGTTTTTGCATCTCACGGAATCTTTTTCAAATCAACGTTTGTATACTTCAAAAGGCTCTGAAAACCGTTACTTCAATACATGTGTATAAAAATTCCATTCTTGAATAATTTGTTAAATTATAGAAACTTACTTATCTGATGTTTAACTGTTCGCACACGTCTCATACATTCATGACCACATCGATGTTGTTTCGTCGTGTAATATGTGATACTAACAATTAATAAACTATCATTTTCACATAAATAGGACAAGTGAGGTTTTGGACAACCTGTAGGATATTTGAAATAAATATAATTTAATATGTGAACAAATTCCGTAAGATTATAAAATAAGACTTTGTGTTTACAAAGCATTCCACAGTGCAGTTGTATCATTCATCACTATACATCCTACAGAAAAACTGTTTCATCTAAATAGTAAAGGAAATAAGATTAGAATTTAGTTTTTAACAATCGATTTCAAGCTTCTATCGTTAAGTTGTTTGACAAGAAATTCAATTCAGCGTCTTAATCATAAGATAAAATAATCTCGGACTAGCTAAACAGAGCTTCTACAAACTTAAACTAAATGCCAGGATTTATTTATTTTTGGCTGCATTAGAATGGAATAATCAGATGTGTATGTATCTGTTTGCACGGAAACTTCATGTTACCTTACGTTACAAGTAAACGGATTCCAGAAAACTTATTTAAGTCATTTTATGAATGAAATATTCCTACTTCGTAAAACCAATTCATATTATGCAGTTAAATAAAGTATGGACGAACTAGTCAGATTTGAGTTAACCATTCTTGGATTTTAGCGCGACATTCACACATGCATTCGACTAAACAGCGTTTAGGCATTAGAGCTGAAATAAGTCGGTGACGAAAGCCCTAACGTCTAACTCTAAATTCCAGTTCAATTATAATGCTCTTTAGACCCTAGAAAGTAGACAAATTTTATGAATGCCACTTTAGTATTGCTCAAAAGTCGACCATAAATTATAGTCCCATAGAATCCCATCAAGTTTACACCAAATATTTATCCAATCTCTCTCCCTAAATATATATATATGGTAATGTTTTTAATTGATATCGTGAACCGATTATTGTTAGACCACTTTTAGAAACCTGGGAGCACTTCTAGAATGAAACGGCCATCTAGTGCTTTCAGGTTTCTAATAGTGGTTCAACAATGACTGATTCATGATTTAAATGAAAAACAACAATCTCAATAACTCAATAGTGAATATCAAAATACTTTAATTCTTGATGATAAAACCTTGTGTTTTCACAGTGCCGGAACGCTTTTTATTTTAGACTGGGATTTCTTCATCCCAAAAATTTATGATCCATGATGTTTTGAAATTTATTTTGTATAACTTACCACAACATGTACACCTTTTCTTATTGACCAATTTCCAACCACATTTACAAGTGTTTGGATTATATTCATTGGCATAAGTTTCCAAACTTTTTGTACATGTGGAACGATCACATTTAGTTTGAAGATGTCTATAAAACAGCGCTTGATATTGTTTTGATTTGCTCAATCCATCAGTTTCTTTACACACAGGTTTATATCGAAACTGTCTGACAAACTGATGACAGACTGATGTCAATTTATTCAATTTAAAAGAAACTTCCTATAGAAAACATATTGTTTAAAATGTATTAGTAATAATGTAGCTAATTAGACATGACTTCTAAATATAGTCATACATTTAAGTAAATCTGGGGTTTCATGAGGGAGACAGACTTCACCTGTGTTACTTTATTATTTCACAATATGGATATTGACCAGTAAATTCAAATTCACTGTTAGATTTAGTTGTAATTGTTATACTACTCATGAGTAGTTGAGTGTTTACTATATAATTTGTAACTTGCAGTTTATTGGTCAGTATGATCGAACAATCTAGAAGTTGTTTTCTATTGGTCGAAACATTGACTGCTTGGTCAGCCATTTTGTTTGGCATTCTATTCGCTTTGTGTGTGAGACACGGATCGTTGTGATAATTTGTTGTTGTTGTTGCTTAATCACCTTGAATGTAAGTAACTAGTAAATTAATAATTGTTTGTTGCAGAACCACATACGATATTTATTTAACTGTTCCAAATAAATATTCCGAACACTCAAAAAGCTTTTAACTTTATCGACTTCGGGTGCGTTATTCCGGTGAATCTAACGTTATGCCACGAAAATCCTACAGTTATTCAAGCTTGTTGCGTCAACAACAACAACATCTAGAAGATAGTATGCCAGATTTATCTGTTCAGTTAGAAAAGCTTGAAAGTCCTGTCTTAAGCTGCCAAAAGAGCCTACATGAGAAGCAAATGGAAATAGAATTGGCAAAGCTAAGATTAAAAGAAGTGGAAAAAAGGATCTTGTTGGAAATGCTGTTACGAGAAGGATGTCCCCGAAATTCTAGCAAAAAAGGAGACATGAAACGCGACACCTGTCCTACAACGAATTATGTAGAAAGATACTTCGAACTGCCAAAGCCAGAAATAAGGAGATTTGATGGAAACCCAAAGGAATATTGGATATTCACGAAAGAGTTTCAGAAAGTTGTAGAACAAGCAACAACAACAAATTATCACAACGATCCGTGTCTCACACACAAAGCGAATAGAATGCCAAACAAAATGGCTGACCAAGCAGTCAATGTTTCGACCAATAGAAAACAACTTCTAGATTGTTCGATCATACTGACCAATAAACTGCAAGTTACAAATTATATAGTAAACACTCAACTACTCATGAGTAGTACAACAATTACAACTAAATCCAACACTGCCCCCTGATGTTGAAGAATCCCGGGATGTTTCTAATTGTTCAGGGTTCTGTGATTCTTCAACTTCACCTTCCAACTTGCATAACTGCCGTACATCTCTTCTCACTATCCCGTTAGCTGTTCTTAACGTCACCTTCCGAACTAAGCCGTCGGTACCCTCCTGTATATCTGTGACGACCGCCTTCGGCCATTGCCCTCTCGATCGTGCAGATTCTATCATCAATACTAAGTCCCCAACCTTCAAATTAGGCTTAGGATCGTGCCATCGTTGCGTTAACTGTAGCGTTGGGATATATAGCTTCAACCACCTTTTCCAAAAAAGATCAACCAAGTACAATGTTTGTCGCCATCTTCTATTGTACTTTGTTGTATAGTCCTTTTCATCGATGCTAGCTGGTTCGCTAGCTCTAGGCAATAGTAACATGCTAGGTGAAAGCGCTTGTATTCCATCGACATCTTCTATCATCCTCACTATAGGACGGACCGTGGAAAAGAGATACAGCTGCTTGTTCACTTGCTTCAGCTCAAGAGCGGTTCATCTAGACATATCTAATACCCTAGACACCGATTCTTTCCTATGTGTCTTTAGCCGATTTTCGGCACGTAGGGGCTACCCACAACACCTGTATAGTCACAACGGCAGCAACTTTAAAGGTGCAGAAAGTGCGATAAAGTGTTTAATGAGAGCTTGGAACCAAGAAAAAATATCGAAAAACCTTGCCGCTCACAATTGTGATTGGATATTTAACCCTCCAAAGGCTTATCATCGAAGAGGAATATGGGAGCGGATCATCAAAACTATTAAAAGAATATTAGTAGTTGTTCTCGACGAACAACCGATCACCGATGAGGTATTACATACGACTCTAGTGGAGATAGAGAGGATTTTAAACAACCGTCCTAAAGTGGGGATGTTAGAAGATGTCGATGGAATACAAGCGCTTTCACCTAGCATGTTACTATTGCCTAGAGCTAGCGAACCAGCTAGCATCGATGAAAAGGACTATACAACAAAGTACAATAGAAGATGGCGACAAACATTGCACTTGGTTGATCTTTTTTGGAAAAGGTGGTTGAAGCTATATATCCCAACGCTACAGTTAACGCAACGATGGCACGATCCTAAGCCTAATTTGAAGGTTGGGGACTTAGTATTGATGATAGAATCTGCACGATCGAGAGGGCAATGGCCGAAGGCGGTCGTCACAGATATACAGGAGGGTACCGACGGCTTAGTTCGGAAGGTGACGTTAAGAACAGCTAACGGGATAGTGAGAAGAGATGTACGGCAGTTATGCAAGTTGGAAGGTGAAGTTGAAGAATCACAGAACCCTGAACAATTAGAAACATCCCGGGATTCTTCAACCTCAGGGGGCAGTGTTGGATTTAGTTGTAATTGTTGTACTACTCATGAGTAGTTGAGTGTTTACTATATAATTTGTAACTTGCAGTTTATTGGTCAGTATGATCGAACAATCTAGAAGTTGTTTTCTATTGGTCGAAACATTGACTGCTTGGTCAGCCATTTTGTTTGGCATTCTATTCGCTTTGTGTGTGAGACACGGATCGTTGTGATAATTTGTTGTTGTTGTTGCTTAATCACCTTGAATGTAAGTAACTAGTAAATTAATAATTGTTTGTTGCAGAACCACATACGATATTTATTTAACTGTTCCAAATAAATATTCCGAACACTCAAAGAGCTTTTAACTTTATCGACTTCGGGTGCGTTATTCCGGTGAATCTAACGTTATGCCACGAAAATCCTACATTCACTTCTCTAAAATAATACACCCCTCTATAAGAAACAAGGATAATGTATTTTTCTGGTAAGGATATTTCAATGTACATTAATATGAGAGCAAAAAACAAAAATAAACCAGATCTACAATTTTGTTCGATTTAAAATGATTCGCTAGTTAATATCAACCAGTGACGAGTCAGATAACTTTATGAAAATATACAATGATGTTTATTTCAGTTTTAAAGTTCTCATATGCACGGAAGCGTACATCATCCCAGAATCGAAATAGGAACTATCAAGTTGCCTAATCAAGAAGCTGATGTTTAAAGGACCTTTTTACTGCGCTGGCTAATGCATTTAAATTTGTTTGAAAAACGTAACATCACACTTTCAGACAAAATTTACTATTCTTGTCCAGGTATTGAACGAAATAACCATTCAGTTAGAAATCATTAATGGAGTTCTCATTAGCATTTACTAAGATTGATCTCTGTGAAGGTAATAGACTAAAGTAAATTTTCTGATCAGCGAAATTAGACAGTAGAATGAAATCGTTGAATTATACTGCGATTTTTTTAGAGAAATAAAATAGCTTAAACTCACTGTTCGAATCACGACACCATTGTTACATTCTGTATTTACTTTTGTAGGCGGACAATGACAGAAGTATTTATTTTTCATAGTTTTTACGACGACACACTTCTGTTGATGATCATCCCAACGTCGTTCTAGTACTAATTCTTTCCAATAAGCATGAATCTCACTGCAGTTTCCAATACGAATATATTCTGTTGGACAACCTATAAATATTTTTTATAAATATCACACAGAAGCCGGTTATTTCCATAGAAATTTCTAAGATAATATACAGAAAGATAATGAAATTCGAGACAGTATATATTTCATATAAAAAGAAATCGCCTTTCATTTTAGGAAAAGAGACTTACGACAATCACGATTGTATGTTCTAGTCCGTTGAATGCAAGTACAGTTGTTTACATCGGGAATATTTTCAACGAAGGTTTCTACCAATTTTCCATCGGTACACTTTCCACGCACAATGCGTATTCGAGGTCGGCAAACTAGGGTTCGACAATGATAAAAAGTAAATTATATTCGACTGATGTAAATATCCATATATAATTTGTATAACGGGGAACCAGTACTACTGAAGCGAATAAGTTTACATCTTTCTACAGCATTTACTCATCGTACTGTCAGTTACTGAGAAACAATTTTTCAATAAAAGTTTGGTTATAATGCAGTACATTTTGAAAGTAAAATTAACTTCCTTCACTAAATACGGAGGGCAGTAACATTACGTTCAGCAATAAGACTGTAACCATATCATCGTTTTATTTTTCCCCATAGTTATTAGTAATAATACCGTCATAAATTTATAGAAATTTTGTGTGCCCTTCCTTAGCATATACAAGCGATGTTTCTGGAAGATGATATTGTTAGTACAACAGTAGACATTATGATTTATCTGGTCATGTTGGGAAAGGTTCTAATCATCTTAATTTTGAAGTATTTGATTAAAAGATGCCGGATAAAAAATCATCACTACATCATAAGTGAGTTACCCATAAACTAATTAGTTCACTTTCATCAGATGGTTTCCAACGTCTTAACCGATAATAAATTGCCATGGTATTCAAATAACCATGTTATAGATGTTTATTACATCTAACTTATTCACGAAGAGTCGGGATAGGCAAAATACATAGATATGGCAAAAGTGTCTACTGTAAAAGCAGAAATTGACCCTGTGAATTTTCAGTTTTATAGCAGTGATTTTATGAATTATTTATATATTTCAAGTTAATAAAAACTAACTATAAACTTGCGAAAATGAACTTAGACGAATAACTAACCCCTCATTAGGCTCCATAATATAAATCAGTTGAAGTCCTCTAAGATAATAACCCGAATTCGGTGTACAGTATGGTTATACCTACTGGTAAAATATGTAACGAGGTAATTCTATGCAAACTTTACTCTGCTTGAAAGTAGATTTCATTTTAATTTGACATCAGATAAGGACATCATATTTACTTTGAGATTTTAAGTTGATGAATTTAATCTTGTACAATCGTAAGTTTGCACTGTTAACTAGTTTACAATTAGGAAGAAAAGGCTACCCTATGCCTCTTGATGTTTCATGTTTCTTCATCAAAAACATATTCGCTTACACTGAAAAAAATAACTCGAACGAAAAATATACTGATAGATTTTTGAACTCACCAACTGGTACCGTTTTAACTTGATCAACTTTAACGCAATCATTTGATTTATCATTCCATTCATATTTATGGATTATTACCTGCAAAATTCCTTGAATAGGATCACATTTACGTCTTGTCTTTGATGGTTTTAATGCACATCCACATGGTTTAGCCAGTATTTGTCCTTGTTTTATACAATGACAATGACTTCGTTTATAGAAATTTAAAATTAACTGTCGTGTACCATGTTGCATATCACATGGCATCCACTTTACGGTAGGTGGGGGACAAACTGTTCAATGGAGATTTAAGTCAAAAAATGAAATGGTTAGAGTAATTAAATAAGAAGTGAAACATTTAAAGATTCACTTAAATCTAATTCACAAATAAATCTTTCCGAAATCAATATTACGCTGAAAAATGAATAGATACTATGCTTTCGTAATTAATAAGAACCCTAAATTGTCTAATAATTAATAAATCATAATAGATTTATGATGACTCAGAAAGTATGTATTTGGATTTCTGACATTTCGTAATATTGTATAAACCACTCCTTCAAACTCATCATCCTACACACAAAAATACACAGCAATGATTCACACAGAATCTCTTGAACCAATCTAATATGACAGTGATATAATCAGAACAATTTAGTTTTCAATTTTCATTAGACTAAATATTTTGCTTTATTCCATTATACTATAGAAATATGTTTTCAATAAATTGGATTATTTATTTACTCTGAAGAATTGACTTACGCTAAATGACGGAACTTTTGAAACCCAAATTTCTATTCATCGTGTTATCACAAATTTAAATCATTATTTTATTATTAACTTCTTATCCGTTGTTTTTCAATTAACATTGTCAAGGCAAACCTTGATAGCCATAAATTAATCAGTGGTATAATTTCAATCTATCTATAACACGCCAAAAAATGAGACATTTAGAAGATAGCTATACTCATTAATTTTCATTTTTCACTTTTTCTTATTCTACCCTCCTTAGCTGAATGAACTAAACGATTCTCTCGAATCTAGTGGACATCATGTCTTCATGAATATTCAAAAACAAAGAATATTCAAACAAACAGTTGCTTTCGATAACTTTTTTATGATTCCCTACAGCTGTCAATATATTTTGAAGAGGCCGAGGACGCTAGTCAATCAAATAATTTTGTATTGGAATCGGCAAACTTTTGTTTCCGTTACAGCACAAAACGTTGTTTACGGAAGGTCAAAATGATTCATTGTAAGGTGTCACGTAATAACCAATATGATAATAATGACAAAATAAATCGTGTTTATCGAATGCATAGCAATAGAAGTTTGTCTCGATAATGGAAATAATAATCATAACAATCTCCGTAACTCTATAATGAAAAAATAATGATAAAGTTGTGTGAATAAAATATATGATATGAAAATTATGGTCAAGGCAGTTATGTGAATTGAAAGGAATGGATATCTAGATTTGGGAAAGATATCAACACAAAAGGGAATGGGAAGGTAAATAAGTTTTTTAACACCCAGTTTAGGTTTATAGTGATCCTGTCGTTCACCAAAGTAAACGCAAAGTCTAAACATATCTGTTTCGGATATTTAAGGTAGATTTTCAGGAGCTGATCCATATGGTTTCAGTTTTGTACATGAACTGTTTCCTAGCTTCTGTAGGTAGATTGTTTGGAACTTGATACGAAAAAGAAAAAGACATAATTGGGTATGATGTTTACTACCTATCAGTTGATGTGGGATTACGCTGTCAATAGACTTCATGACCCCTTTTTTATGATTAACGTTCTCCCGCTTTTATGTCCGATTTATATTCTAATTATTTATTCTTGTTAACTAGATTACATAATATTTAAAAACAATATTTAAAATGAAATCACTTACACGTTGGTTCAGATCTATAAGTTACATGTCTCTGACATAAGAGATTCTCTTTATCTAATCTATAAGTAATAAATTTACGAACCCATGCATTCATTTTACTATCACAGTGCATTAAAGTGTATGATTTCGGGCAATCTAGAAAAGTATTTGAAAGGATAATAAAGGATAAAAAATATTATATTCAAATTTATTGATTTTGTTAGTGTTAAATAAGTGTCAGATGAACTTGAAAACAAAACTGAACTGTTTCAGATCCCTTAAAAATATCAGGTTTTCAGTCATCTATCAGCCAACTCTTTGCGTTACAAAACGAACCCTTTAGCTCGAAAAAATAACTGGCTGAGATTTCTATGATTATTGATAGACATGTCATATCCTATGAACTCCTGGCAAGTGTTATCAGGTACTAACCATCCGTTGCATTTACATTCGTCTCTGGCAATTCAAGACGCCAATACCTTAGAATCTGTTCACTCAAGCAAAAGTACAAAAGCTCTACAATACCGTATCTAGCCTTCACACTATGCAACGAACAGGTTGTAGAGGTTGACCTACTTAATAAATTGTACACATGAATATCTTGCTGACTAAAAATTGTATCAACCCTTATCTTCGTAATGGTACTTCATTTAATCCTAAATAATTTATTGACTTACTTCATCTAAATATGTATGCAGTTATGAATTGTTTTTTGAGAGAGAAACTTGTTGAGTTACTTTGTTTGAAGGACTTATATGACACGATAGTTCGATCAGAACAAGAAAGAGATAAATTTACCCACTGAGTTTAACCAAAATAAAATCAAATATAGACTTACTGCACAATCCTTCTCGAATAACTTGTTTCGCACGAACACATTTACAGTTCTTGGGTACCCATATATGAGTAACAATTTGTGCAAGTCCAGTAGGTCTATGACATAATAACTGTCGTGATTGTCTACCATTATTTCGTCTAATTTCCATTTTCATCTGTTCATCACAACTAACTGGTTCTTCAATGACATCTTTTTGAGGTAAACAGTTACCATCCAATAATTCGTAGTGTATTCTAATGGAAATTAATTTATTGTTCGATGCATCACATTGTTTCTCACTAATACGATCCTTTGGACAAGCTGATAATAAAAAATCCAGAAAAAGTACATTGCATATATATATATAGCACATTAGGCTGCTTTATTGCTTCATTTTCGTTTAATCCACTTACCCTTAGTCACTCCAATACATTGAAACACTATGCTAACGATTAAAGTTCATTATACAGTCTCTAATTCTGTCCAATTTTTTTTTAATGAAGACTACAGACATTTCTTCAGGTAAACAAACTATTTTGTTAATTGACTTTTACTGGATTGACAGTAACAAAAGGTTTATTCAGATCAAATATCTCTATGAATCAAAATATTTAGTAATAAGAATTCAATCTAATCAACCAAAGGTGCAAGATACTGAATTGTAACTTATCTGTTTCTTAAAACAGTTTAAAATTATTGCATTTGAAATACCATGCAATCTTCGTCGTTCAACTAAATAATTCACTTAGATGATTGACAATGATTCTCTGCAAATCAAATCATTGTAGGACTACAGTGTATGACAAATTAACTCACTAATCAAGAGCATAATTGTTGGGGATGCTAGATCCCCAGAACTCGCTTGATAAATATATTTTGGATTTATTTCATGGACCGATCAGTTGACCTTCAGATCACATTTCCCACCAGGAAAATCCTTGGCTGTGATTGGGTACTGTGTCATTTTAGTGTGGTATTTTTGTGACTCTCCCAATGCTGTCTCTATAGAGTATAAATAAACGCAATTTGAGTGCTTGGATTCATTGTGTGCTGGCTGGGTGTTTGTAGAATACAATTTCTACGCTATATCAAGACTTCTCGCTGATACAATTTGGTCAGGGGATCACAGTAGCCTGCCTGGACTCTGGTTCATTGTTTTGTTCTCGTTATTCAACTAAGGTGAACTCGTAATAGTTTAAGCAAACCTAGAGACGAGCGTAACAATAATGTATGAATGATTCAAGTTGTGTTCACCTCAAACCAGCCAGTGATTTATTCAAGCAGCCCAAAATGCTATTTAATCAAACAGTGACAATTAAGAATTAATTAGAAAAAATTACAAGCGCATTATCAAATAAAATGAACAGTTCAATATAAACAACGACAATTATACACACGCTTACCACAACGTCTTGTTTTAACTATAACACTCTCCTTACATTGACATCCGTCTTGAAAATGAGTTTTATAAGTGTTTGTCTCCATGCTTGTTATTGGCGAACAATAAGATGAAATCAAAGTGGTATACTGTGGGCAAACTTTTTGAAATAAGAAACAAATCAGAGATATATGAGAAAATTGTATCCTCACATGCATATAGTTTAACAAAAATGGTAGCTTTATATAAAGTACTGACTATATGACCAACCATTTGAAACCAGTATTCACTGGGATTCTGTAACTGTGAACAGCTGTGATTTAAGCATGATCTAAGCTTGGGACATTCACTATCAGGTATAAATATTTTACAACCAGATAAGTTAAGTTATATTCGGTGTTTTGCATTTATATTTTTACTTATTTCGTGACTATTAATATAAAACTAGCAAATTTCTTTCCAAATAACCTTCAGAAAAAGGTTATAGTGAAAAATACTATTTAATCGAAAATAAAAACGTAACAAGAAATACACATTCATGTCTCTATACGTTACAAATTAGACTAGTAGTTGCTGTAGAAATGAAAAGAAGTGCATGCACGAAGTGAAACCCAATAGAGGCAGTCTGGATAAAAAAAATTAACTTCAGGAGAGCTACTGTTGCACTCCGGTCATGAAGAAGAAAATGTCCCACATACAAAGAGTACATTGGTGCTGTCCAGAGAAACACAAAAAGCATCTATAAGAAGGGAATCTCATGGACTCATAGTCATCAAATTATTCTTCCAGGCAAAGAAAAGGGGTTATGATGAATGTCATTCAGTGCTATGTACTCATCAAAGATAACAATGAAGACGATAAGGATCAATTTTATGAGAAATTGCAGTCAACCAGAGAGAAGGACGATGGAGGACGTGAGAACCAAGAGAGGACCTGATATAGCCTCAAAACACTACTTGCTGGTATCCAAGATGAAACTGAAACTGAAGAAGCACTGGACAACGAGGCGGATAACACTACAAAAGTTTGACACGGCTTGTCATCGAGATACTGGCAAACTCAACGAATTCAAGATAGCCCTCAGCAATAGGTTCCAGGCCTTGCACGATCTACTCAATGTAGAGGAAACTAACATAGAGAACAACTGAAATGAAATCAAGGAGGCAGTCACTGAAATATGTCAGGGGGTTCTGGGTTAAAAAAGTACCATCACAAGGAATGGATCTCTGGTGGTACTCTGGATGAAACTCAAGAAAGGAGAAACATGAGGACCGCAGTCAGTATCAACCGAACAAGAGCAAAGAAAGAAAAGGCACAAGCTGAATACACAGAAGCAAACAGGCAAGTGAAGAGGAGCATCAGAGTGTTAGATCTATCAATGACGATGGAAAAGGCTGCAAGAGTAGGAAACATGATACAACAAAGAAGCTCACCAGGAATTATCGTACACCGAGCATCGAAGCAGCATCGACGGACCTCTCAATCAGTGTTGGCCCACCAACAACTGAAGAGATCATCATGGACATCAGACGAATCAAATGAGGCAAAGCAGTGGGACCAGACAACATTCCATCTGAGGCCCTGAAAGTAGACGTCGCAGTAACTACAACGATACTCCACATGCTCTTCAGCGAGATTTGGGATGAAGAACAATTACCGACGGACTGGAAATAAGGATACTTGATAAAAATACAAAACAAAGGCGATCTCAGAAACTGTAAGAAATACAGCGGCATCACTCTTCTCTCAATACAATATAAACTGAATGAAAAATTCAATGGACGATCAACTTCGAGATCACAAGTCTGGATTCCGTTAGGGTCGATCGTGTACTGACCAAATCGCCACATTACGGATCACTTTGGAACAATCAACTTCATTGATTACGAGAAAGCATTTGATATTGTTAACTTGACAACAATATTGAGGCTTCTTCGACACTATGGAATAACGGAGAAGATAGACAACATCATACGGAATTCTTATGATGGATTGAACTGCAAGGTCGTGCATGGATGACAGCTCACAGACCTGTCCCCTGTGTAGATCGATGTCAGGCAGGGTTGCTTACTCCCACCTTTTCTCTTTCTCCAGGTGATCGACTGGATTATGAAGATATCAAAATCTGGAGGGAAACACGGCATACAATGGACAGCCACGATGCAGCTGGACGATCCAGACTTCGCAGATTATCTGGCTCTTCTATCTAACACGCGACTACGAATGCAAGAGAACAGCAGCAGGTTCAGCATACACAGAGAGAAAAGCAAGATTCTCCGTTACAACACAACATGCGCCGACTAAATCAGACTTGATGAAGATGCTTTGGAGCACGTAAAAACATTTACATATCTTAACATATATACATATCATTGATGAGTAAGGTGGGTCTGATGCAGATGTGAAGGCTTGGATCGGGAAAACAAGGGTTGCACTTCTAAACTGAACAACATTTGGAACTCCAAACAACTATCAAACAACACTAAAGTCAGAATCTGCAATATGAATGTCAAGACAGTTCTACTGCATGTGGGAACTTGGAGAACCGCCAAAGCCATCGTCCACAAAATACAGGTGTTTGTTAACAGTTTTTTAACATTGAGTAAATCACCCAACTGCGTCACAATGCAAGCCCTAACTTAGAATCCTCAAGGCCAAATGAAAAGAGGAAAACCAAAAAACACATTACGCCGAGAAACGGGGACAGACAACAATTAGGTAGAACTGGAAAGGAAGGACGAGAACGTCATCTATTATCGTTCTTTGACGTTTTAACTATCGAAGAACTAGTTACATTCTTCTAACTATAGTAGATCAGTATATCAAAAATGCTTGACTTTCTATAGTTTGATTGTTTAAAACTGTGTTAAAGGCTTGAAATGGTCTAATATCCATTTGTTTTTACGCTGTAGATGAGTTATATTATTAAACTGTTAAAGTATCTTAAATCCATTTGAAATGAATTAACTGATATGTAACCAATGATACCTTTAAGAAAAAAAACAGGAATTGCTTCCACTTCCAAATGTTAACTTACAAACTTTAGTTCTTCGTTTATATATTCTTGCTCGACAACTGCATGCAATGTTAACATAATCTGTTTGCTTGTGCAATAGTTCGCGTGACGCTGAATCACATTCCACTTCGTAAACTGGTTTCGGACATGCTAATAATATAAGTAACAAAGTAATGAACATAAATTGAAATTAAAGTAATGATACAACGTAACAGTGGGTTGAAAATATTGTTATTGCTGAAAATAAAACTCTTCGGTATTGATCGACTAAACTGTTACAGGTTCAATCAATAGACGGAGAGTTCATCTGAGTTGTAAACTTACTTACTGAAAGCATCGTTGGATTTGAAATTCTCAAAAAATTGATCTAAGTTATCACTGATATCAACAACAGAGCAGAATATATTGAATCAACCAAATAAACTAAGAATGGTTTAGTTAAACCTCAAAAGCAATCTATTTAACACTGTATAACGAAAACATTAGATAACTTCATTCAGGGCTTAAATTTTGCACAACATTATTTGAGTAATAAAAATTTTGGTCCCAAGGTGAAGTAATCAGTTACACGTCTAGCTTAACGAAGATGGAGTGAGTGACGGATAATCTCGACTATGTCATATGTATATATACTGCAGTGTTTCTGGATTCATGTTGGCTGAGACATTATAGATGGTGAAAAATTTTCTCTGTTAACCAAAATATGAAGGAAGTCAATATGCAGGAATCTTTTCTATAATGAAATATCTATTAATATTCTGAATAATTTTTATAGTTTAAAGTTAATTTTCATGAAAAATTTACGTGAACAAAATGATCACCGTCAATCATATAGTTTATGAAACACACTTTTAGTGTTTCATAACTTTTCCGTTAATTTCAAAGCTTTTGATAAAAGTTATCTTCAAACCTTAAAAGTGTTTTTGTAGGTTCATCAAATTAAATTTATTATCTGATTATGATCAGTTTTATTTATTTCATCACCGTTGACCTACAACTGTTTCATATTAGTCCGAAAAATATGTCACTAACTGTGGCGGAGTTTGTCTGAGCTGGATGTTTTGGTTGTGCAGCTTTCATCGTTCTTCTGAAAAACATCATCAGCACCAACTTCAGATAGAAGTTAAGTATTCGAATTTCTCCATGTTTGACCCGTAGCTTGTTCTGTTAACCTCTGTCTTGATTGGTCGCTGTTGACATGTCGTTGTTTGATTGTATCCTTTTTTGATCTGTTTCTCGATCCTATGTCGCCTATGATTTTTCTGATTGGTTGATAAATTGGGTCAATCTCGATTTGTTTATTGATTGCTGATTGACCTGAGTGCCGAGCTTCGAAAAATTCTCTAGTGTTCTTTATGCCCCCCCCCCAATCCAGTCCTTCAACAGTGTTCCAATCGGACATACGTATTGTCATACCGTTCGACTGCTAACTGATTTTCAAGCAGACGAAGCTGAAGAGGACGTCCATTCTGTCTTATGTAGTGCTTTCTAAGGACTGAGCAGTTGATTTTGTAGATATATTTTTCTTTAAAATACATAGTTGTGATGCACTAAATATTCAAATTAATTAATTACCGTTCAATCAACGTTACATGTAAATTAAATAAGATGGATCGAGATGAGGTCCAGTTACCTGTAAATGGTCATTTGCTATGGAGCGACTAACTGATCTGATTAGCCCATGCATACATCGCTTCTGCTGTAAATATTTCCTTATGTGCTGCAAAGCCTTTCTCAAGTATTTTAGTCCCATCAAAGTTGATCTTGTCCTGTTTTTAACGTATGTAACGCTATTGACGACTTATTCCCCGATTTCTTCAGAACAACAGAAGTGTTGCGAACATGTTTCAAACACTATGTTCCCTCGATCTTACTTTCAACTGTTTGGATATTTTGCCGGCTTAGACTGAAGTGCACTCCTGACAATTGATTTCATAGACAACGTTCTCTTGTTTTACCTTCAGAAAAATATCTTTAACTTAGACTAACGCCGATCTTATGGTGTCAATGGTACGAAAATAAACTCTTATATTAGGTTTGCTTAGAATCCTCTTGATCTCTTCTGATGTTTGTTCACAGTATGGGAAAATACCAGTGTTCTTCCATTCTCTCTGCTTACTTACTTACTCACGCCTGTTACCCCCAATAGAGAATAGGACGCCCACCAGTTTTCTCCAACCAACTCTGTCCTGAGGTTCCCTCTCCAGTTCTGTCCAATGTCTGTTCATTCTTCTCATATCTTTCTCCATTTCTCGGCGTAATGTGTTCCTTGGCATTCCTCTTTTCCTTTTGCCTTGAGGGTTCCATGTGAGGGCTTGTCTCGTGACGCAGTTAGGTGCTTTCCGCAATGTGTGTCCTATCCACTTCCACCGCTTCTTCCTGATTTCCTCCTCCACTGGAATCTGGTTTGTTCTCTCCCACAGTTCGTTGTTGCTGATGGTGTCTGGCCAACGAATACGAAGTATTTTGCGTAGAGAACTGTTAATAAACACTTGTATCCTCTGGATGATGGCTTTGGTAGTTCTCCAAGTTTCCGCTCGATACAGTAAAACTGTCTTCACATTTGTATTGAAAATACTTATTTTGGTTTTGGTTGAAAGTTGTTTGGATTTCCAGATATTTTTCAACTGTAGAAATGCAGCCCTTGCTTTGCCAATCCGTGCCCTCACATCTGCATCGGATCCACCTTGGTTGTCGATGATGCTTCCAAGATATGTAAAGGTGTTAACTTCCTTCAAGGCATCTCCATCAAGAGTGATTTGGTTGGTGCATGTTGTGTTGGATCGGAGAATATAGCTTTTTTATTTATGTATGTTGAGACCTACTGCTGCAGAGGCTGCTGCTACACTGGTCGTCTTCTCTTGCATTTGTTGTTGAGTGTGCGATAGAAGAGCCAAGTCATCTGCGAAGTCCAGATCGTCCAGCTGCGTCCTAACTGTCCAGTTGATACCGTGCTTCCCTCCAGATGTTGACGTTTTCATAATCCAGTCGATCACCAGGAGAAAGAGAAAGGGTGAGAGTAAGCATCCTTGCCTGACACCGGTCTTCACCTCAAAAGAGTCGGTTAGCTGTCCTCCGTGCACATACTCTAATTTAGTTGTCTTTTCATTTTTGGAAATCTTTGAAATCTCTCTCTAATAATACAAATAAATTACACTCGAAATTATTAATTAACTAAATAATAGTATGGATTACTAATCTTCTCTAGGTTACTTTTTAAAATAAACTACCACATAAACAGTAACTTACATTGGTTACACAACTTCTCCTCGACACGTATTTTACATTGACATTGTTCTCGATATCCATATACTGATTGTATAAATCGGTTACCATGTTTTTGTGGATTAGTTAGCGTTTCTTTTAATAGTCCAATTTTACACTGAATAGGTTGATGGATTCGTTTAACTTTCTTAATACACTGGTCATCCTTCCATAATCTTTCTTCACTTTCAATTATCAACGTTTTCCCACCTTCACTGCATAACTGTCGGATTTGTTTTGAACGCTTACAACCTACAAAGGCAAACACATTTAAGTATTTAAATGGACTATTTATATCATTAATTAATTATTATGGTTTAATTGTTCTAGAGGTTATTACTACTATGTATTTGTGAACTTATTCATTTAGATTGTCTTACTTCATAGTATACCTGCTAATTTGTTACTGGCTATCATTATTAATGTTGTATTCTGGTGGCATTCTTTGATATTGAAACACCATACAATTTTAAGAGAACCTTTGGCAATCCACCTTAGTCTCCGATACTTCGAGTTTCAATGGGTTTTTTCCTCATGAATAATGCCTTTCTTTCAGGCACCTAGCCTCTTAGTATGTAAGTCGTATACTTAAATTAGCGGTTATCATATAGTTATTACGCTGGTAATAAATATATATAGCTTTAGTTAACTGAATATTATACCTTAAACACACCAAACAGTCGTATATCTTAACAGTTCCGTTGTTGCAATATGTTAAACCAACAATAAAATAGACTTACAGCATGGTTTGATAACCTTTTGCAATATTTCTGTTCTGCAACGTCCAGGATTTTCAGAATCGTAAACAAATTTTTGCCATATGAAAATATTTTGACATCTTTGGTCACAAGTTTCTGGTGTTGCATTAAAACACCAAGACGGACACTGTTTGATCTGTTTCACAACATTAGTCTGCGCTTCCGGACAAATACAAGCTTCCAAGTGAACTTTAGGCTTAACAGTTGTACATTCACATCGTTTTAATTTTGACCTCACCACTAACAATTGACGATACACTCTATTATCCTCTGTAATTCGGACGTTGCAGTCGGAAATTCTTCTGATATCTTCGTCGATACAGTCTAGAAAATAATAAAATGAAATATTATCAAAATACACAGGATGATTTGCGGTTAGATAAACTGTAGTTGAATTTTATTGAGTTGTAATTTTGTCTATGTAAGACTAAAGAAACTTGACTCTCTGAGTGATAGTTCATTCACTTCCAAATGAATTTAGGGTTTCCACCTGCATCTGTTTATTTGCTGAATAAGAGGTTACATATTTATACCGATTTGTATGATGGTTGAATAATCTGGCTGGTTGGTTAGTATAACAAACAGTAAGAAATCGCATATTTTTTATCCACCTGAAACCTAGAAAAATATTCGCTAAATACATTTGTACCGTAAATTCATTGATGGTTCCCCTAATAGGCATCTCAATGATCTGTTAATGCTTATGGTAAAGGAACTGAACTTCTGTTCTCAGAATCTTCTCTAGCGCCTGATATTGAATGTCTAAGTTAAGAAAAACATCCATGAAAGTGATAGCAAACTCAGACAATTCAAATTTACTACAAAACATTAAGTGATCCTCTAGATTCTAATGTAGACATTGAGGAAAATGAAAATGCTATAATGATCCCAAATTCTTTCAGGAGATTAAGGCTAATTTTCTTTTTAGGATCTTCTTCAATTATATCATTTAAACTAAACTGTTTTAAAAAATTTCTTGAAATGATTGTTCAAAAACATTTCCATTCTCTTTCTTATCAACCTATTATTAACATTTCATGATAAACAAGACTAACTGGAAACATTTTAGAACGCAAATGTTTTCCTAATTTTGCAACTCATGAGTTTCGTAGTTAATTCACTTTCTTTAGTATAAAAATAGCTATCCGCTACTATTTTGTTTCCAGTGCTTCCCTATGTGAATTTATTACATAATGAAAAATATCTTCACAAAAATCCTTCGATCTTGGTATTGGAGGATTCAGCCTGCTTTAGTTTTGGATACTGATATATTCTCCATTGTATAAAGAACTGAACGTTTACTTATTAGCCTTTGCTTATGGTCATTTTAATCGATGTTATTGTGAGTAAAAATACATTTTCATGTATACTTGCTTACTTATTTTACGCATCTCTATTAATTCCACTTTTCTACAAGTTCCATCCTTTTGTATTTCATACTTTATTGTCCCAAATAACTTTACTCCATTTTCTGAATCACATTTGACAAAATTTTCAGAATTTGGGCAATCTAAAAGAAAAATAAGAAATATAGGCAAATAGTAAAAACACTTACACTCCATTACAAATAACCGTAATTTGTTTTCTCGCATTTCAGATTCATTTACATATTTACACATCTGTTATCTTTACACAGCGAAATGCATCATACACACTATGATGATCATCACTTGCTACACCAGTTAACATGAGTTGATGATTTTTGTAGCTCGCAAATGATCAATGTACCTTATGCTTTTATTCGATAATTTTGATATTTGATTATATTTCCTTGAAATCGTTTGGACCAAATCGCCAAACGAAACATTGTATTTACTTGATGACTTACAAATACAATTTTCCTCTTCAGCCGTAAGTTGTTATAATTTTTGTACTATTATATATTTTTCAATCATAATTTGATAATATATGGGTGCAAACTAGAAGCATACAAAGTTGGTTATCTGTAATCGGAAATTCCTAACATTGCGAGAATGATTTTCAATCTCAAAAATTAAACAATAGCTTAAAGTGATAAATTGACCCTGTTCAGCAGTTCACCACCATTACTTTAAAAAAAGACCCAATTCATGGCCCAAACATCTCTCCAAGAGAGGCTCATTTGGTTAGGATTTACATTCCAGAAATAACACCAGTTATAAAGCAAAAATGCCGTTTAGACATATGCATAGATGGATTTAGAGCCAAAACCCAAGACCTGTTATCTTAAATCTGAATAGTTCGTCCATAATTATAGTCTCACTAAGTAATATATCTATCATTTATTCTAAGCCAAACAAACAAATGACTTGAACCTAACATCTTGATGAATTATCTAGACTACTTCTTATCATTAGCACCAATTACATGTAGGTGCCAAAGCACATACATTGGAAGAACAGAATGAAGAGTATAGATTCACATTTCCAATCACTTTCCCAAGAATTTGAGAATGAGAAGTACCAAGACTACAAACAGTACAGTAGCCCGTTATTCAATTGACACCGGATACACAGTAGACGTTTTCCAAAGCTTCAAAGTTATCAACATACAAGAAAACGCTGAAGCAGTAGTAATTAAAAAATTAAACTTGATTTTTGTATCCAAAAAGAAACAGTAATCAACTTATTGCTATCTTGATAATTTTCCTCCATTCTTATTATATATTATTGTCATTATTATTGTTATTTTAATTTGTGTTTATGAAAGTATCCGATCTCCGCTAAACTAATTCGTATTTTATCTATATCGAAGTCATCTTTCTATGCATTCGATTCTCGAAACTTATGTAAACTCCCCCCAAATCTTGCTTACTTATTACGTTACCATGACTTATTAAGTCCAGACAACTAACCTAAAAGTTGTGTACAATTTTCGCAATTTTTATCGTTATTACATGACACAAATGTGCAATCTCCGAACTCCATTTAATTACCCTCTTATACCTTCTGATGTATTTTAAATGACCTCGATCGTGCATATACATATATGCATATATATATATATATATATATATATATATATATATATATATATATATATATATATATATCGTTATTATCATAAATGTTTGCTAAGTTAATCCCTTCCCTTATCAGTGCCAATTACTTGGCATTACTTCATACGTGATTGTTACACTTTTTTACATATAAGGCTGCAAGCAACTGATGAGTAACTATTGGATTTGATAAATTCACATTATTCTGCCTTAACTATTGTTCTGGATTTATTTAAATGCAAAAACGGAACAAATTGCACCATTTATATATTCAGTCGATCATATACTTAAGAATCTGAATTGGTTGGAATAAATCTGAACGACTAACCACTTTGGAATGACATTTATTTTTAGCAGTGTAAAAGTACCTTCCATGCAAATTAATTAAAAAGGGACTTACAACATCGTACTACTGATCGAAAGACATGACGTTTACAATCACCATTCACAAGGCTGTAAGTAATATTCGTAACGTCAGATAATCCATTTTGGCAGTCAGATTGGCTACTTTCAGGTTTTGGACAACCTAAGCCACAAAAAAACAAATAAATCTGTTTGAATTTTGCTATAAGCTTATACTATGAACAAAATTAACCACTCACTAATGTTCAAAAACGTTTAGTGATAAAATGTTTTATGACAGTCAGTCATTCAGTACTTGATTATAATTAGAGGCATGATTTCAGTTTAATGCATGTAAGATTAAGTCATACGAGGTCTACCTAAATTAGAAATAACTAAACAAATCTTCCCCCTAAAATGATTATCTAGTTAACAATGGTGAAAATGAATTCGTTTCAATGTCCAAGTGAAATCGCATGAAGTATTTTTGTTAAAAATATCCTCGAGTATTCATTTCGACTGAAAAATACTAATGAATGACTAGGTTTTACAGATACCATTTAAAACTAGTGTAGCATATCTGAGGCAAGCTAGAAAGTGATGTTTTCAAAAATTTCAGTAGATCTGTAGTATATGCACTCAATATTTAATGATAAAGGCATATGTTTGAATCGCGTTTGATTTACAATAGATTGAAGGGACGTTTTGTTGGATCACACTTAACACTGAACGTGTGGATACAGACCTAACACAGAAGCATGTTACTAATTATTAGAGTGTATTATTAATAACACTCGTGAATTCGAGTAACTAGATCGATTATAATTATAATAGTTCATAAAAAATTATACCAAGAATTTGAAGATCTAATGAATCTTCTTGACTAAACATTGAATATAATGTAACTTGAAATGCTCACTACTATGTAACACTCAAATGTATGTCGAATATTTCTAGAGATTCTTGTATTCCGATCATATTTGTTTAACCAGGATAACTTTAACATGATTAACAAAAGATTCTAGTTTTGAAATCAGAATTAACAAATGTTATTCAAAACTACAGGTAGATTTTATGGATGTCATGTGTATTTCTTTGCGGTTTCCTGCAAATTTCCTACTCCAGTAGTATTTACTGCTTTTATACACAAAATTTCATTATGCATTAGTTGTAAGCTGTTTAAAATGATCTGTGAGGGGAATGGTTAGTTAATAGAAATAGGCGACCATCTCTGACTCGAACTACTTGTACTACAATTTATTATTATCGCCGTCAATAAATTTAACAACTAAAGTAATGTGAAATTTACAAAACATCCTTTGGAAAGTGGCTGTCATGCGAAAATAAAGAGATGGTTTAAACTTTTAATATATAAGCGGATAATAATTTTTCCAAAAATTTATTTAGTAAGCAATATTAAGCTAAAATACGTTTCTAGATCGTTTTATATGCATATATCAAACCTGTTTAACTAAATAAATATGCATAATCTCAATTCTCAATTCAAAAACATAAAAATTTCACTTAAAAGTTTCATTAAAAGGAAGCCAATTACATTACATTTCTATGAAACAAGCAATGCATCCTTTGAATTACCAGATACCTATTTGTCTAAAACTTTAGTGTATGTTTATATAAATATTTTTAAACTTACAGCATTTTCCTGCCGGATGATTTACATCAACTTGTCTACATTTACAATGCTCATGAATCCATGTTCTTCCAATCCATGTACGTTCACATGTCTCAGGATTACAATGAAATCGACCTAGATTTTTGGTTACTAAAGTTTGATCAGCTGGTGGACAAGGCAATTTCGGAATCCAACTGATATTCGTATATTCTAGACAATGAGTTCTATTCGGTTTATAATAAGTAATTTTTATGGCCAACTGATTTCGATCGGTCATACAGAAAGGATTAGAACGTTTAGTCCGGGGGCAACCTTTAGAAGTAAGGAAAATAAATTATACGATGGAATAATACATATCAAAAACGGTTGTTTAAAAGGTGTTGGATTACATTACAGTAGAATATAGTCACCCCAAAAAATACAGGCATGTAAATTTAATGAGACTACACAGATCAAACTGTAGAACTTCCAAAATGAAAATGAATGAAACACACACTGATATGAGCAGCTAGATAAAGTTGATACACGAAAGAACTCAATACTATCAAAACTATACAGTCATTTGACTCATTTTCGAGACTTTGTAATATGAAACTTAGTATTCAGCTATGAGCATCCTAAGTAATCTGAGTAATCTTTTACCTACATGCTCATATTAGTAAAGAGTAAAATAAGCCAAACACCTATTTAAACAATACATGAATATTAGTATATTAGATTTTCGGAGATTCTTTAGGTTTGGTGGTCTAAGACTATGACTCTCAGGCTTGAAGGGTGAGCTCAACTGAATCACATTTTATAAAATCTTGGATGTTCGTAAATGCTTGTTTTTCATCTATTCCGTAACTAAACTCAGTCCATGATATAAAATATGAAAGTCTGAATAGCTGAACACCTACAATTTATATGATGGATAACCAAAACTTTCAGTAATTGACAGAAAACTAAGACATAGCACATAGTGTACGCCTGTTACGATTTAGCCACTTAAGATCTTGACTGATAGTCTTGTATTAATAAGCGACTGTTTTTATCCTGACTTCACTAATACTTTCTATCAGTCTCACCCCTTACCCCAATTTACGAAATACTCTAATTTCGAGGGGTAACAGAAACTTTATAGATCAACATGAAATACGCATTTGAAAGTAAAGAATACTGTTGCTTCTGATATCGATCAGTGTAAGTTTTATCAAATTTAAAAGTAATTCCTATCTTATTTTAGACTGAAGCTGATGTAACCGAACTCAACGATTAAAAATGATGAAAAGTTAAATGGTTTTATGGATCTTTACTATATTTTAAACATTATTTTGGTTACAAAGTTACGCGAGTTAAAATAGAATGCAATGCAGTGTTACATCAAGCATTAGTTTCTCCTATTTTGATTATTTATATTTTCTTAAATACTTTGTTCCCGACCGAAGCTGCTACCTTGACGTGGTGGTCGGGCTTGTCTATCGTGATGACCCAACCGAGCTATACTGGCTGGAACATATGTTCCTGCAGGTCCTACCATGCCAGGCAGGTCGATTCCAGAACGATGAGACTAAAAGCAGCTACCCAAGGTCTGAGGGCGAAGTCGTACTGCTGACTGCAGAGGGGTGTGACAGCAGTAAGGTGTTTCACTCGGACAACCAGCATCTGCAGCGATGCTGCCTTCTCACAAGGAAGGAAGGGTTAGAAAAGGTCGACCCTAAAAATGTCACACCTCTCCTACCTCACGGATTTCCGTCTCCTTGGGTAAGGGTGCCCACTAAGGGCCTTTAAGAACGGAGCTAATCCTCAAACAACGTTTCATAAAAAGGCCGTGCGTGACCGGCCTCAAGCAGTTGTCCCTTGGACTGTGCGGTCACGCACCAACACTAATCCATCTTCCTTTTCAGGTTCGTCAAGAAACAACCTTCCACGGTGTGGGCAGCCGGGAAGTGACAACCGCCCTCATACCCGTAACAGCACACGAGACAAAATTGTTCAAAATCAAATCCTTCCTACATTCCCTAATACCTCTCTTATCTCCACAACTAACTCTTCTCACATTCATTTATTACAGTGCACAGCTAATGCAAACGATGCGAGTTTGCGAAAAGTCGTTCCTGGTCTCCTTAAACCCCGTTCCACACTACATGTTGGAGCATTCAATGTACGGACATTGTGTCAAATAGGGCAACAGGCATCATTAGCTAGGACTTTAGAATCTCGTTCCATCGATGTGTGCTGCGTCTCGGAAACGCGCATACAAGACCCGAGTAGCATCACTCATTTGACCTCACCATGTCAAGATAAAGAAGCAGCTCGATTTACCCTTCGTGTATCCGGTAGCCCTGATGCTGCTTCTAGGGGCCTCGCCGGTGTAGGTATAGCATTGAGTCGTAGGGCAGAACAATCTCTCCTTGACTGGATCCCTGTAGATAGTCGCTTGTGCGCCGTCCGACTGAACGGGACATTAAGGACTCGGAAAGATAGGGACACTCGTCGTTGCCTCTTCGTCATATCAGCCTACGCCCCCACTGACTGCAGCCCAGATGATGTAAAAGATGAGTTTTACAGAAAGCTTTCGGACCTCCTCCAAAACGTAAAGCGCTCTGATATAGTAATAATGGCTGGTGACTTCAATGCACAAGTAGGTAGAATAAGTGAAAATGAAAGACACCTAGGTGGATGTTACGGTCTCGCGGCTCAAAGAACAGACAATGACGACCGTCTGTTGCAACTGTGCTCAGATAACCAACTATTTCTAGCAAACACTAATTTTAAGCATAAAGAAAAACACCTTTTGACCTGGCGACCCCCGAAGTCGTCTCAACGTTGGAAGCAACTAGATCATATCGCCATCAGCCACCGATGGAGAGGTTCGATAGAAGACTGTCGCTCGTTCTGGGGCACATGTTTAGATTCAGATCATGCCCTAGTGCGAGCACGTATTTGTTTGAGGCTTGCTGGACGTAGGAAAGACACCGTAAGGAAGCCTCTCAGGGTTTTACTTAATGATAATCAAGCTAAGAAAATATTTCAGGAGGAACTAGAAAAACAGTTAGGCGGCCATGAGAGTGATTCCCATTCTGAAGCAGGTTGGAATCATATCAAGAAGGCTGTAGAAACAGCAATGGTATCTGCTAGCAAGGTAAACCACAAGGCTAGGATGAAGCAGTGGATTTCAGTCGCATCCACCGAACTGATGGATGCTCGAAAACGCATCCCACCTGACTCTGAACATAGTGAAGAGCGTAGTCAGCTTAGGCGCAGACTTATAAAAAGTCTGCGTAACGACCGTGAACAGTGGTGGGTAGCGAAAGCAAAAGCGATGGAAAAGGCAGCGGCGATAGGCAACAGTAGACAACTTTTCCGCCTTATTAAAGAAACCGGTATTAGGAACCCGAATGTGAGTGAGACTATCTCGGAAAAGGATGGTCTTATTATCCATTCTCAATCTAGGAGGCTGGACCGATGGGCAGAACACTTTAGGGATCAGTTCAACTGGCCTTCAGCCACACTTCGGTTGCCCACGATCACCAGTCATCCTGAATGGCAAATCGATTTAAGTCCTCCCAGTTTACATGAAGTTGAGAAAGCTATAGGAAATCTAAAGCGAGGTAGAGCGGCAGGTCCCGATAGGCTTACCCCTGAGATGTTTAAGGATGGTGGTCCAGTTTTAACGGTTAGACTGACCGAGATCCTAGGTAGAATCTGGGAAATGGACGTAATCCCATCTGACTGGTCTCAGTCGCTAATTGTCCCAATCTACAAGAAAGGACAGAAGTCCTCTTGTGACAATCACAGGGGAATATATTTAACTAATATAGTTTCTAAATTGTTAGCCTCGATTATACTTAGACGTCTAACTAGAGCTCATGTAGAGCAGACTCGAGAAAACCAGGCTGGTTTTCGACCTGGACGTGGTTGTATAGACCACATTTTCACATTACGACAGGTCCTGGAACACAGACACACATTTAGACGTCCGACAATAGTCGTGTTCCTGGACCTTAAGCCGGCATTCGACTCAGTGCATCGTGAGGTTCTGTGGCAGTGTCTGTCATTGAAAGGTGTACCAAAGAAGTACATTAACCTTAAACAAGCACTCTACTCGAACACCACTGGTCGGGTGAGAGCTTATGGCGAACTGTCATCTGAATTCTCTACATCAAGTGGTGTCCGTCAGGGCTGTCCACTCTCTCCATTCTTGTTTAACTTTGTCGTAGACATCCTCTTAGAGTTAACATTAAGCTCATCAGATTTTTCAGGGGTTGACCTTCTACCAGGAAAGTCGCTTACTGATCTAGAATATGCCGATGACATAGTTCTATTCGGTGAAGACGCTGACAAAATGCAGAGTCTTCTGACTACCATAAGCAACAATGCGAGCATGTTCGGGATGCGGTTTTCCCCCTCGAAATGCAAAATGTTGCTTCAAGACTGGGTTGCTTCGGCACCTGAACTAGTGATAGGGAGTGAAGTAGTCGAGCGTGTAGATCACTTCACTTATCTGGGGAGTCTCATCAGTGCTGACGGTCTGGTGACTGACGAAATCTCAGCTCGGATACAGAAAGCTCGATTGGCTTTTGCCAACCTGCGTCACTTATGGCGTAGGCGTGATATCCGTTCACTAACCAAAGGACGGGTGTACTGCGCAGCAGTTCGTTCCGTTCTCTTATATGGCTGTGAAACATGGCCGTTAAGAGTAGATGTTCGTAGGTTACTAGTATTCGATCATAGATGTTTAAGAAGCATTGCTCGTATATCGTGGGACAGCGGAGTAAGGAATGCTGTCGTTAGGAAACGAGTACTAGGTAAGGATGGCAGATTAATAGATGAAGTAATGAAACTTCATCAGTTGAGGTGGTTGGGACATGTGTTACGTATGCCTAACCACCGACTGCCTCGACGAGCTATGTTTTGTGGTGTAGGAGTAGGTTGGAAGAAAGTTAGGGGCGGCCAGACCAAAACATGGCACAAATCCATGAAGTCTCTGACAAGTGGACTGAGTCATGTTGGTAGATGTAGACTACCTGGTTGGGGTCCGCGAGACGAAAGTCATCAATGGTTAGAGACCTTGAACGACATGGCTCAAAATCGTTTGCAATGGCGCAGGTGCATCCACTCTTTGAGCTCTCTCAAATCCTAATCTTCTGGATTCGTCAGCACCTCTACCTTTGTCTTCCTAACATTATCTCACTGAATTATATTTTTTGAATAATATCTTCGAACCCTAGTCTTCTTTATTAACATTAATACCTCTACTATCTTTATCACTATGGGATTTGATTTGACATTTGCATCTCTGTATGTTAATGTGTGGTATGGCAACATGAACTTATGTACATACGTACGAAGTTCTACGTTGCAACTGACTGACTGACTAAATACTTTGTTAGATTTTCGATTATTTAATAATGAACAAGTCGATCGGCATCAAGCCAAAAACGATTATTTACAAATGACTTACCACATATCTCTGTCTCTTCATGAGATATTAACTGACATTTACAATTTTTGGCAACTTCCTTGGAATAAATCACTTTTCTAGTAAGACCAATTTGTCCTGGATGTGTCTGTTCACATTTACCCCGTTTTATCCATGTTTTTTTGCATTCTTATTTATTGAAATTAAAAAAAATTAAATTCAATAGAATATTTATATCATAACTATGAAATATCATTCATCGTGTTATTGGCTTTAAAATAAAAGGTAATATCATTGCAAACTTGTTTATACAATCACTGTAGCATGGGTTTGATTCTTGATTGCCGATTCACGTTTACTGGTGTTATGTTTAGTAAGTAAACTTGATAATCATGTGTTAGTATCATAAGTTAGTAAATAATCTACAATATTCGTATCTTCATATCCTTCATGTTTATAATGACATCTTATAATGCGTATTTTCAAATCACATACTTCATGTGTGTCGTTTTGCTATGTTAAACCACACTTGCCTGACCAGTTGTTCCATTTCTAGATATTCTTTCATCATGACTATGATACTAGTCATTTGCTAGTCTAATTAGTGGTTGCTCGGCCGTATCACTAATATGATTTTAACCATACAATCATATTAAATTTTTACGCTATCGAAACGATCACTGATGTATATGGGTGTTGGAGTATTGCAGTTCTATTATCAACCATAGGTAAATGAACAGGTGAACTTTTTCAGAAAACCATAATGATCACAATCATATAAAATAATACAATAATGAAATTTAATGAAATCTCAACGTACTAAACCGACTATATAAATGAATATGGTGTTAATAAGCTTCTAAACAGATTATCAGTTGGATTAATATATCTGTCAATATTAAGCTGTGAATGATACTAGGATGTGTTTAGAAGTTAACAGTCAGCTGAGAACAAGATATTATCATAGAATGATATTCAATTTGCGCTATTGTGTAAAGTGTCCACTTTTCTCATTGAGTTTTCTAAATTTTCAAATAAAAACTGGTTAGAAACTATGATGGATTGACAGTTACTTAAGTTTTTTATATACAGCAACTCTATTCCATATAATTGTGAGTATTTCATCAAAAACGCAGGTGAATTTATGATAATTACCTTAAATTTTATGAGTCACAAGATTCAGTGATAGACGAACAAGTTAACATCTGTTGGTAATAACTATGATTTTTATTCACGTCTTAATTATCTGAATTGTAATCAGTAACGATTGTGAATTAGCATCAATAGTTTGACTGTCCTACTTATAAGCTTATCAGTCACAAAGACTGTGTAGCTTAGTATCTCAACAGATGTGTTTCTGAATATGACACAGTGATATAGTTATCGGTACATAATATTCAAATATTCGGTATTTTCTGCTAAATAAAATACAACCATAAAGTACTTTAATTCAATCTGTCAAAGTGAGTAGACAGTCAATAACGAACACAGACTGACTGATGACACAAAAAAAAGGTATTATAAAGTACAAAATAACAGTTTTCTTTACATTAATTATAGTCCTTAAATTTTCGTACACTATTCAATCATCAGTGATAAGTGTGAGTTCCTGCATAATTGAAAATAACTGACAGAAATTCTTTTACCAAGAACTTGATATAAAACAAGTGAAATACATATCTATGATGTAACATCTTTTGTTTCGACAATAAATACTAAAATATTTTAACAGATAATAATATACTTCATTGAATCTAAATAATTTCATCAATAGTCTGTGAGTTCCATTAATTTTATAGATGTTCACTATTGTAAATAAATCATGAATACTTTACTTTTAAAAGTTTAGTTGAGATTATACTAGTGGTGTAATGAAAAGCAAAATACAAATCTTCACTAGTTGTTACTATCACAAATTATTTCACATGCTATTAGTTTAAAATTTTGAATTATCTCAGGTAACTAAAAGATTTGCAGTTGAAAATTTACATCATTTCTTGTCTCATTCAAACTAGTCTGTATTTTTCAGTAATAACTGTTGATAACTTTTCAATCTTAATGTTGAACGAAAATAATAATAGTTCAAATGTTAACTTATTCAGTTAAGCATAGAAATCACTGAAAAGACCATCATTAAAAACCGTTTTCCATTTGGATTTCGTAGCAATAACATAATTAATTCACTTTCGTATTAAAATATATAGAAACAATGTTTTATTTTGCACATAACACTCACCAATAGGTTTGCCAAGAACATTAATTTTTCTGTGGACACATTTATCACATGATGTTTGTACTCGAACCATGGTTTTAATTACTGGAATTTTATTAGCTTGACACGTTTTAAGCATTAAATTTATCTGCTCACAAGCTGTAAATCATTTATTAAAAAATATACATTTTTTCATTTAATTGATTGTTTTCTGAACGATTCAGTGTGCATCTTTAAATAGTTACAGTTATATTTGTATGAATACAATTAGTTTTGTACTTGTAAATGATGGTGACAGTTCTTAACAAGGTTATTACTTAACAAGTTGTATAACAGTCAAAATATGCATCCAAACTTAAACAAACGTGTAAATGGTTATTTACGAATGGGTTGTCTTAGTATAATTCTACAGAATATGAATATTAACTGTAAATCTAATCAAAAAAGAGCAAGGCAAAACAGGGTTTTGTGTATTTGTAAAATTACAACAAAATTGAATATTACAAGAACTATTTAGTATACATGCTAGAATATTCGAATTCCATGCATATTTAGTATCTGAAGGATCTCTTAATTTATTAACGCCGGAAAACAAACCATTCCAAACAAATATTTTAGGTAGTTTAAGGCTTCTGAGCTATTTGAATTCTCAATGCTATCCCTATCATTTCTAAAATAACAACAGTTATTACTTCTACGACTACTGCTACACAGTGCGTTGGTCATAATTTCCAAATCTTTTGATAAGCACTGAACTAAAAACCTAAATGGTGGTAGGTGTATAACATTTTGGGTAATTTTGAAGTTAATATCATCTATGCACATTCATCTTTACTCTTCATTTATACAATATCATGGATCTTTTAAGCTGCATATAAACACAACCATCTATGCATAGAAAAAATCCTAGTGGATCCATATAGTGAAGCTCATATTTATTAGGAATATTGTTCTGCAAACTTAAAAAACATCTTACAGTTAAACACTTAATATTTATTTCTAGTTGAAAATCCTCAGTCAAATAAAACATAATTGTTAAAATTTTATATTTATTTAAAAGAATTACATTCCTTGTCTTAGGATGTTGACCGTGGTAAATATCACTCTGTTTTTAATTATTTAAAGTGCAACCCTGTATATACTATTTTAAACATAAAAAAATACAGAACACTCGAACGATTTTACTACAAAAAAATAATTTATGTACTTACCGCATTTTTCTTCATGTGAACGTTCAATCATTAGACATCGTTTCAAACCAATTTCCTCACGAAAATATGTACGTATAACAACATCACGAGATCCTTTGCAATAGTTACATTTCCCTGGAATTCTCAAAATTCTTGCGGGACAGTCTTATAAACAGAAAAGCAGTAAATGAACTTAATATAGTATCAATACATGTTAGTGTGAACTATGAACCTTTTTTACGAATAAATTGAATAGGTTTAATCTATATTGACTAAATAGCATTAAAGAAAATAATAATTTTTGTCCGATATTATATAATCCGTTATTCAAAGCTCTTTTCTCAGATTCAACTCAAGAGGCTGCTATGTACTTCCGATGAATGCACAATCTGTTCTCTATATCGTTACATGAAATAAAACTAATTTTACTAAGAGTACTTAACTGAAGATTTTTAGAATCTGAATAGGAGTTTCGATTAAAATGTGAATAATATTAATGGGAAATACTTTTTAATAACACTAAATATTCAGAATGTAAATTGAGTATAATATTTCTCTGTTTTCGAATAAAGATCTCTCACTTAAAATGTTAAAGTATTCGAAATTATCAGTCAACAGTGTTCATCGCTACTGAGAAGGAACAATGATAAAAAATATTGCTCTTTAATTTTTTTAGTTGATATCCTGTTTTCCGAAATAATCATTCTGGTTGTATTGCAGTAACTTACTAATATTTATTTTGATAATTTATGGGACTTCTGTGTAATTTGGCAATGATCTCTATCCCTACAAAAATTCTGTTAAGATAAAGAAACCATCGAAATCGCAAAGAATAGTAGATAGCTATTTTGCCATATACTGATGCACTCAAGCACTACATCGGTTTGAATTTTATCATAAGCAGTGTAATGTGTAGACCTCATATGCACCACAAGTACTTACATATGACCTCTGTAATGGTTTTCATTTTTAAATCATTCTCATTGTTTGAGTGTTTTTAGTCAATTAATTATAACATTTTACAAACGTTTTAAGGTTTGTGATGCATGACGCTAAGTATAAACATCTATTTATAAGTCATTATTCGGTATTCTTAAGCACTCTCTTTTGAACAAATTATTTTCTCAGTGTTACTGACTTTTTTCACTATGAAGAAAACTTACCTCCACATGGTCGATATTTTCTTGTGATTAGTGCTTTACAACTACCGTTGCTTTGAAGTTGATAGCATATGTGTCGTAATTCAATATTTTTCGTAATTGGGTGACAAGGTCCACTTTCTATATGACATTTAGGACATCCTATAAAGTAAACATGAAAAATACTATTTAAGGGTGACATGACAAACAGATTATCCAATAGAAAATGTACATATAAGTGGGCAATTATCGGAATTGTTATCGTTTATAACGTTTACATTTGTAGGGAGATTTTCCTGTAATAGAAGAAATCAGAGAAAGTATTAAAACTTGAAAACAACACTTGTGGTGACTATTTTCAACATGTTCTTAAGCTTCGTAATTCGTTCGTCTAGCCAATCGTCACCAAATAGCGCCTGACGGTTATAAATCAAAAGGCAAATACGAAGTGTTGAATTCGTTTATTTTTAGCACACCACAAAATGGGATAGCGAACCACAAGCAGACAAGACAGCCACACTATCGACCGAATTGGTGATTTTGAGTGTGCGAATGAATTAATAGGATTACAGTTCATACATACATAAGGAAATGTCTGAGTCATCGAGATATTTAAGATTTATATTAAAGCGAAAAGGATGAGTAAGCACGTGGGCGTAAGCAATGCACAGCCGTACAAAAAAACCAATGGTACATATAAGTTTTTGCTATACAAATAGCTTGCCTAAATAAGTTAATCAAAAAGGCTTAATCAAATAAAATATGAGCGAACTCAAATTTATGTGGAGGCATTACACACTATTGAATAACACTTGTAATAGTAAATTATTAACTGGTAACGAATGTCAGGTTGCCTGACTTTTCCTATAAAACAAATCCTGTTGATTAAATTACAAGCTGGTTGTCGGTCTGATCGATCTGAAAACATTCTACAGTTTGTTTAATATTTCATAAATTTCATCAATAGCAATAATATGATAATATTTTAAACTTTGAAGACATCAGCTAGACTAGAACATCAGTACTGCTTGTAATCATCATAGACTAGCATAAATCTATTGCCATATCACTGCCTCAATATAAACGAAATTCTATCCGGTAAAACCAGACTTTTACAGGGCAGAATTGAATAAAATTACTTACTACAGTTTTGTTGCGAACAAGTGAGCATACACATCGCTTTGTAAAAACCTATACTGCATTCGCCGCGTCTCTTGATCAGTTCACATTGTGATGTCGCTATTTGATCTTCACACGGTCGTTCACAACGCTGACATGTTGCCCTACAAAATCGTTGCATAATCGCTTTGTCTTTGTAACATCGACCTTCAGCTCTCCAGAGTTTACATTTTTCAGTAGGTGCGCGATCAATACAAACTGGAAAGACAATAAGATTTCGCAGTAGAAATAAACACATTACAAATTCAATATACGTCTTTTGAACACAACGATAAATAGCTATGAATTATGACTTTGAACAAGAGACCAAAATGCCAAGTTTAAGAAGTGCTTTATACAGTTAATCTAAACCTAAACTATCAGAATACATTCTACGCTTACACTTAATTTATTTAATCTCATCTTTGTTCATTTGAGTATTCTTATGCGCATGTGCGTGAACGTAATGATTTTTATTATACTTCGGAGTTTACAGTAGGTTCGTAAAAACTGCTCCAAACTCATTAAAGATCTATGGCAGATTCTGTGATTATTGATAGTGTTTAAAATCAAGTATTATGTTATAAACACACTAAATAAATTTTCAGAATGCTGGCATTGCTTCAAAAGACAAATTATTATCCTTACTATACTAACTAGGCTATGAGAATGGAACGCAAACGAATTATTAATTTTGCGACAACACAAAACTATCCCACGTACTCATTGTGTTACTGATCTAAACCTATGTGTTCGAAATTCATAATACTAGCTGTTCGAAGGAGTTAGAATAGAGGGGAAACTGGTTGATATTTAGGTATTCTGTTTCCAGTAATCTGAAGTAACGGGGGAGATAAATCACTAAACAAATATCACTAAATAGTTTCTTCTAACTCCACACAGGGGAATAATTCAACTCTTTCTAATTCAAATAAATTCAAATAAAATTTGCACATGATTTATAAAATGACATATTAATTGCATATTTCATATGGATATTCACCAAAAATATAGTTTAAACGTCATAGACTCTATAAAACTGATAATACTTCTGTTTAAAATTACAGTGTATTTTTATTTTTTCTGCGCAAAAACTGGTTCAGCATACAGTATATCAGTTTAGAAGTTTCACAGTAGTCAATTTTTGTATCAAACTCACTCGGAAAACAAAGTATTCTATTAAATATTTAGCGAAATTCCGAAAATTTAAACATCTATGCTTCTTGACAAACGGAATCGTTTTAATAGATTAGTTTTAAATCGTATGATCAAGAAGCGATTATTGGTATTCGAAGTCGTACTGATTTTTCACGAAATAGTGTCAGTAAAATCTTACCGGACTCTAAACAGCCACATTGACTTGGAGGCACACATAAAATACCATCCCTCATATAACCGGGAAGGCATTCACACCCAGGACCCGAAATGAGATGGTTACATCTTGATTCTACTCCGAAAAATTTTCCTTCGCATGTTTCTGGACATGGATTGCGCTCTGGTACGTAATGCTGATTAAGACCACATTTGGAACCACCTTTATGTAAAGAAATGAAGGCAATAGATTGCATGAAGTGTGATGTAAACGCGCGTAATATAAAATATTTCTAAGTAAACAAATAATACATATTTGTTATTGTTGTATCCAATAAAAAGCTCATGGTTCATTGGAGATAGTAATACATTTTACTAATGTTGAGCTTATTTGATAATTTTATACAACACTATCAACAACAGAATAACTTCTATACTTCAGACCTTGGATCTGAGAGTTAGGGTTGATCGTAAAGTTGGCAATATTTGTATAAATTTCAGAAATCTGAAAGGTACTTCCATTATTAGAATAATAGTTTCGTGTCGCTAAGGTCAGAAAATTTGATTCATTGGATTCCAAGACACTCTATGGATGAAGCTGTACTCAACTTACGACTTTATTTCATTTTGTGAGTCATGAAGATGACCTTCAAATAACATTAAAACAAACATACAATGCTTTTTAACTTCAATAACTATCTAAAAATTCATCGTTTCTCCACAAATTATGTTACTGTATTTTAAAAATTCATATTAACAATTTGGAAAAACGTGGACGTAATTGTAATGAAATTAATTTGGCCATGATTACTACTGATTCCCATTCTTTGATGTGATTCCATGTAGTACTTTGATTATTCTGTTTAGGACCGAGTTATGGGTACTGTTTTGATTATTTCCACTGTGGCAACTTAATTATTTGCGTGTTTACTTTTTTACATTAAAGTTTATAGGTGAATTAAGGATAGCTATTCAGTAAGCTATACACCTGAATTCGATCACAGGAGCACTAATGAATTCGATTCAAAATGAAATTGTTTGAAAAATCCAGTTGTTGATATTTTTGACTGAAATATGATTAGTCCTGTTTAGGATATACATTCTGTGAGGATTGTCCCAATATAAAAATTATGCTACAAGTTGACACAGAATGAATTCATTCCTTATCAGTTAAAAGTACAATTCCTCATTTTTACGTTTCTCTCTGTTAATATATACTTATTTTGCTAGTTAATTATGACAGATTGATGACGAAGTGCTTTGGTCGGAAATGTTGAGTTATTTTATTGATTAAAATAAAATAAAATCTCAATAAATTTACGTAATTGACAATTATTAACTTCTTACTTGAAGTATGTAATTGAGCAGATCGTTTCTTTCGATTGATTTTTGATTCAGTCTTTTTCCATATATAACGTATGGTACAGTTTTTAACATGCCTCCTTTTCAATGGAAACTTTTTACATCTACCATTAACTCGTTTCTGATAAACATAACTTTTTACTATTCTTTTATTGGGACATGCGTAAATTATTTTTGCAGGTGAACCACATGCTAAAAAAATAATTATTGATAAAATTACACGCAATAATTTACACAGCTTATATCATATTCTCATAATCTGAAATTTAATATTTAGAACGAGTATTTTTCCTACTACATTAACACGTTAACGTTTAAATATCACATTGAACATTTACGCCATGATTAAATTTATCGACAGATGAAATAGTCAGTAGCTTAGAATTCATAATTAAACATATACATAATGTTTCTTACAGATTAGTTTTCAGGTGAGGCGGATATCATATAGGCTTTTGTGTTATATGAACAGAACAATTGAATTTTGAAGGGCAAGTTCACATGCACCACGAATTCTGATGAGTCAGTACAATAAAAATATATCATTTGAAATCATCAATCAATCATTGTTAGACCACCATTAGAAACCTGGAAGCACTGGACGGCAATGATTGATTGATGACTTCAAATGTGTCAAAACACAAACCTCCAAAACTCTGCCCCGAAAAATATATCAGCTGAAAAAGTTTTTTATTCGATAGTTTATCGACGATTCATTAAGGACCATTTACTACTCATTATTTTGGAAAAAATGAATTAAATTGAAAAAGTAAGATTGTAGTGCCTCCACAAATATTTGAATTTGCTTACCTTTAGTTTGGTCAAGCCTGTCGATGAATTTATTTTGCAAAGCCATTTGTATAACAGTAACTTATATGTACCATTGGCTTTTATTATTGTCTGGTTTGTATGAGCTGGTATGACTGAACATTTTTTTAAACCTTGGTACATATTCATCCTATTCGCTTTAATATTAATCTCTTAAATATCACGATGACTCATACATCTTCCTTTGTATATATAAGAACATTTTAATCTTATTGATTCATTCGCCCATTCACTCGCTAGTGTGCCTGCCCGGTCTGTTTGTGGTCTGCTACTCCATTTTGCGGTATACCAAAAATAAACTTATTCAACACTTCGAGTTCATCTTCTGATTTATAAACCGTCAGACGCTATTTAGGGACGATTGTCTAGACGAGCTAATTACGAAGATTAAGAACACGTCGAAATCGGCCACCACAAGATTTATATTGCTCTATACATTTTAAAATTTTATTCATTGATAATTTATAAATTTGAGAATTTGTTACGCAACATGCTGTGTTTATATCAATGGAAATACTGAATTTTCGATCAAATTTGATAATAATTCATTTGAACATTATAAAGAACTGCGAATTCTCGACAAAAGATTTTGTTATTTGTTTTCTCACTGGGGCATACATACAATGTTTTACGTAAACTTTAATTAAAGACACTTAATGATTACATAATAAACGTAAGCATGTTCGGCCATCACAGAAAAAAGGCAGTTACCCAACTTAAGATTTAAAAATTTAGGAAATTTCTATGGACTCCGAAATCAAATTATGTTTCACCAATGTCGATATTGCCATTACGGCTAGTGAAAAAGGCCTCTAAAAAAGACATTTAGTGATTTTTATAGAAATATATTGTTTATTAAGTTAAAGGTGTTGTCCAGTTACTTCAGTCTATAGATAATTCTATCTGTTGAATTGATACAACAAAACAGAATTTAAAACAAGAGATTTTCCAAGAAATAAATACTGGATGAAAGTACCTAGGATCGATAGTTTTCATATCATGATCACTAGTCATTTGGTCAATGAATTAAGTGTTAATTTTAATCTAAATTACTCCTCAATACTTTAGAGCTTAAAATGAAGAGGTGCTAAACCCTCTACAGATGAAGCCACATAAATATGATTGATAGCCGTATAGTATAGTGGTACACAAGTGTGTTTTGATGGTAATCAGAAAAGTATTTCATTCAGATTTTTAACAATCGTATACTACTAACACATTAATGATAATTAAATATACGATGACAAAATACTTTTTACTTACGACATTGCTTCATTAACTTATAGACAAATGGTACACAAACACAATCATGATTCCTTGTAAAAACGACGACTTTCTTTAGACTAACACCTCTGTAACACGGACCATATGTGTATATTGGCGGCAGACATTCTGTTATTTAAAATAAATAACAATAACGAAGTGTTTCTTCACAAATTGTATTTAACGAGCGATTCAGTCAAACAAACAACTCTGTAATTTCTTTATTAAAGAAACGAAATTCAAAGTTATTCGGGTTTAATAGTTAGGTAAAATAAATTTGAAGTATTACCTAAAGGATTTTAGCATACAAACTCAAATGTTGACATAATTGTTTCAAAACACAAAACTCCTGTGTCTTATGGTCACAATCAACTATCACTAATCTTGTTAAATATAGCATTCTAGCTTAATATAATGTAATTTTCTATTTAATGAGTCTGAAGAGGATATTGTACATACGTAAAACTTAAACTCGACCGAATATTTCATATAAGCTGAAGCACTATTATTATGTCAGAAAATTCAATATACATTTTAAAAGTATAACTTATTTATCATGAACAGAATCGTGTAGTTGATTTTCAGTTATAAATTTGGTGAGGAAACTTTGGATACTACGAGGCTGCTTAAAATAAATTAGAATGATTTCGGATCTAACCAACTAGTTTGAAACAAAGCATTTGAACCAACAAGCTGACATTCTTAGAATTAGAGCAATAACATAAAATAGTTCATACAGTAAGCATATAACTCACACTGAATCTAGAATACAACAAAAATGTTAATTAGTTTCTTAGTGACATGGTTAATTTAATTAGTCAAGGGTTATGTGAATGCAACTAGAATATTTGACAGGAAAGGTGACACTAATTAGTATTGGTTTAGCCAAAATCTGTCATCAGTTCATAAATTTATTTACGTTTGTTTAGTTTCATTCGATTTATTGCAAGATAATTGAAATAGATAGTTTGAGATTTCTACTGACTGTCTATATTTTTGTAAATCTTGGACATTTTATGATTCCTTGCAATTTTTAATATTCAGTCCTCAATATTTTTCTTTCATTTAACGATACTGATCGTGTTTTTTTATACTTCCTTTTTTCACGTTATTCTTCTCTGTAGTATGTGATAACCTTTGCATTTTTCATGAAAGCATAAGCTTGTAATTACATTACTCATCCATGTTTATCAGAATCATTCTTCAATTAGTTTTCGGAACATTACTTCAGTGTTAATTCAACTTACAACCAACCAGTAACAATGAAAAACATTAGTTCAAAGTGAATTTTCGAATAAATCATTTAACACGTTGCAATAATAAGCACAACTTATTTAGTAACATTTGATGTAGCTGCTTGAAAGTAGGACTAAATAAAGGCGTCTTATCTTATTCGAGACTCGTCAGCTGGATGTGCCTACAATTCATTGTAGAAGTACATACCACGAGTAGCATCTGGTATCTGTCGCTCCAAACGCCATACTCATTATCTGTCACCCTAATAAGTGCAGTCAGTCACTAGTTTGTTTGACTGAAATGAATTCGATTTGTAGGAGAATGATCAATCGCAGTCTTTCATATCAATGGAAGATACAAAAGTCTACAAATTCTAAAATTTTTGTTAGATATTCAATATTGATAAAAAAAAAATTAAAAAAAAATTAAAAAAAATAAAATTGTGCATGAACTAACTATGTTTGATCATATTACACTTGTTTCCATGTTCTTTATGTCGTTTATGTTGGTGACTATGAAAGAAAAGAAAACAATTTAGAAATGAAGGTTAAGTTTTTGATTAGTACACAGAAAGAAAAACTTGTTACTAATGAAGGTCTTAAATAAAAATTGAATTTTCCCTAGCTTCTTTTCTAGCAAGTTACAATTCCATGGAATAGATTTATGCTCAGTAGAATTATCTGTTGCCTTAAGTTAATCAAAAACCATTAGCCGTATTCATATTAGTTATCTGATTTGGAGAATATAATTGAAGCACCTAAAATATAAATCTTCATTATGTATGTTATTATGATTATTTTATATTCTAAGTTCTTTGGGTTATGATAAATTCTCATAATGTAGTATTCGTGTACATATTGGACGTGAATAACAATTTAATCATGTCTGATTGAACGTTAATAGGATTGTTTGTATGAAATAAAGGTATTCATGTTATGGCTTATTTTGAATGGTTTAGTCATCAATTCTAGTAGTTACTAAATAATATTCTTAGTAATCAGTTACTGTACAAATAAGTAATTTAATAAACTGATTACATGATCTTCATTCTCCATCAAGTGATTCATATTTATCCAACTCCAAAGATCTTGCAATTACAGTAGGCATTCATTAAGATTTATGATCAGCATAAAAATAAGCTGAACTACTGACATCAAAAATTCAGAATGTTGTTATTTGAATTAACGTTGACTTTACTCAAAACATTTAGAAATAAATGAAGTTTAATGTTTCACTCAAGTGTTATGGTAAGATTTGGCTAAATGATATTCAATACAGTTTTAAATCACGAACTGATTTTAACGAGCCCGCCATTAAAAATCACGAGGCACTGGAGAACTTTTTCATCCTCCACAAAATTGTATACTGATAACAATCACATATTCACTGGTTATCAATTTCAAGGTTTGACTTTTAGAATTTTAGCGAGAATTTTTAACCAGCGAAGTTTAACCATTTCGGGCGTCAAATAGTTAATCTCCTCAGGTAATGGATGAGGGTGTTTACGGATCTGTGAATTTAAGCTTAAAATAATCATCTCCACTGAATGATACCTCGTTTCATGAAATCCATATAAAATAAAACTGTTAACAGAGATAACACAGTAATCAGCACAGTCATAACGCGAAAATAACATAATTCTATTTGAATGTTCCAGTTAATTAGACTATAGGTTTAGACCAAAGCGTTTAGTTAATTGATGTCAGGCGATTCGGGAAAGTAGATAGAAAGACTTTAATATAAGTTCAGAACTCAACAAGAAGGTTCGTTCGTAATCTTGAAGAAATTGGTCCCTTTTTGTTATACCCAGTAAAAATTAACAATACATCTAATGAGTCATTCGGGGAATTAGTGATCTCATCAACATTTATCATAAATATGGCACTGTGATAAACTCCTAAAATCTTTTTCACAATATTTCACGAAAAATATTTTAAACATTAAACCAGGTAGAATTAAAAATTTGGTTCTATTTTTTGACAAAGATTTGATTATTATTATTGAATTATTATCATTGACAAGTTTCACCGTCGAATCGACAAGATTGTAGTACTATGAGGACTGTTATCTTAACAATGGTATCGGACAATAAGATAATCAAACATCATTCAAATGAATAATGTAACAACCAACAAGAACAACAATAATAGAATGATTAATCTCAACTTACTGTTTACTTTCTATGAAATCTTGTTGTAAACAAACAATTATGACAATACTTATAAGAAGAATTTGCCATTTCAAATATCTTTCACCACAATGTAGTGAAGATAAATGCATGGCTGTATGTTTGAAAAACTTAAAATATTCAGTTCAGCAAAAATAAAATATAATTTGAACGATGAATTAAAGTGGAATGGATAAACTTCTTCGGAATTAATTTTGCGTTTATTATATACATTTTTTAAAAAGAGAGAATTGTTTTTTTTTAATCCTCAGGAATAGCTGATTTTTCAATGAAAGCAGTTATTCACGTAAACCCTCATTTGTTAAAAATAAAAAAGCTTCATATCTTCTTTATTTTTCTTTAATATGAATATGTGAAAGTAAATGTCTGTGTTCTGATATTCACTGACATGAGAAAGTAATCTATGGGTACCTGTATTTTATTGCGTAATAGTGTATTCGATTTTTCAACTGGATTTTCAAAAACCGAATATCTAGTATAAATGCTTCAGAATTAAACTATTTGTAACAATAACACAAAATGTTTGAATTAGTGTAAAATAAATTTAAACTGTCAGATTTTTAATAATGGTAAAACAATATAGTTGTATTATTCAAACTTGCATTAATTTGATTCGATCAACTAATATCTGAATCAAATGAAATATTGAAGAGTCAATTTTCAACTTGAGTATCAATGATTTTTATTTCGAAACCTACTTGAATGATACTACAGTTGATATATATATATATCATTGATACTCAAGTTGAAAATTGAGTCTTTAACAAATATTACTGAAACGGGATTTTAATCCAGTTTGGGCGATCTGTTTAATATGCTAATAAATAAATCTTCCCCTCAATTGCCTTTCCTCTTGATTAGGCGAACCCCGTTTGTAAGACAGCAGTTATTAAAAGCTCAAAACAATTTATTTTGGATAAATTTATTTTATGTATTCGGTAAGCAGACAGGCACTCAAGATGAGTCAGTCAAGTCCGACGTGATGAAGCCTGACTAGGTGTTTATATTAAGACCAAAATAAGCTAGAAATGTGAAAAGAGAAGTAAGCAATGCACTACGAACACAAGTAAAGGTAACCAAGACTATAAGCGAATAACTGACAAGGTCAAAATACATGTGAAAGACTCGCGAAGAATAGATTATTAATTTGTGCAAAGACTAAGACAAGCCATGTGGGCAAGAGATACGATTAAACGTCATGCTGTATACATTGGTCATGACAAGGCGCAACTCATAAATGAATAACCATGGGAAACAATAGAATATCCAAATGATATGTAGATTTCGATTACTCCTTAAGTCAGCCAGTTAGTTAGTTACGACTTAGAACTTCGTACAACTCCGCCAGTAGAACCTTCGGGGCTACTGCCGGTTCCAAGCCCGAATAAGCGAGGAGGGTTGGACATGGGGTTGGCGACCCCATTCCGTCGAAATCTAACTTGCCAAAAAAACACTAACCAGAAAAAACAATTCAAACCATTTTAACTCTGCCCTCGGAGTTGGAAGAAGAATTATGACGTCGCGTGGTGAAAGCCGAGTTCCCTCGGAAGTCACGGGGATGATGCCTCTTCTGACAACCAGAGAAACCATTGTTTTAGGTACATGGAGAGACTGGAAGACTATTTTAAGTTGCGGCAGAAACGAAAAGATGCAACCTCGAGGTGCTCGGCATCAGTGAAACGCATTGGACACAGGCAGGACAACTGAGACTTGCTTCGGGGGAACTGCTGTTATGCTCTGGTCATGAAGAGGAAAATGCTTCACATACACAAGGAGTTGCACTGATGCTGTCCAAACATGCACAAAAGGCACTAATAGGATGGGAATCTCATGGACCCAGGATCATTCAATCATCCTTCAAAACAAAGAAAGAGGACATTACAATGAACGTCATCCAATGTTATGCACCTACCAACGACTACAATGACGACGACAAAGATCAATTCTACGAAAGGCTGCAGTCAATCGTCGAGAAATATTCACCAAAGGATTTGACGATTCTTATGGGAGACCTGAATGCCAAAGTTGGAATGGACAACACTGGATATGAAGACATCATGGGACGACATGGACTGGGAGAAAGGAACGAAAACGGTGAGAGATTTGCAAACCTATGTGCCTTCAACAAACTGGTCATCGGTGGCACAATATTACCGCACAAACGCATACACAAAGCCACATGGATTTCACCGGATCACACTACTCAAAAACAAATTGACCATATCTGTATCAACAAAAAGTTCAGAAGGACCATGGAGGATGTGAGAACCAAGAGAGGAGCTGATATAGCTTCAGATCACCACTTACTGATCGCCAAAATGAAACTCAACTCACTTCAACATGTCAAGAAGTTCTGGGTCACAAGAAGTACCATCACAAGGAATGGATCTCTGTTGATACTCTCGCAAAAATTGAAGAAAGGAGGAACAAGAAGGCAGCAATCAACATCAATCAAACAAAAGCAGAGAAAGCCAAGGCACAAGGTGAATACACCGAAGCAAACTAGCAAGTGAAGAAGAGCATCAGAGCTGACAAACGTAAATATGTGGAAGATCTAGCAATGACGGCGGAAAAGGCTGCGAAAGAGGGAAACCTGAGACAATTGTACGAAACAACAAAGAAGCTGGCCGGAAACTATCATGAACCAGAACGACCAGTGAAAAGCAAGGAAGGCAAAGTAATCAGCAACACTGAAGAACAGCGAAATAGGTGGGTAGAGCACTTTCAGGAAATCTTCAATCGACCAGCTCCACTGAACACACCAAACATCGAACCAGCATCCAAGGACCTACCAATTAATTTTGGCGCACCTACGATTGAGGAGATCAGTATGGCCATCAGACAAATCAAGAACGGCAAAGCAGCAGGACCAGACAACATTCCAGCAGAAGCAATCAAAGCAGATGTAGAAGCAACTGCGAAAATATTTCACATTCTCTTCAAGAAGATTTGGGATGAGGAACAAGCACCATCAGATTGGAAAGAAGGATACTTGATCAAAATACCAAAGAAAGGCGATCTCAGCAAGTGTGAGAACTACAGAGGCATCACTCTTCTTTCAACACCAGGCAAAGTCTTTAACAGGGTATTGTTAAACAGAATGAAGGACTTCGTAGACGCCCAACTTCGAGATCAACAGGCCGGATTTCGTAAGGATCGATCGTGTACTGACCAAATTGCTACATTAGGGATCATTGTGGAACAATCAATTGAATGGAACTCACCACTCCACATCAACTTCATCGACTACGAGAAAGCATTTGATAGCGTGGATAGGAAAACACTGTGGAGGCTTCTTCGACACTACGGTGTGCCTGAGAAAATGGTTAACATCATACGGAATTCTTATGATGGATTCAACTGCAAAATCGTACACGAAGGACAGCTAACAGACTCCTTTGAG